GTTTCCATGAATTTGGCTAACTTTACTTAAAACCACCTAGGTGGCTATTGTACAATAGTGAATCATTGTCTTCAAGTTGAATCTTTTAAAAAGGTAAAAGAACTTTTTGGAGAAGTATCTTCCATTGATGCAGAATATTTCCCTTTTTAATACTAGCTACTTGGAAATAAATGTTGGAAATTTAGCTCAAGACAGAGGGTGCTGCTTTTAGTAAAAAACAGTATGAACATTTTTGGGGTAACTAACCTGAGTTTTATTTGTGTGCTTTTTTGTATTTAGGAAACGGCTTTTGTAATAATATGCTCTATCTAACATTCCCTTTGTTGTTATAGTTGTTAGTAAAGTCTCGTTACTGTCTGCCTCTTTGTTTGCTTGTTTATAATAATCTACATGTAGTGGAGCAAAAACATGTTTGTTGTGAACCTTTAGGTTAACCACTTAATGACATGCATGGTAGGATAATTTTAAAACAGCAGGGTAACATACAAAACTTTCCCTTGAACATGGCTGTTCAGGCATAGAAACTACCGTATTTTTCGCTCTATAAGACGCACCAGACCACAAGACGCACCTAGTTTTTGGAGGAGGAAAACAAGAAAAAAAATATTCTGAATCTCAGAAGCCAGAACAGCAAGAGGGATCGCTGCGCCGTGAAAGCAGCAATCCCTCTTGCTGTTCTGGCTTCTGGGATAGCTGCGCAGCCTGCATTTGCTCCATAAGACGCACACACATTTCTCCTTACTTTTTAGGAGGGGAAAAGTGAGTCTTATAGAGCAAAAAATACAAGAAAAGTAGCATTTTCTTTCTTTACCATGTTAAGGAAAATACAGGCTGAGGCAGATTTGGATGCCAGTTATGTTGTAGTCAACAGATAGGAGTGATCGCAATTGCATTTTGATTAAATTGCTTCCTCTAAAAGGTGGTACTGTCTTAGCTTTCTGGACCATTTTGTAGCATCAGGAACTTGAGTGTATTCTGTGGATCCAGAGCCTTGTTTGAACTCCCCCCACCGTGATGCAGCTGTCCCATTGAGCGGTTTTTTTTAATTGAAGCTGTCAAGTTCCTTAAATAAATGTTAAGATTGGTGTGCGTGGTTTTTTAACATCTGTATACTAGTAAGAACAATAGCTCTGAAGAAAAATGCTACACTTTTCAAAATATCATGCCCTATATTTTTGCAGGCATATTTTAGTAGAGCCAATCCCTCATATTTCAGGCATCTGAAGGCAGCCCTGTTTCAGGAAGCTTTTAATGTGTTCCTTTATTTTGTTGGAAGCCGCCCAGAGTGGCAGGTAGACTACTTGAAATATAAATATTATTTCAAGATAGTGCTTCTTGTCACCTGTTATTTTATAATTTATAATAATGTTTTTCATAAAATTTATATACCACTATTGCTTTAAAAACCAACCAACCAACCTGAAAGCAGTATATAAGTGCTTTAAAAACAGCAATCTTGTGGGGGGGTGGAGAATATGCAGACTTTTAAAAATAGGAAGTACCAGTTTAGTTATTCAAATAGTTTTTATATCAATTAATCTAACCTGTTAATTGGTTCAGTGTTCCAACCCAACTTCTCATGTTGTAAAAGACAGCTAAACTTTACAGGTTATTCTTAGCAACTTGCTGTGACTCCACTGTAAATCTTAATCGGAGATCCAGAGCAGAACTTGAGTAGGTGTGTTCTGCAATGGCCAAGGCTGGAAACATGGGCTTCTGCTGCAGGTGCGCAGGGTGAGCCAATCCAAATGAACTCTAAAATTCACAGAAGCAAATTAAAAACTGACAGCATGCACTGCAGGCATTCAGACTTTTCTCTTCTGCCATGGTTTTAAAAACAGAAAAATGTTTCAGAATGTCTCCAAAACAGTTGATGGCATCTTTTTTTTTTTAAGTGCTTAAAATTGTGCTAAGTGCTATGCAAAAATTATTAAGACAGACAAGTCGGAGGGTAAGGAAAGGAAGAACATTTAGAAAGATGCATAATAATTCACTAATTTTGGATAAAAAGGGTAAAACCTATTTTATGGTTCATAAATGTAATTACTACACTAAAGTGGCAATATGCCTTTATGCAAATTCTAAGTGGGCTGGTTCTCCTATAAGGCCTCACAACTGTAGAAGCTCAAATTGCACATGCTTCCACTTACTGATGCTCAAATTAAATGCTGTGGTGCTTGTTGAAGAATGGTATGTTGTGGCCTTTCCATCAATGCTGCTATTCCTTTTGTTTTAGGGGGGGGGGGGTTGCGCGCGCACAACAGCCCTGATGTAGTTGACCAGAAAGTGAGTCATTGGGTTGTCTCAAAACTTGGTCCTATAGAGGTGACCTTTAGAGCATCAAGCTAACCAAATATTCTCTTTTTTCTGATCTTTTGATTTCTGGATTTCCCCCCTCTTTCCTCCTATGCAGACACATTAGCTGGCCTGCTAGGATATGGAATTATTTATTTTGTGGGGAAGTTTAGGCAAGAGATGTGAGGCTGTCTCAGTGTTGACAAGCAAAGCAACCCACCCACACTGCAAATCATGTGGTCAGCTTCTGGGCAGGGAGACAAGAGAGCTTATTAAGCGCATGCGTTGAATCTCACTGTTAACTGTCATGCAGGCGGATGTAATACTGAGATACTCAGACAGCTGCTGGCAGAAAACAGGAAACTAACTTAAAACCAGTGGAATTCATTGCGTGTCAATTTGTTTTGCATTGCTTTGTTAATTTTCCGTTTCTTAGTTATACTGACACTGAAATCATTATTTTCGCAAAATTTTGGGTGCTGCTGCAGTATCAACAATCACATGGGTCTCTAAAAGTATCTATTATGTTGGAGGAAATGTGAAGTGCATGGACAAGAGCAGTGTTTTCCAAAGGTTAAGTGTGAAGAAGGTAGAAAACATTCCTTATACCTTGTATACTCATCAGGACAATCCTCATCCTACGTCAGCCTCACTTTTGTTACTTTCAAAGAGATGGAATAGATCCCAGGGCCTATTGTAATCCTGTGCAGGATAGTGATGCCTTGCATGTGAGCTAAACACCTAAGCAAGTTAACATATTTAAAGCAAAACAGAAGTTAAGTCATAATCCCTTCTTCAACACCAGCTACCAAATAGTGGTTCAAAATAGCAGGTTTTTACTCTGCTTCCAGAAGATACTTACTTGCCTTTCAGTGAATGCAGTTGTTTTCTCTCCGAGCTAATCAACATAGGATTTTTTTAGTCTCACCTTCTGTGCAGGCTTGTGGTGATAAAATGGAGAGAAGAGTCATATATACAACCTTGAGCTCCATGGAGGGATAGAAATGTAGTAGCAATAGTGTTTTAGGTGTGGTTTTCTATTCCAAGCTACATTCCAATACAGTGGTGCCTCGCAAGACGAAATTAATCCGTTCCGCGAGTGTCTTCGTCTAGCGGTTTTTTCGTCTTGCGAAGCAACCCTATTAGCGGATTAGCACTATTAGCGGTTTAGCGGCTATTAAAGGCTTAGCGGCTTAGCTGCTAAAAGGCTATTAGCGGCTTAGCGGCTTAGAAAAAGGGGGGGGGAGCGAAAAAAAATCTCAAGACTCACAAGACATTTTCGTCTTGCGAAGCAAGCCCATAGGGAAATTCGTCCTGCGAAGCAACTCAAAAACGGAAAACCCTTTCGTCTAGCGGGTTTTCCATCTTGCGAGGCATTCGTCTTGCGGGGCACCACTGTATATTGTGGGGAACTGGAATGGCTTAAAATGAAACAAAGTGTTGCTAGAAGTTGACTTCCCTGGATCATTTGGTTTGAAAAAAACATTCAACATTTTCATCCTAATACATTACTGTACTACCAGTGGGACAATAAAGCACCCCATTAGCAAATCAGTACAATTTGTGGGTGTCCCAGGTACTTTCTGTACACCTTTTGTATACAGAAAGAAAACACGCTGGTGACACGTTGAACTTGGGGAGCATTGTGTACTACCATGCAGACAAAAATGTCCCAGAAGGACAATCCTGTGTTAATTCTGTAACAAAAAGTACACGGGTGTAATTTAATCCCTAAAGTCTGCATCTGGATTAATTTTAAGTGCTCAATTCTGGGATTTTTTCATGGCACCACCAGAGTTGTGCTTTTTTAATGGAAGAGGTTGGTTCATTCCTTTAATTTTAATGTTATCATTATGCAACAAATTGCTAGTGTGGGTAGATGAGTGAATGCTGTTCATAGATTTATTTGCAGGATTACTGTAGTCTTATTAAAAATAACTCTAAAGGTTGACTTCCAGCTTCCAGTTCAGATAAAGACTTTTCTTTCACTCTCTTTTTAAAGAAAGAACATTCAATGTTCTTAGGTACTCCAACCCTCTGGGGTTAGAATAAGCTAAAGATTTAAATTTTTTTTTTAATTTTAACAGATCTCAGATGGGCCTTTCCCCACATGTCAACTGTCTTCTGTTTGCTTTTGCTATGGCACTGAACCACCCGCATTTGTGTGGGCTCTTCTTTGTTTCGGCCCTCGTTCTCAGCCTTTTTGCTATTCTCTTCCTGTGAACTATTGACACTTCCACAGCAGCCATTTACTTTGTATTGGCAGTGTCCCAGGCACTCAGTTTTAGGTGTGTATCCATGCAACATTCTGAACATGTTCCACTTTCCCTTCCACTTAGTTGATTTTTCCTGCTTGGGGAAAAGCAACATAAGCACATTAAGAAGGGTATGGTTGCAAAAGCTGGCTGATCCAAAATAAAGTATTCAATATTTGGAGGTTGTGCTTTTCTGACATCCTGTTTTGGGGTTGCTGCCTCATCCCATTTTGGTACATGACAGCACACCTAGACCATTTATTTCCACGAGCAGCCAGAGCAACTTGCCTTTTCCTTTCACATTTGACTAATGGCTACTGCTGAAAGTAATGGCGGAGGGATTTCATGGTGTCCCCAGAGACTCTCAATATTTTTAACACTTTTGGGGAGGGACAAAAAATTCAGAAGCAGCTTTGCATTAGCCCAAAAATACTGTATCTGACTCATGGGATGCAGGAGGAAGTAAGAAGTGTAAAATGCATGTATCCTTATAGCCTGATCTTGTTCCCCAAATCCTGAGTTAGAATGAATTACAATTCTTTCTCTTTTTCCACATTATAGGCCTATATCAAGAGTGTGTAAGGAGTTGTATCCATAATATTTGTGAGCAGAGGTCTTCGTTCTGAGCATTTATTTTTCAGCAAATGCAATGTGTCATTCATTTCTGATCAGATTGCTAAGGTGTGAGAATCTGTCCCCCCATTTCTTGCAAGCTGCTGAAACAACTGCTTAAGTGTAGCTTTTGTCTCTCCCTCTGTTTTCCAGCAGGAAGGTGACATGGAAGGGGAGGCAGTTGAAGCTATTGGCGAAGAGTCTGAAACTTTCATTAAAGGCAAAGAAAGGAAGACCTATCAAAGGCGCCGGGAAGGTGGGCAGGAGGAGGATGCTTGCCCAATGCCACCCAACCAGGCAGATGGGGCTGAAGTGGTACAGGAAGTCAATGCTGGTGTCCAGATGGTCATGATGGAGCAGCTTGATCCAACGCTGCTTCAGATGAAGACGGAGGTCATGGAAGGCACTGTGCAACAGGAAGCTGAGGCTACTGTGGACGACACGCAAATAATAACCCTACAAGTTGTGAATATGGAAGAGCAGCCTATAAACCTGGGCGAGCTCCAACTTGTCCAGGTGCCTGTCCCAGTGTCTGTACCTGTTGCTACCACTTCGGTGGAAGAACTTCAGGGGGCCTACGAAAATGAGGTCTCCAAAGGAGGCCTCCAGGAAGGGGAGCCTATGATCTGCCACACCCTCCCTTTGCCGGAAGGCTTCCAGGTGGTAAAAGTTGGTGCAAATGGTGAGGTGGAGACGCTGGAGCAAGGTGAACTTCAGCCCCAGGAGGATCCTAATTGGCAGAAAGACCCAGACTATCAGCCCCCAGCCAAAAAGACAAAGAAAACCAAAAAAAGCAAACTTCGTTATACTGAGGAGGGAAAAGATGTGGACGTGTCTGTATACGACTTTGAAGAGGAGCAACAGGAGGGCTTGTTGTCAGAGGTCAATGCGGAGAAGGTGGTGGGCAACATGAAGCCCCCCAAGCCAACAAAAATTAAAAAGAAAGGTACATGGGGCTTTGGATTTGGGGAGCAGAAGGGGGGCATCTTCAGTATCTGTTCTGGATAGGAATTACTGCTCTCTTCCTGAATACATCATCATATTAGAGCAAAGAGCCTTGCCAGCCTTGAAACCCAGATACGTTTTGATAGGAGACTTGACTGTCTTTGATACCTCATTGTGGCCTGTTGAGATCAAGAAAGGGTTTTTGTCCCCACTTTTTTAAAGAATCTGGTGTTGCCTTCCATGAAGATTTAAATACAGGGGTGATGGATGGATTTCAGGGTGTGAATTATCTAGTTTTCCCTCAGATCAGTGTTACCCAGAGTTGTGGAGTTGCCTCCTTAATTAATTTGTTTGATCTACTTCTATTGGTTTTATTAATGCTATCCCCTGATTTAATCTGATATGGTATACTTTGTCCCCTTTGGATAGGTGCCTTGAAATTGGAAGTGGGGTGGAAGAAAAACATGAGGAGGATCCTGCCTCAAAGTGGGGTCTTTGAACTGGATTTGCCTCTGTGGTGCTCCAGGTCATTTATGCATATAGAAGGGTTGCTATTTTAAGACTGCTAAAGAGGCTTGCTTTCTGGACAGGAGTGAAGAAGACATTCCAGTGCGAACTGTGCAGTTACACTTGCCCACGCCGTTCAAACCTGGACCGTCACATGAAAAGCCACACAGATGAGAGGCCGCACAAGTGCCATCTTTGTGGCAGAGCTTTCCGGACAGTCACATTGCTGAGAAATCACCTCAACACTCACACAGGTACTTTAAAGGGAAAGGGTGACCTCTGTTTCTTTTGGGGGCCACATTCCCTCAGGGTTAGTGTATCGGAGGCTGCATGCTGGAGCCAGTGATGGATGGAGCCAGACACAAGGGTTCTGGATTAATTGATCCAGAATGAGAATTACGGTACCGTGCTTCAATTTTCACAGTGACTACCTCATGCTAGAGTCCCTAAACTTAGGCAAGTCTATTCAGGAGTAAGTGCTGTTGGGTGTAAAGGGATGATGCATGAATAAGTATGCAGTGAATTATTATTTTTAAGTACAACAGACCAATATATCCAATGTTTTAGAAACCTAATGAAAGCAATTCCTTTCTGACTATACAAACAAACAAACAAAAACATACACTGCAGATGCCAGAAACCTAGCAATTTGTTCTCAGGCTTTCACCAAGCCATACGACCAGGAAAAATGTTTTTTAAAAGCTTTATATTTCTCAGATAAAATGCTGCCCCTTCCAGCTTTTCTGACACTGCATATAAAAAGAGGGGAAAGACTGTAAAAAGCCAAGAAAAACAAGGAAGAATGTTTCTAATGTGATGGAAGAATGGGACTGCTTCAGGCAAGTTTCCCATCTGTGGTTTAGGTGATGCTGCCAACCCATAAGCATTTTTTCTGGCACCTGCCTCTTGGTTTGTGGGAGCTACAGACTCAAGCCATCCTTGTGCTAATATTGGTCCACCAGTAATTTTAGATTCTGTGATATGAGAGGCCAGTGTCATGATTAAATCTACTGAATAAGCAAACAGGGCTGTATTTAATGTTAGTTCTGCTTGGAGAATACCCATTGAAATTGAAAGATGTGACTGAATTACATCCGTTAATTTCATTAGGTATACTCTTGAGTAGAACTTTGTTAGCCAAAACTGATACCGGTATATGCAAAAAGACCTGAATGGATTTTTATGGTGAATCTTATTGTGTCTTAACTGAACACTAGGCTTGGGGTTGCAGAAGGGAGGTTGAGGCTCATAGGAATGGGGGAAGAATTTGACACTGAAGCGACAGACTGGATTCTTTTTCAATCTGGACATCTCAGCATTTCAGATGTCCCAACCAGTCCTTGTCCTAGAGGCCATATCATACTTTGAAGTTTCCTTTTTTTGCCCAAGAGGGCTGGAAACTTCCTTTTGAAACACTGAGAATTACTGGCTTCATTACTGTTAACACCAACCTGCATAGTTTTGATCACCCCACAAAGTCCAGAACATAACTTCCAATAAAGCAGAAGCATAATTGAAATAAAAATGCCTTGCAAGTCACATTCCTTACCATGTCATTGGGTGGTAGGGATTGGGTTTTTTTCTAGTTGGGATGCTATAGAAAACAAGTCTTGCTTGACCACATGTACCATACTTAGCTTTTTCAAGCATTCAGACCCTTAGCATGATGGCATCAGTGTACTTAATAATAATAATCAGTCTTTTAAAATAGAGATTTTCTTGCCCATTTTTGATGCACCTTTAAATTAAGAAGGCAAACCTATTCCCTACAGTTGAAGCCAATATCTGTTTAGACTTTTTAATAAATATATATATATATATTTGTCTCTGGGATCTCTCAGGTACTCGTCCTCACAAGTGCCCTGACTGTGACATGGCCTTTGTGACAAGTGGCGAGTTAGTTCGGCATCGCCGCTACAAACACACCCACGAGAAGCCATTCAAGTGTTCCATGTGTGACTATGCCAGCGTGGAGGTACGTTTTGAATCCAGTTTTCCAGTAGTAGTAGTAGGTAGCCCATACCCACTTAACTACCAGTATTATCCTGTCTCCATGCCCCCCCCCCCCACATTTGAGGTTTTGGGTTTTTTTAATGGATATGGAGTTAACAAAGCCTGTGTCATATTGTTTGTTTCTTGACCATATATTTAGTGTGCCTAAATAGACAGGTAACTTGCATCTTATGCAAGGGTTCGGTTATGGGTGTCCACATGTAAATGCAAAAACATGTATAGCCAGGTGCCCCTGGAACTACCCCCCCCCCCCCAAAAAATGCTGTTTCTGGTTTTGTAGGGGAGGTCTGTTGCCCCAGAGTGGAAATATCAAAAATGACATTGGCAGGCCATAAGCAGCTGTTTGGCTCCCAGAAAGCTTTTAGCCCCATAGCCATTCTGTTTTCTGTATGTCTCATCTTACAATTCAAGAAATGCAAAAGGTAAAAATAGCACTGATTCTTTTATGAAAAGACAGTGAATGCAAAGCCCTTTCTCCTTATGGTACAAATCCCATCTTGGTATTCTTAACTTACAGGTGAGCAAGTTGAAACGCCACATTCGCTCTCACACTGGAGAGCGGCCATTCCAGTGCAGCTTGTGCAGCTACGCCAGCAGGGACACTTACAAACTGAAGAGGCACATGAGGACCCATTCTGGTACATATTTTGCAGCGGTGGCACAGAGGCACTGGAAGTTCTGTGCACACTGCTCCTTTGGCATGTAGAAGCTGTGTGCAATTTCTGCATAATCTCAGAAACTGTGGGGTGGGGGCTGTCTGACTTAATATTCTAGTGGCTTTTCTTAAAGGCTGCTATGACCATTGTCACTGCTTGGATCAGCATTTCAAGAAGTGGGATTCCTTACAGACGTTTTTTAAAATTTGTACAGTACTTGCTTTTTTGCAAACTGTTAGGGAAGTGTAATAACCTCTAACTGAACACTAAACTTGAAGTTCCCTGACAGCAGCTTCAAACAGCGATGGATATTTTGTAATTGGGAGAGAAGGAGATATTGGCACTCAACCACAGATCATTGTATCTGCCATGCAGCATTTGAGAGATCTCTCTTCTTTGCATTCTTTGCCCCATAATTTGACTTTGATTGAGGGGATGCTGTCTCTCCAAGCCCACCCCTCAGGTCCTTTGATAGTTTACTGCCCGCAAATGAGCCTCTCTTGCTAACTGCTCCTCTCTTCTGAAAGGTGAGAAGCCCTATGAGTGTTACATTTGCCACGCTCGCTTCACCCAGAGTGGGACTATGAAGATGCACATCCTGCAGAAGCACACAGAGAATGTGGCCAAGTTTCATTGCCCTCACTGTGACACTGTTATTGCACGGAAGAGTGACTTGGGTGAGTGCCATGAGGCTTGAGGTTGAGGTACCAGATTCTAGTAAAAGAGGTGGTGATCATACTTCTCAGAGGAAAGGCTAGTTGGTTGGTCAACTAATATTAGTTTGATGGTCTAGAGAAAAGTCTGAAGGCTGCTAAAGCTATGCAGGTCTGGCCCTGCAAAAATTGCCTTGTTGAGAGATTGCCTGAAAACCACATATAAGCTGTTTTTTGCTCCTCAGAAGTAATACAGTGTATAAATGCAGTTACTTGATTGCCTTTGAGGGTATGATTTTCTTTCTGTTTGGTTACGAGGGCCACATAACTACTTGCTAAAGTAGGAGCTTAGAATATAATAAGCCTAGCAAATATCAGATTCCAGAACTCTAAAATTCCATGTGTGCAATAACAGATTTATATTTTTAATCCCACCGTACCTTGAAGGCTCAGAACAAAGTAGCAATGCTATTCAGAAAAACAAATACAGAGGACATGGAGTCTTAGATACTGTGGGCTAAAATATTTATCTTCGCATAACAGGGCAAGAATTTGCCCATTCAGCTGAACATTAATATAATCTCTAGGGAGTAAGCATGAGCACCTCGATGTATTCCACAGGCTATGCAGTAAAAGCAGAGCACTCTATGTGGCCTGTTTCTCTTTACCAGGTGTCCATTTGCGGAAGCAGCATTCCTACATTGAGCAGGGCAAGAAGTGTCGTTACTGTGATGCTGTATTCCATGAGCGGTATGCACTCATCCAGCATCAGAAATCTCACAAGAACGAGAAGCGTTTCAAGTGTGACCAGTGTGACTATGCATGTCGACAGGTGAAGAATATGTAAATGTTTAAGAATGGTCGGGTCAGGTGGGGGAGGATGCAAAATAATAAAGTGGGATAATGTAGACCGACACAGTGCCCACCAGATGTTGAATTACAACTCGCATCAGCATGTTTGCAGCTGATGGGAGTTGTGGTCCAAGAACATTTGGAGGGCACCAGGTTGCCTACTCCTGCCCTAGAGTTATCCCCCACCCCTGCTGACTTGGTTCTTGGTTCCTTCTAGGAACGGCACATGATTATGCACAAGCGAACCCACACTGGAGAAAAGCCTTATGCCTGTAGCCATTGCGATAAGACCTTCCGCCAGAAGCAGCTGCTTGACATGCACTTCAAACGCTACCACGATCCAAACTTTGTTCCGGCTGCCTTCGTTTGCTCCAAGTGTGGCAAAACATTCACACGCCGTGTAAGTGATTGGGGGCAAGGTTGCTGCATGAAGCAGGGCGTAAGACTGGTGCCTGAGAGAATAAGTTGAGCACTAATAGATCTTCCAGCTTCCTTGATGTGCTATATTGCTAACTGCCTTGGTGAGGTCAAACAGATATACGAAAAAAGCCATCCCCATATGGCATTTTGCTGGGTGTGTATCCCTTTCAAAATGGTAACTTGTCATGGGAGGGGCTGCAAAACCTAAATACACTTGCTGATTCCTGTTCTCTCTTTGGAGTTATGTCAAGCATACGAATGCTGGTCTGTATGTTCTCTTTGGGTGGGATTATTGGGAGAAGTAAAGTGTACCAATTAAAATTTGGCTCACCATCGCAGCTTACCTCTGATGTTGGGGCTTAGCCCCAGTTTTGGCAAATAAGATCATTTTTTTCGTTTGGGGGATAAATCGGGGTGTGTGTGTCATGCTTGGATTCAAGTGCTCTAATTCAATACAGCCAATGTCTTAACATTCACCTGGCTTTTTCTAATCAGAACACCATGGCCAGACATGCAGATAACTGCACAGGCCCTGATGGAGTCGAAGGAGAAAATGGAGGGGAGCCTAAGAAGGGGAAACGTGGGCGAAAGAGAAAGATGCGCTCTAAGAAAGAGGACTCCTCTGATAGTGGTAAGAACTGTAAGCTTCTCTCTGAATCAGCTGTGACATCCTCACCTTGCTTATATGCTCAAGTCTCTGCATTATATTCTCATGCAGCTCTATAGTTACCAAGCCTTGCATGTCGCTCATAACAAATATCTTGCCAATGGTCACTTAAGCACTACTAGCTGCAATTTTTCTTGCAGCTATAGAGTATAGGGCAGTATAAACATGTAATAAATAATAATAATGGCAACATCCAAGCTTTTGGCTTCCAAATTTGTTTTGCCTACCACCTGGCACACCACAACAGGTCTAAATCTTGGGTGTGAATGAGTATGTTATTGTTAAGCTGCCAAGAAAGGGCAGTAGAGGTGATATTTTTCCCTCCCTTTGAGCTGGCTCATCACCTGTTTTATGGACAGCCTATATAGGATCATAGAATTGTAGAGTTGGAAGGGACCCAAGTGTCATCTAGTCCAACCCCTTGCAATGCCGTTCTGTTCCAAGTCAAGGTGGGGGGTGCTGGAAGGTGCCTCCAAGTGCAAAGCAGGGGAGTCATTTCTAATATGCAGTTCAGTGGGGAAGGCACTTCTTTGCAAGATAAATATCTAGAAGACCCAAACCAGATGCTAAGTGTGTACGCATCTGTACACTTGCTTGTAGTGGAAGTGAGAAGACACATGGACAAAAGGCACCAGGAATCTTTTGAAGCAGATCTGGAAGGTTTTAAGAGGAGGACGGGGTAAAGTTAATAGGGAAGTTGTTAGAGCGCATTGAAGTTCAGTATCCCACACATAATGATGAAATTCCTTAGGAGGCAATTTATTTATTTGCAATATGTTTTTTAAAAAACAATAATAAAACAAAATTCTGCTTCTTCATTCCACTGAAGAGCATTCTGAATAGCTAATAAAAAGAAATTTCTTGCTTCCACCCCACCCCCAGCACACATGTACAGTCAAAAATCCTCCCCTCCCATTTCATTGTGGAGAGGTGTACTGACATCTTCAAAGTTCCAAATTTCATTCATTCCTGATTAAAACCTGAAATGGCAATACTGCCTATGGGGAGCATAATAGCTGTTCCCATTTTGCTGTTTTCATTGATAGATGCCCTGATTTAATTTTCTTTTTTTCAATATTGAAGAGGAAAATGCAGAGCCAGAATTGGATGATAATGAAGAAGAAGAGGAGACGGCGGTTGAAATAGAGGCTGAACCGGAAGTGGAACCTGTGGTTCCAGCACCACCACCAGCTAAGAAGCGAAGAGGAAGGCCGCCAGGCAAAGCCAATCAACCAAAACAGCCCCAGCGTAAGTCCTGGGCCATGGAAGAAAGGAAGATTGTGCATAGGTGGTTTGGGGGGGGGGGGCGGGTTGCAAGTTTTTGCAAGGTGCATTATAATAGAGACAAATATGACTGGCAATCAGTGGGAAATCGGATATCATCACTTAACATATTTTCAATAATATTTGCTACCATAAAGGTCTAGAAACTTGTGAGGGGCAGAGTACTCAAATGTCTTGGGAATTTGCACAAAATACTAGATTCTTGGTGAAGCATTTGCACATGTAGGGTCAAGTTGGCTAGTTCTTAACACTCTGCTCAACTAAGATTGAACTTGCATGACCAAATGGTCAGTCTCCCTGAATTGGATGTTTATGAGCATCTTGGTATTGTTAATGGCTGAACTCTTGTTCAGATTTCTAGAAATTTCAGAAATCGGGGGTTGGAACAGAAACATTTATGAAACCAAGATGCCGTACGTTCCATCTCAGGAGGTAATGAAAACCTCTTCTCAGAAGCTTGTGCAGCCACAGGAAAAAAGACCGTAACTCAGTGAACAGCACATTCCTTGCATGCAGATGATCCCAGTTCAGTTGCTGACATGTCCAAGTAGGGCTGGGGAATCAATCCCCGCTCCAAAACCCTAGACAGCCCCTGCCAGTAAGTGTAATAATAATAATTAAATAATTTAATACCCTGCCCCATCTGACTGGGTCAGAAGGACCAATGGCCTGATTTGATAAAAGTCAGCTTTCTATGATGACTGTGAATTTTTATAACCTTAGGCAGTCAGCCTAAAAAAAATTATTCTTCCTCTCCAAATGCAACTTAAAGATGTGTGAGTAATACATGTCAGAGTACATTTCCTGTGATGGCATTCCATGGGCAGGACTCAGCTGTATATTCATGCTCAGTCTGACACACATTTTCCCTCTCCCTGCAGCCATCAAAAACATACCAATTTGAAGCCACATTGGTCGGAGACCAATTTTGCCATCACTCTTGGAATTGTTAAAATTAGAGAGGCCTTAGCTAGTCACTGTTGTCCAGCTATGAGTTTGTCCAATTCTCCGCCACATACTGCACTGCCAGAGAATCACAGCATATACACAGCCTTAGCTATTGTTATTGTGCCTAGTGTTGAGATACTGTGAAGTGGTATCCCCAGAGAGAGTCTGACTTTTACCCCGTTCTTATTTGATAGCAACAGCAATCATTCAGGTGGAAGACCAGAACACTGGTGCAATTGAAAACATTATAGTGGAAGTCAAGAAGGAGCCTGAAGCAGAGACTGTAGCAGCTACAGCAGGAGCTCAGCCAGCTGCGGTGGAAGCACCCAATGGAGACCTCACCCCAGAGATGATTCTTAGCATGATGGACCGGTGATGGAGGAAGAGTTATGCTCTTGACTGAACTGGCCTGGGCTCTTTTGAAGCGGCTCGATCCCTTTTATTTTTATTTTCCTTTTTACCTTATTTTTGGCTTTGGGAAATGCATCATTTTTAGACCATTTTACCAAACAACTCGGGAAACAAAACTTCAAATGATGTTAGAAAGTGATTTGCCTAGAACTCTCTCTGTTTAATGTTAGCCTATAACCGGATCATGGAACGTGGGGATGTTTTTGAGTCCCCAGGGGTCTCCTGCAGGTCGCTGGATCCAGTTAACTCTGGACTGCATTGTAGTGACAGGCCATGGACAGCCTTTGCACGTAACGTGGAAAACATGGAAGCCCGGACTCGAGCCCACACTAACTGCTCTGGATCTGCTTTCGCGTTCCTTGAAGCCCTCTGGCCTCATTTTGCTCTATAGAGGTTTTTAAATGTAAATGCAGAACTCAGGAGGGTTGTAAAACTTTTATTGCATTTTAGTTTTTGCTTTCCCCCCTCACCCACCCACCAACTCCACCCTTCCACTGACTGGCTCTGCGTCAGCAATGTAGGTTTGGCATGCTCCAGCTGGTGTCTTTCCTCCCAGATGCTTTGCTTTCTGCAGGGCATCTCTGTAATGATCAAGCTTGTAAATAACTTTTTTTTACATTTTAATCTTTTTTTCCATTTAATTAAGAGGTTTGTGGGGGGAATGCAGTTTAAAGAAGAGAACCCTGTTCTTTTAAACCAGTGGTAGCTAACATGGTGCCCTCTAGATGTTGCTCGATTACGGTTCCCCTCATCTCTGACCATTGTCTCTGGCACTGATGGGAGTTGGAGTCAGACAGCATTTGGAGAACTGCAAGTTCCCCACCCCTGTTTTAAAACTCTTACAAAAATGAATTATGCAGGAATTGGTCCCGAATTAAATATTGGAACCTATCAAATTAGTGGAAGAGTGCTAGCCAAGTGTAATGATAGAACTCCACACCCCATTTCCGTTTCTAAATATATAGACTTGGTCTTGAAACGTGTCACTTAAACTCCCTTTTGAGTTTCAGGTTTTCACAACTCAATTTTCTTTGCTCACTTTTTTGTGTTTATGAATTCTGTGTTGAAAGCCAAGGTGTTAATTTGTATAGGGCTTCCCAGCCCTTGAAACCTAGGGCAAGAAATCATACTAGGTCATTAATTAAAAGATTTGGGATTTTTAATTATAAAGAAGAATAATGTGAAAATACAAAATGATGCCTGTATATGAACCATCACATGTTAAAACTACGTAAGCTTTTTATAGAGCCTCAGTCTTGCTGATTTCAAAAAGAATTTTCTTCTATGTATCGCTTTTAAGAGAGCTATCAGGTTAGCTATCTGATTCTAGGTTGATGCATTTTTGTACTTAGCTGTACTGTGTGATATTTTTCATTATTTTAGGAAACCAACATGAGATAAAATGTTATAAAAATACATAATGGGGTTTGGACTCTGGGAAGGAGAATATACTGCTGTACAGCTAATAAATAATAATGATGAACCTGTGTGCATGCTTTCTGCCTCCTTGGAACCTCAAGAAGTTGTGTGAAAAATAGGATGGAACAAGTTTATAATCACTTTTAAGTGAAGGGGGAGTGAATACATGTTGCCTTTTTCCCATTAAAGAAGAATGGAATTTCCTATATATCATAACTATTATTTACTGCATATGCATTTTAATCACACAGCACACAGTTAATGGCACCTTTGGCATTTTCATGCATTGTATTAATGGGCCATGCACATCCCTTCTACAAAAGATGCTTAAAATGTACTTGCAAATTGGAATCCATGCACAAGATTCTGAGTTCTTCTCTTCCATTTTCTTTGAAGCATAGTCTACCTAACAATATCAAATGTAAGGCCAATTTTCATCCAAACCCAAGGGGCAGGGGGATGGCACACCTGCTCCCAGTTTGCTATGGCAGGAGGAATATTGCTTTCCGCAATGGGGATTGGAGGAGGCTGTGCATTGCCAAAGAACAAAGGGGTGGGGAAGTAGTGAAAAAGCTTTATGGAATGGCAGGATATAGCTGAAGGGGGAGTAATAAGCAGCATAGCTGTTATACTGGACTTTGGCGTTTCCAGAGTGCTTTTCCCAGTTGCTGAAGTGCTTCTCATGCATTCTCAGAAATGTTTGTGACAATTGGTGATGTTGGCCAATATCAGAGCTGAGCTATACTACTAACAACACTTTCTGGGTTGTACCAATTAAGATACGTGCATTTTTAATACATCTGTTCTTAAAAAGTGGGCTCCAGCACATAGAAAATCGGCTTATCAAGGGCTGAGGTTCTAGGTAGTACTTTTCATGAATAGCTATTAACATGGCAAAGAAAGATGTGCTGTGGACAGCCAGTCTTATCTCATAGTGGGTACATGTAAAAATTTTCTCTTGCACAAGGGTACACAAATGTTCCCACTAACTAGCTCAGTAAAGTGTGAGATGTAGCCTGCAAATAAACATGCAAACTCCATATTTCCATAGAAAAATATACAGTAGCTTGCTTGGGATGACAATAAAGTTATTGAATCATCTATTTCCATGCTCTTTACAAAGACAAATCATTTATTGAATGCTGCATTCATAGATTAATGTGTATCTCTGAATTTGTCATTAAATGTTAATTGGGCCTGCGCAACTTGTGGCACACACGCTCACACTATGATGTAGGGTTTGATAAACCAGTTTTTGCTTCCTAGAAACTTCAAAAATGGATGGTGTAGTCTTGTGTTCAGTTTAGGAACATCAAATTTTGCTGGAGCAGACTAGCCTAGTATCCCATTTCCCCAAATAGACAACCATTGGCTGTTGGTTTTATTCTATTTTAAAGCCCCTGGGTTAGCTGCCTTGGATTGTATAATAGAAGTTGGAATAGAAATATTTTAAATTTAGAAATAAACACATGCTACTGGGAAGTTCATAAGGATATGAAGGGCTCTTGCAGTTTTGATTCCCAGATATTCAGTATTCAAAGGCCATTCAACCAGGAGGGCTCCATTTAGCCATCATTACTTCTAATAGTGAACTTGGGTGAGTGCCAACAGGTATGAGGCCATGGAGAAGCGGGATTATCAACTGCTTAGAGCAGGGGTAGGCAACCTAAGGCCCAGGGGCCGGATGCAGCCCAATCGCTTTCTCAATCTGGCCCGCAGATGGCCTTGGAATCAGCGTGTTTTTACATGAGTAGAATGTGTCCTTTTATTTAAAATGCATTATGGGTTATTTGTGGGGCATAGGAATTAGTTCATTCCCCCCTCCAAAAAAAAATATAGTCCAGCCCACCACATGGTCTGAGGGACGGCTGAAGAAGGTTGCTGACCCCTGGAGGAAGCTAGAGGAAGCTAGAAATACGCTGATTTAAAATAACAGTAACCAGGGGACTAAAAACTAGCCCAACGGGTTGAGCATGCTTAGTAGAAACAACATTTAGTGTTGGAAAGGAAAAATGAGGGCCCAGGAGAGGAATGCCCTGCCTGAATTCCTTCTAATGTAAAACATCCTCAAGAAGCATGTGGTTCACTGCATTTTTTGAACCCGAAGAGGAGCACTAAAGCTAGAAGTTGATAATACATTTTGTTGCAGGTTCAGTTAGTCATTACTATTGATCAGGGATTTGAAACCTGTTGTCCTCTATATATTATTTAATTCTCAACAACCAAGGCCAGCAGCTAGGAATAGTAAGATAGTAAATCAAACAACAACTGGAGGGCCACTGCTTTCCCTTTTGTGAAATAGATGCACTTACATATAGTGAATTTGCCTAATCAGTTTGTTGGCTCACTGTTTTTGCTGGTCCAACAGTAAATAGTGGCAGCCTTCAGTTTGCCCTCAGGCTGTTAAAACTAGAGAATAATCTTTAGTGCTTATTGCCCAAATAATCTTTAGTGCTTATTGCCCAAGTTCTGCAGGACTTTTCCTCAGCTGGGCCAGTTTCACACAATGCTGTTAGCTCCTTGGATACATTACAGAACAGGCAAGAGCTCACCCTGCTACTCAGTGCTGTGCTCAACTAATTTGCTTTTTTTACTTTTGCCCGCTGCCTGTTTTCTTATTCAGTATGTTTTGAGGTGGGTGGGAGACAGGAAGAGGCACCCTGAGGTGAAGAGGAGGAGGTAGGAAGCACGGCAGCTGCCGCCTTGTTAGTAACCTGCTTAAACTGCTTAAACAAGTGTTCATTCTGATGCTTTTGCAGAAGGCCAGGCTTCTGCTCGAGCAGGATCCAGAAGATGGCTGCCTCTTTCAAGGAGATTCCTGCAGAACTGCATGGTACGTAAAAGGTTTGCCTTGGAAGGAAAGGCCAAGAGACCTTTATGGTCATCTTGATTCTGGATGTCATTTTTGATAGTGGGGTGCTTTTGTGGGAAACTTGCCTCCATTTCTTCAATGTCTCTCCGTTTACAGATTAAATTCTAGGCCAGAGATTTGAGCTCTAATTCTGGCTTTGGGACTGAGATGTTAGTTTTGATAATGTTTTATGGTGATGGAGGGAAAGGGGGAGCAACCAAACAGAGGTGCTTTAAACTCGTAATTTTCAGAAATACGACTTCAGATGCCTTAGGTGTACTTGGTTAGCAGCAATTTTTCTACACTCAGGAGGGTTGGAGCTGCACCTTAAAAATAAATTGGGACACCAAAAATTAAAATAGAGCTGGGCCTTGTAGCCTGTCATCTAGCACTTCCCCTCCAACTGCTTCCATATATAGATGATCAAACAGAAAGAACCTAGAAGGCCTAAAAGAAGGCCCACAAGAGCTACTGTACTTTAAAATCTCAGAGCAATCTTGCCTGAACAGAAACTCTTCTGCTGCAGTTTAATAAGCAGTAGCTGACAAGCTTCACAAGGCCTGAGAGTTTAATTAACGGCCCGGTGTATCAACTCCCTTTGACTGGCAATGGTTAGCACTGCCTTTAAAAGCAAAAATTGGATACTCTGGTTTCTCTCCAGATCATATAAATCTTTCACCTTTTAGAAACAAAAATTGCCACGAGCTACAACAGAATTACATTTTTCAGCAGCCAATGTATTTTCCTCAGGTGCCTACCTAGCAGTTGGTTAGGTTGGCCCCCACAAAATTGTGAAGAAAGATGGAGAGAACTGGCGATTGCCAAGGTAGCAAGAGACAATTTGTGTGTGCCGATACAGCTCCTTGCCAAGGGCACAAGGGAGCCTATGTACGTCTCTGATGTTACTATTTAACACACACTGATGGTGACTCCAGAAAGTTTAGAAACTCCTGATAATGCAGACATGATAATACCAACTACGCAATAGTCAAACAAAAGTAGACTTCCAGCTTCTGTAGTCACCTTTCCTCACATTTCTACAAATGTAGCCCAATATAAAAACTGAGGAAGTAGTGTGTTTTTTTAAAGAAATGTTTTGTCATATTATGCATTTTTGCATTAAAGGTGTATGGGTGGTTGTTTTTAATGAAAACAGATGGGCACTGATAGGATTGCAGCAGGCAGGGAAGGTAAATGTAACCCTTCCCCCCCTCTGCTTCTGTCCTGAGGGAAATCACTCCTTTGTAGCTGCTAATGGAAGGAAATCCCCTGTCGGCATACTACAGTGCCAACAATTACCAGCCCCACGTGGCCTTGGTGATGCCATTTGATCCCCCCCCCCCCAAAAATGAGCATAATACAAAAAATACTTAGATAACATATCTAGTATGGCCCTTTAGAGGACTCCCCCCTCCCTCAGGTAGAAAGTGAGCTATCTTGTTTTAGCACAACTTTTAGCCAATTGCCAAAGCCTCTGGTCCTGGTTCTGTGCCCAGCCTCACGTTAACATTCATATTCCTTGCTATCATTTTGGCAGCTAAGACTGCAATCCTATCTATATTCATTTATATGGGAGTAAGCCCTATTGAACTTGGGACTGCTTCTGAGTAGACACATGCTGCTAGAATGCAAAATTTTGTGACCCTGACCCATGTACATTTATGCATTATAAAAATGTAACGTATTTTTGTACTGCTTAATTACCAAAGTTTCTAAGCAGGAATTTGGCAACTTGGCTTAATTTTATTCAAGCACATATTTTTTTAAAAAAAATTCACAGTCTTCGATAGACTTCCCATGTTCCCATTCTGCTCGAGAAAAGTTTTATGAAAGCTCAAGCCCAGCTTAGAGATTGTGGCAAGGATCTCCTCCCCTCTTTTAGGGGCTTCTGTAAAAGAAAGAGTCTGCCACATGTCTGCAGGCCATTTATTTATCCTGTTTTGTCCTCTTTTTCAGAAAGCATCACCAATTTATTAGGGACACATGACGTCATCCTGCTGGATGCTCAACTCCACATCAAATCCAAAGTTGAAAATATTGTCCTGGTATGTATTGATAGCTCAATTTTACCACTCTTGTTGGTTTGTGTATGTTTCCCAGATCTCTACACCATGCAGCTGAATGTCATGGCCTGTAAAGATTTCCTAGGTCACATGCATCCTAACATGCTCCAGCACTTATATGGATCTTTCTTGATAAAGAGTAACTACCATCAATACAGACATAATGAATTAGGGTAGCATTCTGTATACCATTCTAATTACTGTAATCTGGTACTGCTGAGTACTTGCTTCTGCACCTCTGTAATGTCTACTCAAGTTGTATGTTTGCAAGTAAACATTATTCCTGCATTGCAGGGGGTTGGACTAAATGACCCTTGGGACCCCTTCCAACTCTACAATTCTATGATTACCAAGTTTACTAATCCTAAGCATATTTACATGGATGTACATTCCACATATTTTAGTGTTACTGTAAATTATTCCTAAGTAACTAAGCTTTGCAATCAGAAGCAAAGAGACTCTTATTTTATAATGGCAAAATATTTGATTATGGGAGAAATATAGGTATAGCTGCAGTCTCATCCTTTATGAAACATGCAATTGGACTAACAAGAAAAAGAAACGGCATAACTAAGTCTGCAGTCCTGTACACACTTACCTGTTTGTACTTGTGGAAGTAAGGTTCATTAAAACTCAATTGACCATACTTCTGAGCAGAACTCATAATCTTTAGATTTCTTACCCACCTTTTATTATAAGGGCCCGGGTTGGATGGCAGCAATATGAAAATCAATTAAATATTTTTAATTCTTAAGGATTCTGCTGTTAGCTTTACAAACAGTGGAGACAACAGATACAAAAGTGTAGAAATTTAATATAAGATTAGGCAGTATACTGCAGAGTAGATCCTGTAATGTAGGTGCAACCTGTTCTGACCAAAATTAAATTAAATTGAGGTTCTTTAAAGAATTGCAGTTTATTTATTTATTTCCTTTCCTCCAATTAGCTCAGTCTAGCAAAAGCATATACGGTTTGTCTCACCACCCCATTTTGTTATTGGTGTGTGTGTGTTTAAATCTACTGTATAATGTTTTATTTATTAAATTTGTATATTACCCTTAATACGATGATCACAGGGTGGTTCACAGCACACACAGTTATTATATTGTTGGAAATCACCTTGAGACTTTTGCTTTGAAATGCAGCTTATAAATAGTCTTAATAAGTCTTCACAACCTACTTTGCAAAGGACAGCCCTCTATTTGAAGGATTGCCTGATCCAAATACAGAGATGAGGAACCCTAAGAAAATATAGCAGGTGCCTTGAAGCTGGCAATCCACAATTATGGCACCTGAGCAGCAGGCTGATCAGGCACACAGAGAACCTGATCAGTCTTCCCCCATCACAGTGAGATGCAGGGCTTTTTTCAGCCGGAAATCACTGGAACTCAGCTCCAGCACCTCTCAGGTAGGCTGCCATTGCCATTACAAGAGAACCAGAGTTCACGGTGAGTTCAGGCACCTCATTTTCTAGGAAAATAACACAGATGAGGTATATTGCATTTCTTATTTAAATTACAGCAAACCTTTGAAAATTTGCACCTGTACCTATAAATTAGCACATGTACATTTTATGCAATTCTGTGTGCTTGTTCTTAATCTTGATCGTGCAGTTTTAAGTGGCCACCTTCGATTCAATATTTTATTTGGGGACTGAGGCCTTAAGTTTCTCTCAGCTTTCTAAAAGTTGGCCCTCCTGGCAAAATTATGCCCTTCCCCCCATGGTTACTGATAAAAAGCCCCTTGTAGACGTTGTTCACCGTTTTCTCTCATAAATCCCTGTATGTGGAAATGCAGTTACTCCTCCTCCTCCTGATCTCTGCTCTCTTTGGCCTTGCCTTGCTATCCAGGTTTTGATGCCCTGGAGAGCCCTGGTGGTGCTGGCGAAACTCCCGGTCAAGGTAAGACCTGCCCTGACCATGGTTTCTCTTAGGGCTTTTTTGTATTGGATCAGCTTGTTCTTTGTTGCAGATTGTTTCTTCAGCTTGTAAACAACCTTGTGTGTTGTAATATAGGAAGGTGGCGTATAAATTAAATGAAATGTGTATAAATAGGAAGGTGGTGTATAAATGAAATGAAATGAACTTGAACCCCAGAGCAGGCCCTCGTGGCTCTCTTCTCAGAGCAGTTAGCCATTCTAGTCAGGTTTGCACTCCTTCCTAAAATACCACATTTTCAGTTGGTCTCTGGAGGCCCAAGAAGCCTTGGTGGCTTCATATTATTCCCCACCCCCAACAGTGTAATTCTAGCATTGTGTGGGATTTTTTTTTTCTCCTTTCTTTTTTGCAGTAGTTTTTATATGATTTTACAAATATAAATTTATAACAATACCAACTACATATCCAAATAAAGAGATTTCTCTGAATCTCGAGACTTCCTGGCCCCCATCCTCTCCATCGGTCCTATTGTCAACATTTTAAACTGCATATTATTTTATAATCTATATTTTGTATCTGTCCATATTGTCCATAGTGTTTGTTACATTATAAGTGAGATTAAGATCCTGCTAATGTTTTCATCTGCTTACAGTGGTCTCCTAAATAAAATTTTCCCATTCTTTCTTGAAGTTCTTGTGTTCTTGGTTCCTGAGCTTTCCGGTCAGTTTTGCCATTTCACCGTAGTCTAACAGCTTGGTTTGTGCATTGTATAGGATTTCTTTATTAGTTAGGAATTCTCCCCAAACTAAAAATCCCCTCATACTGTTACATAACATGCTATTTCATTACCACAGGAGTCCCAGGCAAACCCTAGGCACAAACTGAATGACAAACCAGTGAAATTTCTCAGGTTTTGTTTTTTTAAAAAATATTATTATTCTACTGCAGTTCATGGTTCTTTTTTGAGGCTCAGCTTTCAGGTCTTTCTTGACTGAGGAAGTGGGAGGGGTACATTCTTACTTATTTATATCACAGGCCTTGTATACTGTTTAATAATAATAATAAATCTCTAAGCTGTTTCCATAAAATATTCATGACAAAATAGCAATAAAATAAGACTTTTAAAAACAGGAGACAAAATAATATCAAAATTTAGATAAAATAAAAACATTTTAAAAACAAATGTTAGGCTTGCCTAAACGAAACAGTTTTTGACAGGTACCGAAAACAGTATAACAATGCCACCTGCCTAATATCAATAGGCAGGGAGTTCCATATTAACTTTCTGGTTTAAAATGCTAAAGTATAAACTATTGTGCAACTCTCCCCTTCCGAAAACACATATTATTTCATAGAATTGTAGAGTTGGAAGGGACCTTCCTTAACCTGCAGGAGAGCTGTGCTCACTGCTTATGCAAGACAAGATGATATGAAAGCATTTTCTGTGTTGGTAAATATATGAAGAATAAAATATTGTTATTGCATCAGTTATGAAGGACACACACATACAGGTGTACATTTTAGGTTTCCCTTTAAAATTGCATTGGCCAGCTGATCCCTCTGCACTTACCTACTCTTGCATGTTTCCACCTGCAGGTACAAGTTAGCTTCAGCTTCTTAGCTGTGCAGATCATCACGATAGGAGGAGATAACCAGGTGAGTGCAAGATGTATTGGGCAGCGGCGTAGCGTGGGTTGTCAGCACCCGGGGCAAGGCAAGTAATTTGCGCCCCCTAACCCGGGGCAAGGCAAGTAATTTGCGCCCCCTAACCCCTAACCTGCCGCCGCTGCCAGCTTCTTCTTGCTGCTGCCTGGTCTGGTCTGGTGTGGTTCTCTCCCGCGCTCAGCGCTGCGCTGGGCGGCCGCTGCACTGTCCCTCCCCCAGATAGTCCCTCGCTCTCTCTCCGCACCACACGCCTGGCACCCACCCCCTCCACAGTGGGCGGTGACCCAGCGGCTCGGATCGGATTCGCACAGCCAGCACTGCAGTGAGAGAGAGTGAGTGAGCCAGGTAGGGGCAGAGAGCTGCGAGTGCGAGCACCCCCCCCCAGATGTTGCGCCCGGTGCGGCCGGCCCCCCCTGCACCCCCCACGCTACGCCACTGGTATTGGGATCAGGCTGTTGTGATTCTCTCCCTGTGCCATATAGACATTAAGCTCACTTTTCCTAACCCTCCCTATGGGGCAAGGGTCTAGTGTTTTCGGGGGGCAGATGCCAGATAATCTTTCCCCACAGTAAATGCTACAAAGCTGTCATGTGTGCACATAGACCAAGATTTTGTCTATAACTGGTCCGAAATATTAATTTTAATCATGTCCTTAAACCAACAAGACCATCCTTAATGTTGCCATTTTATTCCATTCCATTCCATTTTATTTACTATGTCTACTTCTGTACCTTCTATAACAAAACTGATGTACAGAAATGAAGGTGATGTTTTCTTGGCACTGGAAATAAAATGACAGGGAAGCTTTCAGCTGCTTGATTTATGTGTGTCAGACCACTGTAAAAGGCACAGAAGTGGGACCAGTAAATTTTTTGATTGCTCTGACATTAAACAGCCAGTCTATTGTCATTAAAATTACTCATGTCCAGCAGTTAAAGGGCAGTAGACGACATTCTCTCTTGGTAAAAAAAAAATCCCGTTTCTGATGCTTGCTGAAGAATCAAAGGGCACTCCCCACATTGAAGAGAGAGAAAAAAGAATTACACCACATTCTATTTTTGATTGGTTTAATAAAGTGTTGGCAAATGCCTTAATGAGCCAACTGGCCCATTATAAAAATATGGAAGAAATAAGTGTATACCATCAGTCTTCAAATGGTGGGTCAGGACCCAGCTCACTCCTGGGTCATGGACTGATCTACCACCCTACAAATATATAGCAAGTAATTAAGAAATTGGTCCCTAGGTGTATGGTTGGGTTAAAGGTGTCTGAAAATGTTGACTACTGCCTTAGACAGTGGGCATTTGGGCACCACTAGCAAGTGGATGTTTGTATTCTGACTATATTTTTCACATGTTTATGTATTTATTATTATTGTATTTTTACTCTTTGTTGTAAATCACCTCAGGATTCTTTGAAGAGAAAAGTAAACTATAAATTTAATGAACCCCAAAACTTATCTATACACATTTGTTGAACACTGGATTTATCAACTACCGAAGCGTTAAGTTTCAAGATAATATGCATCCATACGCATTATTCTCACTTTTATTATGTATTGTTTATTTTGTGCCTAATATTTTTGTATTCAGGAGTGATCCATTCTGTGCTTGTTGCTATTGTATGTAATGCACTTAAGTGTTAAGTACATTAACACCTTTGTACTTCCTATTAAGTTCTAGTTATATTCAATTTATTTATATGAATAATTCATGTTATATAGCCTTATCATTATATTTAATAAAACAAAAAGCAAACAAACAAGGAACTGCAATTCAGCAGCTAAAATCTCAGTTTGGCTCCCCCTATTCACAAACCAATTGTTTTTCTTTTCTGCTAACAATTCTTGGAAATTTATTACCCCTATTTTGCACCAATTTTTGCTTTTTATGTGTTCATTATGTGTTCGTTTTCACATGTGAAATATTGGAGGCTATGGAGCAGGTCTAATTTTTCACTGCAGGGACCATAAGAACTCAAATTTAGCAGAAATATTTTCTAAACCTTTCCAATGTTTCTTACAGAGAAGATGATGCATAGGCAAACATAATTATTAGATCCCAACTCTACAAAAAGGACATATTAAACTGGTTTGTTTGACAATTGATTCAGACTTTGAAATTAGCCTAGATTTGAATTGTTTGCTAGTAGTATTAGCAACCTATTAAGGTAAAGGTACCCCTGACCGTTAGGTCCAGTCGCGGATGACTCTGGGGTTGTGGTGCTCATCTCGCTCTATAGGCCGAGGGAGCCAGCGTTTGTCCGCAGACAGCTTCCGGGTCATGTGGCTAGCATGACTAAGCTGCTTCTGGCAAACCAGAGCAGTGCACAGAAACACCGTTTACCTTCCCGCCAGAGAGGTACCAACGAAGACCACAGTTTGGGACCTATGAAATAAGAGTTGCTTGGCACATGGTTACAGGGCCATAAGCATCATTTGGCTTATTTTGTGTCAGATTTTGCTTTCAGATTCTTTTTATACACTTCTTTCCTACATGGTATTTTGTTGCTCTGTGCTTGAGGTTCTTCTGCCTTTGTGTGTGTCTCTGTGTGTGTGTGTGTTTAAAGCACAGTTGTATTTGTTATCAAGTGTCCTTACACCATATTCTTCCTTAAGCTCAAAGCTCTTATGAGGACCTTGGACATGGCTGAGGTCCACATCTATTTAACAACAAAAGGCACTTTCTCATAATACATCATGTAATTCTCCCTCTTTCAAAAAGTTCCCTGAGGATATAGATCATCTCAGTGGGTGGGCAGGGAATAAAATGTTTTAAAATCAACTCTTGTATGGAGTCTTCTATGGAGAAAGACACATTTGGAGCCTGGGGAGTGAAAATATTTACAAATGTTCAATATTTTAGTCATTTTGCTGGAAGATTTTTCTTTAGATAGAAAGTATGGGGGTTTTTTATATACCCTTTCTACTTGCTTTCCATTATTTTCTTTTATGATATTAGCATCTTCTGTGTATCTCGTCCTCTTTTCCAGAGGAGAATTTGGGTTATTACATCTCCTTTTTTTGCTTGTGGTAATTTCATAATACCTCCCTTCTCTAAAGAAAATTATTCATTTTAATTTAATAGTAATAGTGAGAAGAAAAAGCTCATGTATGTTGGACAACAAAATGAGTATTAATGTTTTATTATAAATTATTTATCATTACAAACATTATTATTTTAGTACCCTTGTTTAAAATAATGTGTATTATGAGATAATAACTATTGCTTAAATACTGAAACTTTAAAATAGAAAATATCTCCCCTCTTATGTCTTCTCTTCTACTTAACTAAAGGTTGTCGTGGAGACAGATAAATCTTCTTTTGAATTTGAGTTCTTGTCATTGGATGATTTGGAGCATATGGTCATCCACATAGTCACATCTCTGAAGAAGATCTTTCCAATTTCTTCACCTGGGTAAGGGGGTTATGTAGTTTACCAAAGCCCAAGATTGTACATATATTGGAGACTTTTGAACAGGTGGGGGAACCTGTGGCCCTGTATATATTGTTGGACTAAAATTTTCACCATCTCTGACCATTAACTATGTTGGCTGGAGCTGATGGAAGTTAGAGCTGAACAAAATCTGGTGGGACACAGGTTCCCCAGCCTACATTAGAAGATATGGGCTGAACGCTGGTGACCAGGGCCAAACTAGTTAGATGGGTTTGGAGTGGTTGTTATTATATAGCACATTAGCATGCTCAAATCAGGTACATTATCTTAAATAAAACATACAACAGGGCTAGCCACCATGGTACTGTCCAGATATTTTGGACTACAGCTTCCATCACCCTTGGCTATTCTGGCTGGGTTTGATGGGAGGTGTAGTACACAACATCTGGAGGGTGTCACATTGGTTATCCCTGCCTCACAACAACCATTTAAATCAGGGCAGTGTTATTATGCTTCACATAGCAGGTATGAAGATGTGGGGTGGAACAGTAGAGAATTTAAGAGATAGTGGTATGCCTGAGGCTTTCCTATAGACTCGTTACGTGATTTGAACAAGTAACTTATTGGTTAACAGTTCAGTCTTATATCCACTATCCTATACTAGCATCTGTTTCCCAAAAGCATCTTGTCTGAAGCATCTGTTACGCTTGAAAGGGATAGTGGACGCTCACTGACACAGTCCATTAGGGAAAGGGACCATAGCTTTATGATAAAGCACATTTTTAGCTCATGTTTCATACCCAGATAATGCAAGAAGTGATAATGCAGTGGGCAGCCAACACTTCTTGGGCTTCGTATTTTGTAAAGACTCAAGCCAATAACAGTTCTAATGAGAGGACAATAAAGCACTTGGTTGTGGATAACTACACAACATTGATCTATCTAGCTTGGTATTATCACCACTGAGAGGCAGTGGCTCTCCAGATAATAAGCTTTGAGTCTTTCTTGGCCCTGTCTGCAAACACCAGGGGTTGAACCTGGGACTGGTTGCAGACAAAGCTTGTGCTCTACCATCTTCATCTTACAAAGCCATGGCAGACTCCAGTTAATGTATAAGGGGTGGGCAGGAATGGAGCACAGATGATATTTTGTTGAAACCAAACAGAAGCCTACAATACCTTCTTATTTCTGAGAAGGTACAATGGTCACATATACAAGTAGAAACTGATTTACTGAGACTGTGCCAGGGCAATATTGTAAGAATGACAGGGTGTTACAGATCAGCACATGTTCTGGTTGAAGTTTCCAGAAGCATTTTTGGTTTAGAGATGCATAACTGATTACCTTAAGCACCAGATGTTTCAACAGTACCAATTTATTTGTTTCTTTTAAACAAAAGAAAGGTAGGGTGGATACGTGAGTGGACAGTGTTGTTATATGATTTAGGCACTAGATGGCTGTGGACTTAATTGTATGTAGGTGGAATCAGGAGCTTCCTGTGTCTGTCCTGATAATAATGTTTTTGTCCAACTTCCTGACCGGTGCGTCCTCTAAGGCTTCAGTGAAAAAAATGTAATTGGTTTTTCCCTTTGTTTTGAAGAAACCTACTCCAAAATGCCTCCCCCATCTTGCTCGACAGAATAAAAGCGATAACAGATTCCTTGGAAGAATTACTAAAGGAAAATCAAGGCCCATGTGGTAATCTTTATATATAAAAATTATTGGAGGAAAATATGTTGGAAGTAATCGTTGAGCCAAACTATAGTTGTGGAGAATGTAAGAAGTATAAACTAGGAATGAGGAAATATATCAATTCTGGTTTCTCATTTTTCTCCACATTTTCACAGCTGTTTGCAATTATTGTGGTTTTTTTTAAATCCTCATGAAAATTCACCAGCATTTGTGTGAATTTCTCCTAATACACACATTTGTTTATGCAGTTTCTCCTGATATAATGAATTTAATGTTATCTTCATTAACATATTCAATTATATGCACATTTTGTCCTAGTATATGTATTTTGTTACCCGTTCCCTGGCTGGATAAGTGTACTGCAAAATTTGGAGAATGCAAATTTTGAAGGATGGCTATGTTTCTCTAATGTTTCTGAAAGTTTGAGTTAGGTAGGCTCCTCTCTGCAAAGTGAATCAAATTTCTCCCCTATCCCTAGTCTAAACTAGCCTTTAAAATATGCTTACAAAAGCTTTTAGCCTTTTAAAAAAAGTGAGCTACTGGGGGTCGTAGGGAAGGGAAGTATGGCTGCATCTCTCCTCAGACAGCCCACTGTTTCCTATTTTGGGCGCAGAGGAAGCACAGAACTTATTTATCCACCTGCATGCAGTTTCTTGTTGTGTGTGGCAATTAGGTAAGTGTTTAAATACAAGGCTAGTTTAATAATAATAATAATAATAATAATAATAATAATAATCTATACCCCTCCCATCTGGCTGGATTTCCCCAGCCACTTTGGGTGGCTTCCAACAAAACATTAAAATACAATAATTCATCAAATATTAAAAGCTTCCCTAAACATACAATTTAAACTAAAAGTTTAAACTAAACTAAAAGTTTAAACATACTATTAAACTGGTGGTAAAACTAAAGCTTACTTCCCTTAGAGTGCTCAAGCCTTTAAAAAATCTGACAATTCTGAATTCATATAAATTTAGCATAAGCACAGATTGGAAAATAGGGCTGCAGGGTGTGTGTGTGTGTGTGTGTGTGTGTGTGTGTGTGTGTGTGTGTTTGACCTTGGCTTCAGAAGCACAGAGTTGCTAGTAGCTGTCACTCTGGCACCCTTTCTAGGAATCATTTCATGTAGAACTTGCCCTGGACTGCAGATGCTTATGCAGCCATCTCCCCATGTGCACATATGGTCAATCTTTCCCTTGATTAAGACTGCCATCCTCTATTGGTTTACCTGGGAGTAAGCTTCACCGAACACAATAGTTATTTCCAAGTAACCTTTCATAGGATTGGTCCATAGAATATTTATACCCTGCCTTAACAATTATTGATTATCTTCATAGCTGTTCACAAAATGATAAAATATGAACCAATTTTAAACAACATCTTAAAAATGAAACACTAGAAGCAGAAGCAGCCAGACAGTAAAATGGGAGATGAAATTGCCGATAAAGCTAAGCAGCAGCATCCAATTAAGCATTATAAACCATTAAAGGTCTGGGCAAGAAGGCTGCTTTGTGCATCAGCTGTATATATGAGATGATGGTTTCTATGGTTGTGCAGCTGTCAAGTGGCCAGATGCCAAGGAGGACAGCAGGGCTCCTGTGCTATTTAAATAGTTGTAAAGAAGAGAGAATTTTAGCATTAACAGCTTTTTGTGACATGGTGTGGTCGTTAGGAGGGTTGAATTAGGGCTGGGGAAACCCTGGTTTAAATCCCAATTCAGCTGTGAAACTCACTGAGCGACTTTTGGTCATTCATGCTTTCTGATGCTGCCTAACCAACCTCACAGGATTTTTGTGTGGATAAACTTGACAGGGGAAAAACCATGTGCCCTGCTCTGAGCTCCTTCAAAAAAAAAAGAAAAGAAAAAAAAGGGCAGGATAAAAATGTAAGAAATACAAGATTGATATACAGTCAAAGCACTCATAGCTCAAACATGTCCAAACTTTTCAGTAGCTACATTTGCTGTTGTAACAAATGAGATATTTACAAATTGAAGGAATGAAGCTGATAGCAGCTCACATCTCTTCTCCGCTACTGCTTCACTTTATCTCAAATGTACTCCTTTTTATAGTTTTTTCTTAATAGTTTTTTAAAATAGATTTTACAGCTGTATTTTCTATTTTTCTATCCAGAAGGATTGTTGGCAGGGTTGAGGAATGAGGAATGGGGGTGATATTACCAATGGCTCAAATATTTGATTTGGGCAAAGTATCTTCTTGGCTCAGAATATATGTATCTTGTGATTTTCCTGCATTATATAAATGTTTAAAAGTAATCACTTTTATATGGCCTGTCTTATAATTTTTGGAGTCTTCAAATACCATAATCTCTGAAATCTCTTTATCACCCATGCAAGATAGGTGTATAGTAATTGAGCTTGAGAGATAGTGGTTTACCTAAGACCAACTACTAAGTTTCTGGCAAAGGAGAGTTTGGATCTAGAACTTGGAAACTTGAACTGTAAATTCTGTTCTGCAACATGTTCTGCTAATAGCCTCTCACATTTACAGGTGGGTTTTCAGAGACATACGCTGCTCTCTGTGATTACATTGGCCTCCCTTTCCAAGAGGAGATCCAGTGGGTAAGACACAAATTAGTCATTCATACCAAAACAACATGCTTAAGAATAACCCACAACTCTGTGGCAGAAAAAAAGTAATGGCCAGAAAATGCCACCGTTTCCTTGTCTCCCATTGCATCAAGGAGTTTAATGTGTGCATGCACTTTTTCTAGATGGTGATTTGGCAACTCATTTGTGTCCATATTCCCCCAGATCCATCCTGCATGACCTGTGTACAATTTATTTATTTTTTTGTAAAGTACAGTGGTACCTTGGTTTAAGAACAGCTTAGTTATGAAGAACTTGGATTAAGAACGCTGCAAACTCGTAGGTGTTTTGGTTTGTGAACTTTGCCTTGGAAACAGAACATGTTCTGCTTCCTGTTGAGTGTGTTTCATTTGTAAATTGAGTCCCCCGCTGCTATGGGAAAGCATGCCTTGGTTTAAGAACGCTTTGGTTTAAGAACAGACTTCTGGAACTGATTAAGTTCATAAACCAAGGTACCACTGTAGTTCTCAAGACACAGGTATGCCAAGTCTGGCTCAGCATACTGATATTGAGCTCATCATTACTCTTGAGTGGAACTCTTCTGTTTAGAGGTGGCTAGGTAGTGCTGTTAGCATCTTTGCCATTATGCGAATTTGCCAAATGGTCTCTTACCTCCCTGCAATGTGCTAATGTATTTTATTTTTATTTTTCAAGGATGTGGATAATATTTATCACAACCAGGAATGCAGGGAGTTCAACCTGCTGGATTTCAACCACCTCCACAGCCAGTGAGTCCATATAAAAAAAAATTGGGGGGGGGGGGGGAATGAGAAGGGTGAAATCCATGAGGTGGTATTGAAAGCTAGTCCTATGCAGATTAGACCCATTGTAGGTAATAAACATGACTAATTTAAATTCATTCATTTCAATGAGTAGGACTTCATTGAATATCACCTGATATGCCGTCATACCATACAGTGTTAAAATAGAATAGCAGTATTCTAAGAAATTCAGGAATTCAGTCTCCCAGTTCAAGCCATGTTTATGTGTCAGTTCAAGCTTGGCTGAGCAATGCTGTGTGCATTTGAGTTTCAAGATACTCAATGAAGCAGTTGTGTGATTCCCTTCATTTCCCCTCATCTTCCCTGCATTGGCCCCAAGTGTGTCTGTCTACAATGTAGCTGAAGACCTCCATAAGTAGGCAGGCCTTTTGAATCTAGATCAAATGGGGAGTTGCTGTGTTAGACAATTTTTAAATAATCTTTATTGGGTTTTTTAAAAAATAAACGGTTCTTTAAAAAAAATCAAGTGAATTGTGCCTTTTAGAGTCTAGATTTTAACTGTTTAAATTCTAAACTAATTATTTTGTAGAACTGAATAAGCTACATCTCTTGTTGGGTGCATAGTGGATTAGGATAGGTGGATGGGGCCAGTGGATAGCTGAGTTGTTGAGCACCTACTTTGTATTCCATTGAACCATTCCTGGTTCAATTACTGGCATCTGTAGGTAGGGCTTGGATATTTCCCTGCCTGAAACCCTGAAGATGCTGTCATTGAGTGTCGGCAATACTGAGCTTGATGGACCAATGGTACAACTTGACAGAATACATTTTCTATGTAGTATTGCTTTGTCCTGTTGCAGAGATGTGGCTGTTAGTGTGACTAGCCTGTCACTGAATCAGTGGTTCACAAGGCTGTGCTGCAAGGACTTCAAACTGGTGAGTACAGTGTGCTAGGCTTTTTGGCAAGGACCTCCCTGAGATGGACAGAAGTATAAGACCACAGGATGCAGCCTCCTTGCTGAAGCCAAGCAGGTCTGGGTCTGGGCATTGCCTGGATGGGAGACTGCCTGCAAATTCCATGTATACCACCTTGAGGTCTGTGATGGAAGAAAGGCGGAATATAAATAAAACAAATAAATATAAATTGGAGAGGGATCATCGGAGTACATGCTTCACATGCAGAAGGGCCTGGGTTCAATCCCTGACACCCCCAATTGAAAGCATCAGGTAGTATGTGATGTGAAAAGCGCATGGAGTGATGATGCCAGATAGAGTAGATAGTACTAGGCTAGATGGACCTGGTTTAAAAAGCATCCTTCTTAGTTCTTATGATGATGACAACAGCAACGATGGTTGGCATCTGTGTGGGCAGCTCACAAAAATTAATAAAATACAATATTAGAAATACAATACAAAACCATAAAAAGAATAAAAATGTGCTTCTTGCAGATTTACAGCAAAATAAAAACTATAAAACTGAGACACTCACATTAAAAGCACTAGTTGTTTAAAAACTCTGGCTGAATAAGGAGGTATGTGCCAGCCATCAAAAAGAGCATAAGGATGGTGCCAGGCAAGCCTCTCTTGGGAGGCTATTCCATAAGCATGGTGCAGTTACCAAGGAGGCCCTATCCTGGTAGTCGCTGAATTTAGCAGGGGCACTCGGAACACAACCTCTGTGGGAGAAAGTGAGTTTTCAGAGTAGGTCAGGGAGAAAATCAGAATATAGAAAAGAGACTTTTCCATTTTTAGTCCCACAATTTTCTGCTAGCTGTTAATATAGGGGTTAGTGATTAATATTTAGTGATTAATAATTATTTAGAAGTTCTTTGATAATAACTGTCTCTGCCGCTTTCATATGTCAGAAGTAAAATGTCTTCCTGAACCTTCCCTAGCAGGATTTCACAGTATATTTTATTCTGCCCTAGAATTTGGATATCCTGGATCAGATTCTCCATGTTCTCAGCAAATCAGTGACTCTGGAAGAGCTGGTGTTGGAAAACTGTGGCTTGAAGTTGTAAGCAGAAAAAGTCTGGAGGTTTCATTATGAATATATTGTGAATTGATAATAAATGGTGGTTGCTGTTGGGAGTGGGACACTGCATGACAACAGGTACACTTTTTTTAACAACATGCAACAAACAGCTTCATAATATATCAGCATGCTGTGGCAATGATCAGACCAGTTATTTAGGACTGAGCAAAATCTCCAGCAAAAGAATTAGGGATGTTATGGAATCTTAGTTGATTCACCAACCAGGTGCCCTCCATATGTTTTGGACTGCAACTCCAGCCAGCATGGTCATACACGGTTGTAATTTAAAAGATACAGAAGGCACTGCAAAATCCCATGGAAGATGGACAGCATTGTGCCAGTCACACACAAAATGGCAGATAAACACCAGTTTAAGGTACCAACACCAACAAGCTTGTACAGTATACAGATTGGAAAAACGAATACTTAAAGCTATGAATAGGAATGTGTCGGGAGTAAAGTATGAGTTCTAAGCTCTGCCACTTAATTGTCTCCATGCCTCCTGCTGTGGTAACCAGAACTATTTCTGATCTTCTCTGACCTTCTGTTTCTTCCAAGAGAAGAACTCAAGAAGACTTGAGTAGGAGTTTGTGCTGCACACATGTGGGTTCAAAAAGATCCTCATGGGCATCCCACCAGAACATTTTCAGTCAGATTGACTTTGACCTTCAGTCTGGACTAAATTTGCAAACCATGCACCAGTCAGTAGGCAGGTCTGGAAGTTCATATTTTGGTCATAATGTTGAGTGTTCCACCAACCTCTGGCAAGTATAGGATGCTACCAAGTTGCCCCCTAATCTTGGAACTGGAGCGGGAGTCATGGATCATCCTCACCATTGTGCTCCACTCAACATATCTAAAGGGATGGTTCCCCTCCCCAGTCTCAAGGTCAGGAGGAGACCTTAGCAACACAGAACCAAAACAGAGCTGGGACTTGCTTCAGGCTGGGACTTGCTTCCATGCAATGTGTTTCCAATGATGAGTTCTCCATCTCATGCTCCATGGCTGGAGTTGAGAGGACAATAGGGAATTGTTCCTGATCTTGCATTGTGCTTTGGATGGGCAGCACAAAATCAGGAACAAGGTATCAACCCTTGGGAGAGGAGCAAGTTCTTAGTGGCCACAGATGTTTGGTTGGCACGAAGGGAAGTCAAAATGTGTGAGTCACTATTATTTTCATCTGTGGGCTTGTTGTTACTGTGTAAAATCTTTTTCCCTTGCAGTGATTTTGCTCAACGGATGGCCCAGGTGCTTCACAATAATCCAAACAATACCTTAAACATGCTTAATCTTTCTGGAAACCTGCTTGAGGACCGAGGTAGTGCAATTTCTGATCTCTTGGCCAATATTGCAAAGTAGTGACTTGTGTGTTCTGGCCGTAATAATAAATTTGGTTCACTGTCTTCACTGGTGGAGGAAGAGGAGTGTGGGGGGAGTGCACCGCCTCCAGCAGCGCGATCCCAGTAGGGTGCCATCGTGGCTGCCCCCCCGCCCATGCTAGGCGCCCTGCCCCCAGGACGTGTGTCACACCTCTGCGGGCAGCGCACCCCACCCCCAGGACATGCGCCAGCCCCGCCCCCACCTGCTCTCCGCCCCCCGGTGCCGGAGCATGAAGCTCCACCACTGACTGTCTTAACTACCGTATTTTTCGCCCTATAGGACGCACTTTTTCCCCTCCAAAAATGAAGGGGAAATCTGTGTGCGTCCTATGGGGCGAATGCAGGCTTTCGCTGAAGCTTGGAGATCGAGAGGGGTCGGTGCGCACCGACCCCTCTCGCTCTCCAGGCTTCAGGAAGCTATCAGCAAGCCTGGGGAGCCCACAGGAGTTCCCGCAGGGCTCCCTAGGCTGCGGATAGCAGCCTGCTTCCCGGAGCGCGGGGCGCGCTGGAAGCAGAGCGCCCGGCGCTTCGGGAAGACATCCGCAGCCTGCTTCCCGGAGCGCGGGGCTCGCTGAAAGCAGAGCGCCCCGCGCTTCGGGCAGACATCGGGCAGCCCCACAAGCTTGGGGAACAGCGGGGAGGCGCAGCGCCGCCATCCCGCTGTTCCTCGACCTGGTTTGGAGGCTGGCGCTAGGGAGAAGCGCGCTTCTCCCCAGCGCCAGCCCCACAAGCTCGGGGGACAGCGGGGAGGCGGAGCGCCGCCATCCCGCTGTTCCCCGACCTGGTTTGGATTCCCCGACCTGGTTTTCGGGGGGAAATAAAGGGAAATTTTTTTCCCTTTATTTCCCCCCCAAAAAACTAGGTGCGTCCTATGGGCCGGTGCATCCTATGGGACGAAAAATACGGTATTTACTTGGTTGCTCTATTTTCTGGCTAAATCCTTCTGCAGTTACCTAGGTATAGAGAATCTCATTTGTTTCTGCCTTTAGAACTTTCAATTACTAAAGTTGCATTCTCTGCCCTCATGAACTGAGAGAAAAGAGACCTTTCCAAGTCTTCAATTAGTTTGAGTGCTTCAGCTGTTATAAATATGGTCTTTTAATTTGTTAAGTGATTCGCCATCTTTACTGTGTGTTTGACCTTACAGTAGCCCTATGAGGTAGGTGACCATCAGTCTCCCTTTACCAATGGGGAGCTAAGGCTGAGAAATTTATCTTAAATCCCTACACTGAAGAAGAGGTTGGATTTGAATGTTGGTCCAAGCTTAGCTCTGGCCCACACTAGCTTAAGCAGTAAGATTAACTTGGGGAACAGGAGTGAATTTGTTAAACAAATAGCATTTAGTGTGTAATTGCTGCGTGTCATTCATTCACCTTGGGGAAAATTTGTATCACGATATCATCACCCAATCGTTATATAGTCCTGTGTTTTCTTAGTGCTGCTTCCATCTTTTGTAGAATTTCTCCAAGCCTAGATTGCTTTTGTGCTTCTTTTTCAGTATTCCCAAGTGGCATGGGTGCAAAATGTGTATTGATACATTGGGCAGGTAGACTTTTTCCCCGCTTGACAAACTTTGACTATTACTTTTCAGCGGTCATCATATTATCACTGTTCCTCTTTATTTATAATTGTTCTTTTAGTTAGCACTAAAATGCTAATATCCTATTTTTGTATATAACTAAAACTGCCATTGGCCCCAGCCAGCATGGCCAATGGAAAGGGATAACAGGAGTTGTAGGCTGACCATATCCTGAGGGCCCAAGCTGAGGAAGCAATCTTAAATAAAAGAGTCTTTTTCTAAAACTCCCCACTGCCTTACTATTTGCCACCATTTTATCAATGTCCTGCCCCCCCCCCTGCAATTTAAAATACTTCTGATCTAAAAAAAATTTCTAAGAGCCATCTGGAACATCTGTATATCAAAACCTTTTTTAAAGCAAATCATGACATCTCGCAGGTAATTACTCTTAAATGAACAAATACCATGGTGCAAATTAAATTATTGATCGGGGGGGGGGGATGTAAAAAAAATGATGGCCCATCTATGTGGATGAAGCATAGCAGAATATATACAGAAAAATTACAATACCCCCACCACCACCCAAGTTGTGTGGAAGGTTGATTGTTGCAATGCCACTTGTAGTTTACTATGGTAGAATAATTCTTGGGTGGTACTAGGAACTGCCTGCCTAGAAGCATCACTGAAGTACTGGTACATGGCAATACAATTGCATTCTATGTCTACTCAAGGGTTCTCTTCTCTCTTTAGGCATAATTGCTATGAGCCAGAACTTAGAGCAAAGCATCAAGGGCTTCCAAAGCTTGAACTTTTCTAGGACCTCCTTGACTCCAAAAGGTACAGGGGAAACAGTTAGTGCATGGTTGAAGGGTTTGGGGTTGTGGTACTGTTTCAGGATGCTGTATTAGGATGGCATTAGTACATCAGAGAGAACTGAAATCTAAATCTTCATCTGTGGTATCTATTTATAGTATATTGTAGTGTCATTATTAATGTTATCTTGCTGGGAGATTTATTGCAGTGATTAGATTTTTTTCCTTCATTCTTCCATATTAATGTTTTATTAGTTCTATTAAATACTGGTTCATATTCCTTTTTTAATAAAATAAATATACATTGCCTGTTTTCTTCACTGCATGGATCCAGGGCTGGCCAAAGCAAAATGTAAATTAAAAAATCCAGCACAACACCCCCAGAGCCTTGGTATAGTTAAACAAGCTGATAAATAAAAAAAACCAACCGGACAATTTCTGTTCTTTAATGGCACTGGGACCAGCTCAAGAAAACTTTTACCTGAGATGGAACAAAAACAGCATGCTCCATGGGTACAGCCAAGTAAAAGTGTATAGGAGCCAAGACTGACCACTTGTGGCAGAAAATCCCTTAAATGCCTCTTACCAGGAGGGAAAATACAATAATTCTAACTTAAGTAAGAAGTTGCTGACCTTTCATGACATCAAAAATCAGTTGACTGAGGTGAGGTAGCCACCTCACTCTACCTAATGGTAGAGCCAGCCCTGTAACAGGGGCACTGGATGGAAGACTTGCATGTACCAGTTGTTGATATTTAACAAATCTATAAATTGCATTGGAGCATATCATGCAACTGTGCTTATCTAGCTGAAGGAATGCTTTCTCACTTCAGGTAAAGATTTAGCTCTCTGTACATACCAAATTTCCCCAGTCAATGTCAGAATCTGAGCTAAGCAAGGCCAACCTTGCAAATGTAACAGTTGCCCTCCACCTTCCTCTGTGTAACTTGGCACTTGCATCCTTAACGTCTCTTTGTGATTTCTCTTGCCTGCCAGGAATGTTGGCCCTTTGCCAATCTCTAGGCTCCAATAGACTATACAGAACTACTCTGTACCACTTGGACCTTTCTGGGAACCCAGGGAGCCTGGCCACTGAAGGTGCAGAGGTGAGTATTCATGGCCCCTGGAAACTGTGTAGCAGATGTGTTTTGCCTCCTGTTTCAGACACAGACAGGGACTCAAGTTTGCTCCTCAGCCCCAATGTTGCTGTTTTGGAATTACAGTCTTTAAAGATCAATGCATCTAGGTTTCATTTGCTTTTGCATTTCTGCAGAAGCTAATGAAATAACAGAGTCAACAATGCTGTTCTGGAGCAGTTGTCTCCTTGCAGGAAGAGTTTTCTGGGCCTTTCACCTTCTCTTCCCAAAACTTAACTTATCTTGCTGTTTAGTCCCACAAGACCTGTTGCTGCTAAAATATTCTGTGTTAGTTCACAAGCTTTAAGTTGTCTCACCACCAGGCAAAGTCATTGGATAGTTTAAGTGGCTCAAGGGGTCACTTTTACTGGTGATTCAGGCCTTTAAAGGTGAACAGCTCAGAAGTATAGAGGTAAACAATGAAGATATTTTTGTTCTATTCACTTTTATACACTTTCATTTGTTTTTTTACATTGAAGTTTTATTGAGTTTAGTTTTAATGATGTAGTATATTGTTTGTTAGACTATACACCATTTAGATTTTTCTGAAATATTAAGCAGTTTATAAATGCTTTTAAATAAGGAATTGAGTCATGTTCTATCTAGAAAGCTCCAGATATTAGTTTAGCAGTGACATTTAGGCCTGTTGGAGCTTCTGGATAGTTTTCAAAGGCAGCTCTAGAGTACATTAAAGAAATGCTTGCTGTGGACCTTGCTGTCTTACAACAGCCGCATTGCAATTTTCTTTCTCAACAAGTAAGTCTTCTCTCTCTCTCTCTCTCTCTCTCTCTCTCTCTCTCTTTCTCTCTCTCTTTCTCTCTCCCCTTTCAGGGCTTGTTTTCTTTCCTGAGTCAGCCAAATGCTTTAGGTCACCTTGATCTCTCTGGGACAGCCTGCGCTTTGGATGTGGTGAGCACCTGGCAGCTGCTGCTATTTCTTACTCTTAAGCATGTTGTACCATGTCATTTTCCTGGAATGAGGACCCTGTATTATTGTGCTGTCACGAGTGAAGTTCCTTTAAAATGAGTCAGACCCTTAGTCCATTTAACCAAGTACTGGCTACTCTCACTGGCAGTGGCTGTTTCTATTTGAAAATGGAGTTTGCTAGTTATTTTGTTGGTTAAAACATTGATATCTTGCCCTTCTGTTGCAAAAATAAACAAAATCGATACTATCACTCTGGACAGCTTACAACATTCAAAACCTACAGTTTCATAAAACAGCAATATAAAAACCTCAGCCAAAATGACTGAGGCTACATACATAATATATTTTTAAAGCACATTCATAGCACATTTCCCAACTCAAACTGTAGTTTGTTAAGGGTTGTTGAGAATTGTAACTCTGAGAGGTAAACCGCAGTGCCAATAATTATTTGAGGGGAAGAATGTATTTCAAATGTCCTTTAAAGGTATAGCATGTAACCATAGCCTGAGTCAGCAGTTAAATCCAAAATATAAAACTTTTTATGGATCCCAGTGGCACTCTCAGAATTCCACAGTTGACCATGAGCTTGTTTTGTTTTGTTTTCCACAGTTGTCTGACCTTTTCCTCCTCTGTCCCCAGCTTTTTGATGCCTTGGGTGCTGGTTGCTGTGAAAGCCTAATCCACCTGAACTTATCCAAGAACATTTATACACACAAGTAAGAGCTTGGTGTGCTTTCCCTGCACCTTTCTGGCAGGCTACTTGGGAGCAGTAGCATATTATGCCAGCCTGCAGTTTTATTTTATTTATTTATTTCACTAGATTTATGTACCATAAAACCTCAGATTGGTGTACAAGAAGACAACATGGTATAAAAGTTGGTAGAGCTTTTAAACTGAGCTTTTAAAAAAATCCATAAACCATTGTGATTTTGGGCAAGAGCCTGAAAATATGCATGTGAAGCTCTTTTGTTCAGTGGGTTTCTAGAGTAATGACTTGGTACTTCCTGATAGCCTAGTCCAGATGTCTAAACCTGACTTGGCTCCTGCTTCACATAAAGAATCTGCATTGCTCCTGAATTCAAGTTTAGGTGCTGTTCTTGTGTTGAGTGACAATCCTGTACATTCTCGTGACTTTGGTTGCAAAATCTTGGCAGAGGATTACATTTTCAAATCAAGCTTTTGACTATTTCGTGGTGGAGTGGGTTCAGCCTCCCCTAAGGTCTTGGGGACAGTCTACCCAAGTCTCCTCTGACAATCTCCTACTTTAAGGGGATGCCCTGTGATTAGGGGAGCTGGTTGTCTCATTTCAGCTGTCTGAGCCAGGCAGGGGAGCTGTCCAGCAGTGCAGACAGTCAGAGGACCTAGTCCTGAGCCAGGAAAAAGAGCTGAGCAGAATAGTGCTTTGCTATGAACAGGTCTTCCAGCCAGTAGCAGAGGGTATAATTACTCAGCTTGCTTGTCCCACCCTTCCTGGGGTGCTAATGGGATCATGACCCTGACTGTTTTTCCTCTTTTGACATGGGATGCCTTGTTCAGCCAAGTGAGCACAGTAGCATCAGGACTAAGCTTCATTTTGGACTTTCTGCCTTTACTGTTCCTTAGGACCCCATGGAGGGTCCAGAGTTAAGGGATGAGTCCAGTTAGGCCATATCAGGTCTCACAAGTCTGCAGTTACCCTGGATGGAATACAGTGGTACCTCAGATTACATGTGCTTCAGGTTACATACGCTTCAGGTTACAGACTCCGCTAACCCAGAAATAGTGCTTCAGGTTAAGAACTTTGCTTCAGGATGAGAACAGAAATTGTGCTCCGGCGGTGTGGCGGCAACAGGAGGCCCAATAAGCTAAAGTGGTGCTTCAGGTTCAGAACAGTTTCAGGTTAAGAACGGACCTCCAGAACGAATTAAGTACTTAACCCAAGATACCACTGTATCTTGGTGGTATGAGTGTTAGTGTTCCTTTTGGGTTCCTTGTCTCCCTTGGTCCTGGGATTCATGGTGACATCATAGGAATATAGGAAGCTGCTTTATACCGAGTCAGACCATTGGTTTAGCTAGTTCAGTATTGTCTATGCTGTTTTCTCCAGGTTATCGGGCAGGGAGCATTTTCAACCCTACCTGGCAATGCTGAGGATTGAATCCAGGGCCTTCTGCATGCAAAGCAGCTGTTCTGCCACTGAGCTATGGCCCGTTCCTTCATCCTCCTCTAGTGAGGAGGCATTTTCTGATCCAGTTCCAGGGGTCTGTGGGTCCTGATACCTGCCCATAGAACTTAAGTTACTGCATTTCTTTTCAGAAAGAACAGTGATGTTCCTGTTGGAATCAGCAATTTCTTCAGCAAAGCCTCTGCTCTCCAACATGTTTCATTGGCTGGAACCAAGTTACCAACAGAGGCTTTGAGGTGAGGGGTAGATAGTTGTTTTTAGCTGGCTCCCATTGGGGGAGGGGGAGAGAGAGAGACAATATTTAATGTGATCTGGATTCAAGTCCCATATCTACCATAGGTTGTTGTAGTCTTGTGTAATTCATTGTTCTTCCAGCTTTGGTTCCCCGTTTGTAAATGAGTGATCTATATTGAAGAACTACTATAAGGATGAAAATAACCTCATGCATAAAATTAATGGCTGTGTTTGGATGTCGTGATGAACAGCAAATTATTGTGATGGGAATACACCAAGACGTTCTCCAGGCTTACACTCCCTTCCCCTCTCATTCTCTGGTGTTGCTGCAAGGAATTCAGAAGCTTTCACTTCCATTTTTGATGACACATCACTTGTCATCTAAATCAAACTAACTGTGGCTAATCTTTTTTGGCTTGTTTGGGGAAAAAAACCAACTTCACACCAACCATAGCTTATGAAGCTGGCTTGTTTCAAGCAACCATAGTTAAAATTAACCACAGTTTAGGGTTCTGAAGTAATTGGAAATAAAACTTCCAATCTCCTCCTTACAGCTGCACTGCAAGAGGAGAGAAGAGGAGGGGGAGAGAGGTACACAAGCTCTGGAGGAGGTTAGGCTCATTCTCATAACACTAAACTGTGGGTTAGTGTTTCATCTGAATGCAGCCGATACAAGCAAGTAAATATGAGAAGGTAACTAATAATAATATCAAAAGAAGAAAAAATGCTAGACAGGCACAGAAAGGTATACTTGACTATTTCTTAGCTAAGTGGGCATGAAGAAATGAGGCATAATCGAGATGAATTCCGTAACACACACATTAATTTATGGATTTGCCACAGAATGCATAAAGGGGGGGGGGGTGACAAATCCATTGAGAAGGAGACAAATCCATGGTGTTTGTTTGGAATCTCCATAGTTAGAGGCAGCCTATCACTGAATACCAGCTTGCTGGAAGGCAACAGCAGAGGGGGGCTGTTGTATAATGCTGGACTAGCTGAACTTTTGATCTGATCCAACACAAAGTAATTCTTATCCTTTGTGGGTTCAAAGAAGCAAAGTGGTGAGCTATTAGGGATTAAATGAAGCATTTTGGGGTGGAGTCAAATCTACAGTGGAGGGGGAGAAGATGCAGAACCAGGTTCCCCCCATGACACCTGGCAGTTAGAGCTGCTCCCTGCAGTGGCTTCATGCTCCGGCACTGGAGGGCAAAGCGCAGGCAGATGCGGGGCTGGCAAGTGTCCTGGGGGCGTGGTGCACCGCCTGCAGGGGTGGGGCACCCAGCGCAGGCAGGGGGGCAGCCACGATGGCACCCTACCGGGATCACGCTGCCAGGGGTGGTGCGCTCCCCCCGCACTCCTCTTCCTCCGCCAGTGGCTCCCTACCCTTGTTTCCTTTCTGGTTTGTTACAGAGCTTTGCTGCAGGCCTTGGCATATAACCACCAATTGAGTGGTCTGCACCTGGACCTCAGTACCTGTGAGGTAAGAAGGGACACCCCTCCCAAAAAAAGTGTACCTAATAAAAGTTGCTAGAGAGGTTTGAAGAAGATGTAGGCAAAAGGGCAGATGATATGAAGTTTGTGTTACAGTTATCTGAGACATGGTTCATTTCTTATGAATCAGATTTAATATTAACCAAGGTGGAAATACCATTTTAGGTGATGTACTAGGTAAAAATTCAGTAGAAGCCAAAGTGGTTGGCTTTACCTAGCAGCTGAAAGGACTATTTCCTCGGATAATAAATCACTAGATTCATGTGGTTTAAGGTTCTTTTTCTCTAGCTTAGGTTTCCACTGTTGAATGGCTAAATCCAGTATTTTCCAAGTCATACAAAAAGTAAATGTAGCCGTTTTGGCTTGCTAGACTTGATGACTATATCAGAAGTGGCATGAATACCAGTTGCTGGGAATCAACAGTGGAAGAGGGCTGTTGCCCTGCTTGTGGGCTTCTGCGAGGCATGCATGTGGTTGACCACCGTGAGAAATGGGATGTTGGTCTATTTAGGTATTTGGTCTAATTCAGCAGGGCTCTATTTAATGTTCTTAATAAATATTGCCAATAAAAATTGACACCTCAGCATATCAAAACCAAGAAATCAAAGTAGCTCTAATCTGACAGAGTTGTTCTTATTTTTTTATGTTCTTACTCTTTTTGAATATGTATGAATTGTCTTCATATTAAAGCTGAAATCAGCAGGTGCCCAGGTGATCCAGGATCTTGTTTCAGATGCCAGCTCAATCAAGGAGTTGAATTTATCCGACAATGGTAGGTCTGTCAGTTCCTTAGACTGCCTCTGTCCCTAAGACTGAGGGAGACAGTGTGCTCTCTAGCTCTTTGTGTCCCCTTCCTTGTCAATCTAGGCTTATCTGAATAATACATACTCTGTATTAGACTAGGATCTGTGGGTGGTCTTTTCTTTGTGGTATGTTAAAAGTTCTCAGCCACTTTTAACATTCCCTAAAGGGGCCTGATACATATCCCGCCAAAAGAGCAAACAGGTCTTTGCTGGTTTACTGGAATCTAAAGCAAAAGTAGCTAACCTTTGGCCCTCCAGATGTTGGACTACAACTCCCATCACTCCTGACCCTTGGCCATGCTGGCTGGAGTTGGTGGAAGTCCAACAGCATCTGGAGGGCCACAGATTAGCCCCTGATCTAAGTGCTGTTTCTTATAAGGTTTCACAAGCCTGCCTCACCTTCCTGTGTCTGAATTATATCAAATCTAGTGTTTAATAATCTGTTTTGGTGAAGGCCCTTGCTTGCCTGTGACCAATCAGCCTTGCAGGACCCCCACCTGCACCCATGAGGTACCCATGCATACACAGCTACTCTTTCTGCAGGCTTTGATTCTGACATGGTGACACTGGTGCTGGCCATCGGTAGAAGCAGATCCATCAAGCATGTTGCACTAGGAAAAAACTTTAATATCCGGTCCAGGTAAGCATTTAACACTCCGTTGGTAATTTTAAAAAAGTTAAATACTAGTATTAATACATACATGTGAGATAGAGTTGAAAGAATTTTTTTACATACCTAGGCTATGTTTTTTTATTTGCTTGCTTTTAATAGTTTTGAGCCTGCATTTCCATACCTAGAGGCAAACCCAAAGCAACTCTTAAGTTGAAAGTAATAAAGACATGATAGTACCATGCATTGCAAAATACAGAAGAACAGACTAATAAAAATAACAGCAGGGATAGCAAAAAAACCAAAACACCAAAAACTTGCACACAATGTAATTGGTTGCCATACACAACAGTACTACAAAAACTCAGGTTAAAATTCTGAAAGCAGAGCCAAATCAACCAAATGCCTAGAGCATGTGGGGGGATTGCAACCCTTCAGTGTACAACTCCCATCATCACTTGCCATGGGACATTCTGGGTGGGGCTGACAAAGTTTGAATCATACAACATCTGGAGGGTCACAGGTTCCTCACTGCTGGTCTAGAGCATAGTGGCCCAGTGAACCTCTTTGGGAAGGATATTCCATAAAATTGTCACCACCACTGATTAGACCCCTATGCCTAGTGGATGCCAATCGAACCTTCATTCGTCAATGGCATCTAGAGCAATGCCGCAGATATTGAACAGAGCTTATGTGGAGGCACATATGGAAGAAGGTAGTCCTTGATAGTGCAGTTTCTTAAGCCCTTCAGGGGTTTAAAGTTCAAGAGCAACACCTGAAATTGAGCTGACTGAAGATCACAGGCAGCCAATGCAGATTACATAAAATCTAAGTATTATTCCAGTCCCAGTCAAGAACATTGTGGCAATGTTTTGCACCTGTTGAAGTTTCTCGATAAAGTATTCTCGCTGCTCTGTTTTCGCCAGAAGCGGCTTGGTCATGCTGGCCACATGACCCGGAAAAAACTGTCTGCGGACAAACGCAGCAAGACAAACTGCAGACAAACGCATCCCTCGGCCAGCAAGATGAGCACCGCAACCCCAGAGTCATCTGTGACTGGACTTATCTGTCAGGGGTCCCTTTACCCTTTTATGAATCTAGTAAACCAATGTGACACAACAGGAACCCACTAATCACCTATATATTAATCAGATTCAGAGCAGGAAAATTAGTGGGCTTTCTGCTTCTTTCTCCTAGGGAGACCCTAGCTGATGCTTTGCACCGAATTGTTCAGCTAACTCAAGATGATGACTGTGTAAGTATGGAGTTCTAAAAGGACAAGTTCAATACCTGTGCATTAGCATGCTTTGGTCAAACTCTGAAATCCTTAATTATTTCTGGTAAGTACATGCTCTCACAACTCAGTGGAGCTTCCTATTGTCTGCCTAATTTCCACTTATTTTAACCTTACCACATAGGGATGGACTATTTGTCCATAGTCACTATTGTCCATTGAATGGTCTTTGTCATAGACTTGGCACTGTGTGTTTGTGTGTTCCATGCCCTCTGCAAACAAGCAACATGGTTATTAGCGTCTTGGGGTCTCTGCTACATTCTTCCCTGATTTTATTTCAGTCTGTCGAATCCCTGTCAGTGGCAGAATCTCGCCTGAAATTGGGAACCAGCGTTATCCTAGATGGTTTGAGAAGCAGGAGCAGTTGTCTTGTCATGCTGGATATCAGTGGTAATGCTATGGGAGACGTGGGTGCCAAAATACTGGCAAAAGCTTTGTCAGTGAACACAACGCTCAGGTGCGTTCACTTAATTTCTCTCACTTGCATAAGTGTGTGTAGGTGGATATGTGAATTGAAGATGGGGATGGGGAGAAATTTGATTCAGTTCACACTTAAAGGGGAACTTAACTAATTTTCACTTTTGAATCAAGATGCAAACCAAAATACAATCATCCTTTGAAATTCACACTTTTCTGAATTTTGCAATGCAGTTCTCCAGCCAAGTAATGTGTAAAAAAGTGGATATAATGGGGTAAAGTGTGCACACAAATGTATATATTATTGGAAATCACATGCAAAAATGCATTCTACTAGGAGGAAATTGCTTTGCAAAAAATGTGTATATTTGGCAAAATTGTGTGGCAAAAATGTGTATATTATTAGAAATAAATGCTTAAAATGCTGGTGGATTTTGATGAAGATTTTTTAAAAATTAGGGAACATGTGGAAATGTGAAAAACTTAATTTAAGATTGGGAAAAATGAGTAACAGAAACTGAAACATTTCCTTATCCCTAATTGGAGAGGGATTATTGTAAGTCTGTATATTGTAGGGGCCATAGCTCAGTGAAAGAGCACATGCCATCCCAGATGCTATCCTAGGTTTCTTCAGTTAAAATGGATCAAATAACAGGTGATGGGAAAAACTCTCTCTGAGACCTTAGAAAGGCTGTGCAAGTCCAAGAAGACCAAATGTTGCCCACGTGTTATTTGTCAGCATGGCCAATGGCCAGGGAGAATAGGGATTATATTTCCAGCAACATCTGGAAACCCAAAGTTGGGAAGGCTGAATAGGCTGACAAATAATCTGGCCATCTATAAAGCAGGCTAAAGAGGGCTCGTGCTGCCTGCTTGGGAATGCAAAAATGCATTTTGAGGGAGGCTTGTGTTTTCAAGCACCTGACTTGTCACAGTATATACCTTGTGAACTCAAGGGCTTGCTGTGCTCTCCTGAGTGACTGGAAAGTAACATGCCTCTGTCAAGTCTAGTGTCTCCTGTGCAACTTGGTTCTATGCTGCAAAGCCAGGGTGCCCATAGAGTTCAAAGTATGGCTTCCTTTGGAAGAAGGCCCCTTCCATGTGCATGCCTTTCTAGTAGCTGTTCCTTTGCAGGCTGCTCTGGGGAGTCTAGTAAATTTAGTTCCTAGCAGTTTTGCAGTATCAAACAAAACCAGTAGTTTAATACAGTGGGACCTCGGGTTAAGAACTTAATTCATTCTGGAGGTCCGTTCTTAACCTGAAACTGTTCTTCACCTGATGTACCACTTTAGCTAATGGGGCCTCGCGCGGCTGCCGCACAATTTATGTTCTCATCCTGAAGCAAAGTTCTTAACCCAAGGTACTATTTCTGGGTTAGCGGTGTCTGTAACCTGAAGCGTCTGTAACCCAAGGTACCACTGTATTCTATTCTGATGGTGATTAACCAGGTGCCTTTGGAAGCTCAAATGGACATGTGAACCTGCCATACATTACTGTTTCTATTCTAGCCCAGTATTGTCCATTCCAGCCTATCCTAGCCTGATGCCCTCCAGAAAATTCGGACTACAACTCCCATCAGCCCCATGTTGTGCCGACTGGGGCTGATGCGAGTTGAAGTTGAAAACATCTGGAGGAGACCATGTTGGAGAAGGCTGGGCTTCTCTGACAGGAAGTGGCTATCCAGCATCTCAGGCAAAGAAGAATCTTTCCCATCACTTGCCACCTGAAATCCTTTAAATGGAGATTCCAGGGATTCAGCTTGTAACATACTCCATGTAAAACACATGCTCGTCCACTGAGCTATGTTTTCTCCTCAGACAGGATAGTCATTTCCTGTGTTTCCCCTCACCATCTGGTAATTGAAGAAATACTGCTTCTGAGACATTTGGGCTTCATTTGGCTATTGCAGCCATGAGAACTTTTCCCTTTTAGGAAAGTGTCTAATTCTATTTTTTAAAGGGGGAACAAGTCTGAGTCATAACCATATGTGTCATGTGAAGGTATAGTTCCTTTTGTTTACACTCCTGGGTCTGAGCAGGAGTTGTCATAGAGTGGGGCTTCTGTTTCTAACTTTCTGCACCCTGCACCCTGCCCCTGCCCCCAACTGGTGCCCTCCATGTTTTGGATTACAGATTCCATCAGCCCCAGTCAATATATGCTGTAGTCCAAAACATACAGAGGGCATCACGTTGGGGAAGGCTGAAATAAACGCACACGGTTGTATTTTACATACTTGGTGGGAACAAATTAGATGTTACTAGGGAAACACAGGGTTCCCGGCTGACTCTTCCTTTCATAATGTTCATGTGAGTGTTGGTGGGTGCTATTTGCAGAGTTAGTTAGAAAGAGGGAAGATTGATCCTTCTCCCTCTGGCGATAATTCTCCCCTGTAAGTGCATCCGCTCTGGGTCATATTTAAAGGTTCTGCCCTGCTGGGCCCTTAAACTTGAAGTGGAACCAGCTGTAAGGGAAATAGCTGTGGGGAAGGAATTTGCAGGGAGTTTCAGCAAGCATGGAAAGGGTTTCCCTTCTTAATTTCCATGTCACTAAATTTCCTGTTACATTGGCAAATATGGGGCTGAGGCCATAGGTTTGCTAACATAATGTGTGGCTTGGATCATGCAATGCAGCTTTCCCGAGTTCAGAACTTTTTGGATACCTTGACACAAAGTTTTTTAAATAAACTTTTGATTCTTTTTTTAAAATAAGTTTTAATTTCTATTATGTCTCTGAAATTTAGAGCTGGGTACACATGCTTTAAATAAAAAAGGAAAGCAAAGATTCTACTTAGAAATGCTTCTATTGTCTATATATTGGAGCTTGGTGTGCTTCAACTGAACCGTCTTCGCTTCTCATCTGCTTTTAGGACGTTAATTTGGGACAAGAACAACACAACATTGTGTGGATTCCTTGATGTTACTCGTGCCTTGCTAAGGTAGGTACCTCATTGCTGTGCTCTGTTGATGCCATCCTGGAGGCTCTGCAGACAAATTCTGTTCTTCTTTGGAATAAGAGAATCCCAGTCCAAGTGCCAACTCTTTCCCCGTAAATAACTTTGGCAATGCCATTTCAGGACCCAATAATGTCAGACAAAACATCAAGAGTTTATTCACTCACTCGTCTTCCTATATGATATATGCCACCAGTGCTATTTTTCTAGAAAAAGAGGTGTTGGAACTCTCCATGAATTTGTAATGACAATAGTGCCCACCTGAGAGGTGCCAGAACTGCATTCTGGTGAGTTCTGGCTGAAAAAAGCCCCATATGCTACCATTGGTTAGCATACCCTTCTGCATTCTACATAGGACAAGCAGGCCAGTCTTCTCACAAAATAATAAATCAGGCTTCCTCAACCTCGGCCCTCCAGATGTTTTGAGACTACATTTCCCATCATCCCTGACCACTGGTCCTGCTAGCTAGGGATCATGGGAGTTGTAGGCCAAAAACATCTGGAGGGCTGAGTTTGAGGAAGCCTGTAATAAATGAATGCAAATCAGACATCAGAAATGATGATATTTTAAAAACCAGAGAAATAACATTTCAGCTGCTTGGGGTGTTCTGGAAGTGGCCATTCTCAAATAAAGGAACTTCAAAGGGAGGCTCCAGTGAGAAACAACTGAATTATATCTTATGAAGAAGTTCAGATCACCTGTGACCTGAATCAAAATGAACATAAGAGGAGCACTCCACTGCAAAGTTTTGTTACAGCATCTACTTGTTACACTTTAATTGGGAAATAGCCTGACTACTGTACATGCACAGTTGTGAATTGTTTTGGGAGCCCTTAGTAGCCTAGGGACATCTAATGAAACAATGCTTGTTCCTCAGGAATTTTACTCTAAAAGCTATGCCCTTGCCCATAGCTGATGTGGCCCAGGCTCATCGAAGCCATCCAGAGAAAATGGAGGAAGTTGTGCACAAGGTAAAAAGCATAGGAATGGGGGTATTGATCTGAATGGGGGAGCACTCTAGATCAATCTTGAATTAGAACCCAACTGATTGGTATGTGCTGAATGAATGTTAGCATGCCGTATGTGCTCCAGTATGCTGATCATATGTTACTCAGTGCTGCTGAGTAAATGCAACTACTTCTTTGGGAGGCCATAGAAGTGAGGGTCATGTGAGCCATGCCTCTTTTGCATGCTGCAGATACAGTCTTACCTCGCAAGGAATCAGATTCAAGAGACCTTGCCCAAGGAGAGATGCCGGTTACAGCCAGACAGTACAGCCAGCTCTTCTGCACAGGTGGGAACCCTTGGATCTTCACCTACCTTCATAGCCTTACGTCTTGCATAGTCAGCTCTGATCACATTTTAATAAGAAAACGAATTTGCACCACCCTGAAACAATGAACAAATGGAAATGCAGCTAGCCTACAAAATTTGCACTTCTCCAGATTTTGCAATGCAAGTAATGTGCACAAAAATGCATATGTGGGTAGTGTGCATAAAAATGCATATCTTAATAAAAATAATATTAGAAATATAGCAGGGGAAATTGCTTGCAAAGATGTGTACATTTGGCAAAGCTACATACAGAAATGTGCAACTTAGGAGAAATGCACACTAAAATGCTGATAAAAAATTGTCAGGGTTGTTGTTTTTTTTTAATTCCAAACTGTTGTGGGGAACTGAACTTAAAATTGGAAGAAAATAAGGGAACCTGAAATAAGGGAATCTTGCATGCCAACCCCTTTAAAAATCAAGTGCTGCAGAAGAGGGCCAAAGGGCAGAAAACATCTAAATGGGGCAAGAATGCTGGCATCTGCACATTAGAACATTAAAGTGCTTCACATGCATTGTATCCTGGTAAACCTTCTGACAAGAATTAGTGCTGTCACATTGCAGATGCAGGGATTGGTGCTAAGAGAGTTACAGCCAACTCCAGGCTTAAGGGGTATCTCATAACTCAATGATCCTTCTGTTCCTCTTCCTTGCCATTGCTGTTGGTTCATCTGCCCTCTCCCAGTGTACAGGCCAACAAAAGCCAATAAGGAGGAGCAGCATCCTCTGCTTGCCTTTTCCTTTCTCCATGGAGAGTGCTGCAAATTGGGCCCAGAGGGACAGGACCAGTGAATGGGCAGCAGCAGCAACCGATAAGAAGTTGGGGTTTTTCAGGGAGGGACCCTCTGAGGTCACTCTGACCACGGGCCCCCAAAACCTGGAGCCAACACTGACTCAATTAAATACAGCTAAGAGAGACTGGAATTCTAGGGAGTGCTATACTTTTGTGCTGGTGGTACAGTGGTGCCCCACATCTTGCTCTCTGTTCTAGGCACTGAAGGATGCATCCCAGTCTGTGCATAAGTGCATTGAAATGCTGAGCTCTGTTCAAGATGTGGAAGTTAAAGCAGACATCCTGTGGGCAGAGGAGACCATCAAGGATGCAAGCCTTTCAATCAGTGTGAGCTCTCCTTCATGTGTGTTAAGGGTGCTTTCCAGGCAGGCGCTTAATCTGCAAACAGATTGTTCACAACACTTTTTTTAACATACCAGATTTTCTCCTAAAAGGGCACATCCAGATTAAATCAGCAGGAGTGAGGGATGCAGGCTGACATTTGGATGCCAGTGATGTCATGTGCATGCTACAAAAACAGCTTACTTGCATGAGGAGTACTGATCCCACAATAAACACCTGTCTGCAAGCCTCCCCTTTGCTACTTTTCTTGTTTTGGAACTCAGTCATGAACCACTAAGAATTGATGATGATGATGATGATTAATTGAATTTGTTATCACTTTATCTTGCCCTGGACAACCGAAAGCAACTTACAGTCAAAAAGAAAGATACATTAAAAAAAAAAAAATCACCTGCCCTCTTCTAAAAAGGCCACAGATAGTTAAAGGCGAAAGACCTGATTATAGAGGGAAGTTTTTTGCTGAGTACTTAAAGATATATAATGATTGCTCCATGTGAGCCTCCCTGGGGAGAACATTCCACTAATGGGGAGCCACTGCAAAAAAGGCCCGTTCTTGTATTGTCACCCTCCGGACCTCTCATGGAGGGGGCTCATGAAGAAGGGCCTCAGATCATGATTGTAAGTTAATTTTTAACCTGGATGTGTTTTCCTGTGGTAGTGTCACAAACCAAGCAACACTGGCAAAAGTCAGAATAACAGACATGACTGAAGATGCCTTTTAAATTTTCATTACAAATTCAGGAAGAATGCATCGTTTTCATAGGACACAGGTAGGCAACCTGCAGTTTGGGGGCCACACACAGCCCTCAACCTCATTCTGTGTGGCCTAGACTGACAAAGTCAATGTCCTCTGGACAGTTTACAAACATAAATAAAATACACAAATGCAATAAAACCGATACCACAATTTCTTTACAAGTATAAAATATATAGAAGGTAGCCATGAACCTCCTCTAGCCCCCTTCGATAGCAACCTACTGGTGGCAACCTGCCTTCAACAGTGGCCTTTCAGATAAGCTACTGTGGCAAAGAAGGACTGAATAGCCATTCTTGATGAGAGCCTTTCTCTTCCTGCAGGTTTTGCCTATTTTGTATGAGGCAGGAAACCCTGTGCACCAGAACAGCAAGCTTCAGCACAAGCTGGAGAGTCTCATTGAAGAAGTCTCTCAGACTTGCAGCAGCGACATCCAGGTAAGTAGGTAGAGTTCCATAGTCATCTAGTAGTAGGAGATGGAAAATACTTTGGAGAGCTTCTGCCAGTTAGAGTAGACAATATTGAGCTTAGATGGACCAAGTCTGCAGTTTTGCACCACACAACTGTAGCTTTTGGTGTGTGCTACAGAAATCAGCCTCCTGAGAAATTCTGCTTCTGTTTTTTAAAAGAGTGTTTTAATCCATATGGTGACAGAATTAAGTCTGTAATTGAACTGGAGACAAAGATGCCAGTCTTTGGTACTATTGGAAGTTTGACTGCAACTCAGCTTGCAAAACAGGGATTGCACGGGGTTAAAATCAATAGAGAAAGTGACCTCCAGATTCTCAGACTACCTCTGTACCTTTAACCTCTATGCTGATCTTGGGTGTATCTTCTGACAACAAAAGGCAAGCATGGCGGCTTATTTCTTCAACTAGTTAGTTAGCTAGAATTACAGAACTCTTTCCCATCAAGAATGTACTTCAGGCATAGGCAGCCTTCGGCCCTCCAGATGTTTTGGCCTACAACTCCCATGATCCCTAGCTAACAGGACCAGTGGTCAGGGATGATGGGAATTGTAGTCCAAAACATCTGGAGGGCCGAAGGTTGCCTATGCCTGATGTACTTGCTGGCACAGGTGCATAATGGCCACTGCAGGGAGGGCCACAAGAATGAACACAGGAGACTGGTACTGGGTTGAATTAGGCCACAACTTTATTTATTACAGGAAAGAGTAGATTTGGCTAAGGCGTTGAGTATGTATCCAACCAGCATCAGGCAGCCCATCTGCTACCTGGTAGGAACCTGGTGGGGTTGACTTTATGCTGGGGAGTTTCCCCAGTATGGAATGGGTGCCACAACCCTGCACAGGCTGCCATTGGGCAAGGTGCATTGGCCCATCAGCCTCCCTGTGAACTCCTGGACAGAATCACCTATTCTGGACCCCTCTGGCAGAGTGCCCTTGTGACAAAGGATCTAGTCCAAGGCCTTATCTGCCAAAGTTGTGATGGTTGCTATGAGGTAGGTGAAAACTGGCAATCTGGCCAATTTGTTTGCAGGAGAAATTTTCTCCCTGGCCCTGGGTATGGTGACCAAGTAAACCATAGCAAGATCCATAGGCAACTTGCCCATTCCCCCACTTGGTGGACCCCTAAGAACTGGGTGGGTGGGTGGAAAATCCAGCAACACTCGGCCAGGAGGGTGGCCTGCACCTAGCAGCCCCCTTAAATAGGCCATGGTTGGACTGGACGCAGCCCCCAAGCCCCTGCCTCTGATTGGCTTTGCGGGTCCTGCCCACCCTTACCTGAGAAGCTGATGTGGCCAGAGGTGGGTGGCACCAGGTGGCCATCCCCTCCACCAAATGCGCTGGAAGATGGTGGCCTCCCCAGACCCACTGCGGCCACGCCATGCGGCAAAGGCCACCTATCCAGAGCCCCGGGCAAGCAGCTACTGGTATTTCCTTTTTCTTTTTTTTTAAGATATTTATTAGGATTTTTTTTTTAAATATTACAATACAAAATGAAAAAGAAAAAAAAACACTCAGATTTTCCATTGCTTATTTTTCTTTAGCTTGTTTCCCGGACCTCCTCATACCTCCCTTTTTTGTATTCCAATTCAGTTTGTTGGTTCAGCAAATCCTTACCCTCTTTATTTATCCTATTCTTTGGTCTTAAAATAGTAACGTTACATTTTTTCCGTCTTAACAACCCCTTTTTCATATTCCCTGAAAGCATTACAGCTAGAAACCACTTAATTTCTATCCAACATCGTTCTAACATTCATTAATTTTACAATATTTCTGTAGATAATCTTTGAACTTCTTCCAATCTTCTTCCACCGACTCTTCTCCCTGGTCTCGGATTCTGCCAGTCATTTCTGCCAGTTCCATATAGTCCATCAGCTTCATCTGCCATTCTTCCAGAGTGGGTAGATCATGTGTCTTCCAATACTTTGCAATGAGTATTCTTGCTGCTGTTGTAGCATACATAAAAAAGGTTCTATCCTTCTTTGGCACCAATTGACCGACTATGCCCAGGAGAAAGGCCTCTGGTTTCTTCAAGAAGGTATATTTAAATATCTTTTTCAGTTCATTATATATCATTTCCCAGAAAGCCTTAATCCTTGGGCACGTCCACCAAAGGTGAAAGAATGTACCTTCAGTTTCTTTACATTTCCAACATTTATTATCGGGCAAATGATAAATTTTTGCAAGCTTGACTGGGGTCATGTACCACCTGTAAATCATTTTCATAATATTCTCTCTTAGGGCATTGCATGCCGTAAACTTCATACCTGTGGTCCATAACTGTTCCCAGTCAGCCATCATTATGTTATGACCAACATCTTGTGCCCATTTAATCATAGCAGATTTCACCGTTTCATCCTGAGTATTCCATTTCAACAGCAAGTTATACATCTTTGACAAAATCTTAGTTTTGGGTTCTACTAGTTCTGTTTCTAATTTTGATTTTTCGTCCTGGAAACCAATTTTCTTGTCCGAATTATATGCCTCCATTATCTGATAATAATGAAGCCAATCTCGCACTTAGTTTTTTAATTTCTCAAAACTGCAATTTCAGTCTATCTCCATCTTGTTCCAAAATTTCCCAATATTTCGGCCATTTGGCCTCCATACTGAGCTTTTTCAGAGCTTTTGCTTCCATCGGTGACAGCCACCTTGGAGTTTTATTTTCCAATAAGTCCTTGTATCTTATCCAGACATTAAACAATGCTTTCCTGACGATGTGATTTTTAAATGCTTTATGTGCTTTGACCTTATCATACCACAGATATGCATGCCATCCAAATACATTGTTAAAACCTTCTAAATCCAAAATGTCAGTGTTTTCAAGAAGCAACCATTCTTTCAACCAGCAGAAAGCTGCTGATTCATAGTAAAGTTTAAAGTCTGGCAGGGCAAATCCACCTCTTTCCTTTGCATCTGTTAATATTTTAAATTTTATTCTAGGCTTCTTGCCCTGCCAGATAAATTTAGAAATATCTCTCTGCCACCTCTTGAAACAGCCCATTTTGTCCACAATTTGCAATGTTTGAAACAAAAACAACATTCTAGGCAATACATTCATTTTTACCGCAGCAATACGGCCCAGCAGTGAAAGCTTCAAATTTGACCAAATTTCTAAATCATTTTTCACTTCAGCCCAGCATTTTTCATAGTTGTCTTTAAGTAAATTCCCATTTTTTGCTGTCATGTTAATCTCCAAGTATTTAACTTTCTTAACCATTGTTAAACCTATCTCATTCTGAAACCTCTCTCTCTCCATTGGTGTTAAATTTTTCTCTAAAACCTTGGTCTTTAACTTATTCAACTTAAATCCTGCAACTTGACCAAATTCTTGAATCAGTTCTAAAACTCTTTTGGTACTAGATTCTGGCTCCTGTAACGTCAATACTAAGTCATCTGCAAATGCTCTCAGTTTGTACTGTTTGGCTCCGACCTGTATACCTTTAACCAGCCGGTCCCTTCTAATCATATTCAGCAGAACCTCCAGGACCGATATAAAAAGCAATGGGGAAATTGGGCAACCTTGTCTTGTCCCTTTTTCTATCCTAAATTCTTCCGTCACCACATTGTTTACAATTAGTTTAGCCTTTTGTTCTGAATAAATTGCACTTATACCGTTTTCAAAACCTTGTCTGGCATCCCCTGTAGGTTCTTCTTCATAAAACTCCAAGAGATATTGTCAAAAGCTTTCTCCGCGTCCACAAATATCAAAACTGCTTTAGTGTTTATGTTCACTTCTAGTTTTTCCAAAATATCAATTATATTCCTCAAATTGTCAGACAAGTGTCTTCCCGGGAGAAAGCCCGCTTGGTCTTTATGAATCTCTTCCATCAATACTTTTTTCAAGATTGGTATTTCCTCAATAAGGCTAAGCTTTCTTATCTTACACTAAGTCTCAGTCTGAATGCCTTCAATTAAAAGTGTGTTCCAAGCAAAAATTCATTTAACTAAAGCTAACTGCTGCAGCAGCATATAAACTCTGTCTGCTAACAGGTACTGTGAACATACCTTTGCACCTTTTATGTCCATCAGAAGATATGCAGATATGACAAAATCAAAATGTTGGACCTCTGGCCTATAAATCCGAGAAGAAGTCAAATAAAGTTTCTCCTGGCAGATCAGGACAAAGATATCACTGCCTTAGTAGCTTCCTTTTTTAGCCACAATTTTACCAGAATGGGTTCCCAATGAACCATCCTTTTGGGGAATAGACAGGGTGAAGCAGAATATCTAAGTGCACACAATCACAGTGTGACCTTATTACCTTCAACAGCTTCACCCTTGTCCTTTTAACTACCCTAGTGACTTGAAATATTTTATACTGTGATACCAATAAAGGTATTTGATTTGATTTGCAAATGTGTGTAAATGCCTAATTTCCATTGTTTATTAATAACACCAAAAATATTGTAAATATACATATAAAGCCTTAGACTAGAGGAAGGTGACCTGGAACCTCTTGCAGTGAATGGCTTCCCCACACATGCTCCCAAGTAGAAAGTAATAAAACTTCAGGTTTTGATGACTCTTCATGCCACATTTATCTCTTGCTTGTACTTTCTTCATAGACCATCATGCATGCCTCACTGGTTGCCACTCAGAGTTTGTGCCCCAAACTCATGCAGAAAAATGACTTTCAGGACCACCTGATCTCCAGCGTGCCAAAGAAGATGCTCCTTGACCAGCTTTTGACTGAGATGTACAGCAGGCTCACGTGGGTGACAGGACTAACCTTTCTCTTCAAGCCACACCAGAGTGCCTGTTTGGGTTGGAAGCATCTACTCAATCTTCAGCATTAAACGCTGAAGTAGAAAGAGAAAGGTTTTGCCTGCTGGCTGTGTTTCTCCTTGAAATTTCTGCTTCCTGGCATATAGCTTTTCAGTAGAGACACATTTGGGATAGATGGGGGCCTCTTTGAACTGTCCTTTTTATTTTTCATACAAGTACTGTTCTCCATCGGCAGCTTAACCTCATATCTGTAAGAATCTTGAGCCTCTTGTCTGGTATATGGGTCTGCAGAACTGCTTCCATGGCTCAGGCAGAAGCCAGCATCTTATGTCCTCTACATGTCACTCTCTGCTATGCAGATACATCTCTCTGACAGCTGTCTAGGCTCCTAGGGCATAGTCATACCACAGAGTTAAACTGATGAAACAGACATTCCCCTTTCCTAGGGAATTCTGGGATTTGTAGTTCTGTGAGGGGGTAGCTTTACAGAGAATTCTCAGCACCTCACCAGATAAAAATCCCCAAGATGCTTTAAAAAGGTTATTTTTTGTCCTCTGCTTCTAAAATTTGTATAACATTCCAATCAACTTTAATCAATTTTCACATTTTTGTGGCATGCGGTATAGGACCACATTCTAGATGCATGTCTTCTTTCATTTTTCAAAGATAAAAGAATTTATAAAAAATGTTTTCCAGACTTCTTCATGGAGAATGTAAGAAGTGTCTTGCTGTGTCACTCCTCACTCACTAACAGATCCCAAGCAACTGAAATCTAGGTACATCCTGTCTCTAAACTTGGAGGCTCCATTTAACCCTGATGACTAGTGGCCACTGATCCATATATATATATTTTCTGATAGTATTTTAAAGATACCTAAGCCTGTGGTCATAGCCACATTCCCCAAGAGCACGATCCATATATCAATTATTATTATTATTTATTAGGTATCTTACATGCCCTTTACTCTGAGATCCCAGGGCAGGGTACAGCAATGAAAAAAGTACAGTACAGTACAGTTAAAACAAATTAACCGTTCAGACTACAGGCTACATCATAAAATACACATACCCCAGGTGTCAGAGTGGGGAGAAATCTTCTTCTCCCACCCATTTCTGGACCTTTACCCAACATCTGATGGTCATGGGAGCCTTAGCAGTTACTTTATCTCACTTCTCAGCCTCCTTATTTTCCAAATCCTAACCCAAGTTATTGGTGCCAAAGTCTTACTACACAGTGGAGTTCTCCTTTGTGCTTTTCTGTGCTAATTGCCCTGCTTTGTCCCTTTTTTGATAGGGAGATCCAGCAGTCAGTCACTGAGGCCATGGTCAGTGGTATTGCTGATAAAATTTTGGAGGAGTTAGCCACCGTTCAAGGCAAGCTGGTGAGTGCCAGACAGGATTCCGGTCAATGTGCAAAGGCAAGACTGGCCCAGATAGGAGTTCTGTATGCTGCAATTCCTTTCCTTGCTTTGCTCTCCTCAGTGTTAATGTAGGTTTGAATGTCATTTTGTCTCTACCTACCTCTCTCTCTCTCTCTCAAACACAGCCCTTTTATCTGTTTAAAATATTATTCAACTTTTCCACCAAGGAAGCTTGCTATATAAAAGGTTGAAAGAAGAACAAACACATGGTATATGTGACCACACTTGTCAAGTTCTGGCTACTGCATCTCAAATTCTCAGATTCTTAAAGAGATGGAAAAGACAGTTAAATACAGTGATTCACTGGAACAAAACCACCATTTTCCCATGCCACCTGTCTAGTATACTGTCTGAGTCACTTTTTGAACCTACTTAAACCATTTCAGGCAAAACACCTCTCAAAACTAGCCCAGGAGCCACAGGTGACGAATGCTGCAGACTGGAACACTTTCCAACAGGGGCACAGAAGCCTGTGGGATGTTGTTGAGAAGGACTTCCAAAAGGAGGAGGTATGCATTTTCCAGCCCTCAGTGCATTCATTATTATGCTAGCATGAGCCTCACAGTAATTTCTAATTGGGATCAACCTAGTTATTTAAATGCTCTGCACACGATCTGAAAGCCATCCCTTCACGTTGCATCTGTGTCTCTCCTGATTTTACCTATATGTCCCAGTGTAGCTGGGGAGTGAATCCTGCAGTTATTCTTTCCCCCCAAAACAGCAGTAGGGGAGTGGCCAAAGGTGGCAACAGCAGCAGTATGTACATACCTGTTCGATAACTTGAAAGATAGCCCTGCTGGGTCAGAGAAAAAACCTGTTTAGTCCAGCATCCTATTTCCCAGTGTTGCTGGCCAGATGCTTCTGGGAAACCCAAAAGAGAGACATGAAGTCTGAGAGCAATAGTTTTCTCCCACTGATGTTCCCCAGCAACTGGTACTTGGAGAGGGCTCTGCAAGCCCATCAACCCAGACAAATGTCACTTGTATCCACCACTGGAAGGGATAACTGAATTTATACCCCAAGCTGCTTATCTGAGATGCCTTTGAAATTTATGTGCTACTTTACAGTGCTGGGCATAGTGACATCTTTGCTGTGAAAATGCCTTCATCTGACAAGTCTTTTGAAAGCAGTGGTGGGAATCACTCCTGATCTGTTGTAGACATTTGCAAAATTACGCATAGCAGCTTGGTTCGATAGCCAAATTGTGTCACTAGACCTTGCTATGTATGTTTTCCTTCTGGGATTTTAGAGATGTACTCACCACCTTCTGATATAGCTGCAAAGCTTCAAGCTTCAAATTAATATTCATCTCTGCTTTGGGAGACTGCTATGAGCATATCTGCGTCACAGAATTAAAATGATCTAATAGTCATTCCCTGTCCCCAGTGAATCCTGGGAATTGTATTTCTTTGAGGGAAGGTGGTGATCTCATTTTAGCAGAGAAGTCTTGTCAAAGCACAGTTTTTAGCAATTTTTGAGAAAAGCCACAGCAATGAAAGTGGTATGAAACAGAGATAAACTTGTAATAGGTTTGTCATTTCACTAATCTTCATTTAGTAGGTTGAGGCCTAGACCTGTATCGTGGCCTGATCTAAGGTGGATCATATCAGCAGCACTACCCTAATATAAATATACAGTAAAAAGAAGTGGGTTATCATCAAATCCATTAAAAAAAGTTTAAGATATCTCTGAACAGAAGCCATAGGCCCCCCACAGCAGCCAGGCATTCTCCCCTTTCTCAAAAGTCCCTGCCTTGTGGTGACACTACTCCATCAAATTAGGGTCAAACTACATGTAATGTTGTGTATACTGTGTAATTATGTCTGGGTTTTTGAAAATGTAATATTTAGTGTGGATGGACCCCCCCCCCCATGAGCACAGGGAGGGGCTTCTGATTAAAATCCCCCTCGTGCTGCAGTAGCCTTAGGAAAAAAGCTCTTGATGCCTACAGAAGCTTCACATACACACAAGTAACTGGAGTACTGTTGGCAGGTTGGATTTTCATCAGGATCACAGCTGGGGAGGAGCCTGAGAACCTCAACTAGTATAAGAGATATATCCAATAATTCCATGTTTTATAGCTTTTCTTTAAATTTGTATTCTTTTGAACATAAATAAACTCTGGAAAGAAAAGAAAATCAAGGGTTCCAACATTTAGCATTACATTTGAAAGAGGGGGGAAAGATCTAGTTGTACACCATGCATTTAACACAATGTACAGTTTGACCCGCTCTGTATTTTTATCCTCAAACTCCTTTGTTTGTTTGTTTGTTTGATTGATTGATTGATTTGTAGGAATTTCTGTACCGCTCAACATATAAAATACCATACCTTTTAAGATTTAAAATAGACACAAAATAAAAAACAAGAAAATGATAAAGTATCTTCAGAAGTATCTATAACATGGCTGGGTCACTCTACAGCAGGGGTAGGCAACCTAAGGCCCGGGGGCCAGATGTGGCCCAATTGCCTTCTCAATCCGGCCCGCGGATGGTCTGGGAATCTGCATGTTTTTACATAAGTAGAATGTGTCCTTTTATTTAAAATGCATCTCTGGGTTATTTGTGGGGCATAGGAATTTGTTCATTCCCCCCCCCCAAAAAAAAATATATAGTCCAGCCCACCACAAGGTCTGAGCGACGGTGGACCAGCCCACGGCTGAAAAAGGTTGCTGACCCCTGCTCTACAGAGTAAGCTTGTGTGTGTAAGAAAGTTTTAAGCAAGCATCTATCACTGTATGCACTGTAAGCTCTTCTTAGATGGCCAGAGGGTAGGAATTCCACAAAGTAAGTGCAAAGGGCCTAGCTGCAGGGGTTCATGGATCAGACCTCAGGAATATGTAACAGGGGGGACTTCCGGGGTGGCGCCATTGGTAATGGCGGACTCCCTCTGATCTGGAGGGACCAGCTCCACGGGAAACGGGTCTTTTCCGCTACGGCGAAGCGGGGACCCTTTCAAAAATCACAGGCGGATGAAGCCTGTGACCATGGGACTCGGCGGGCACCTTTAGCGCCCCCCCAACCCGCAAAGGAACCCACTAACGGGCTCCGGAGCGAAGAGGGGGAAGTGGCGCGGTGCTGAGAGTCAATTGCTTCTTCCGTGGAGCGAAGCCACACAGCCGTTGCCGGAGAGCGCTGCCTTTTTCCTGGGACAATTTGGCTTTTAAAACAATCACCCGTGAGTACTTAAATTTCGGACAATTGGACTCTAAATAAGGATTTGCGAGTAGAAAGGAAAATTGGACTTAAAAGTTTATTTCAATTTGGCACTGAAACGGGAAGGTCTAAACAGGAAGTCAGCCTTCCGTTTCTTTGTAGATAGATTAAAGCAAAGACATGGCAAACTAGAGTTCAGAAAATCGCTTGTAAAGGATTAAATTTCATCATTTAAAATTGTTGAACCCCCTTTGGAAGCAGGAGAAGAGGGGGGATTTTGTTTTCTGGACTGTTTAAACCTGCAGAAGTGAGTGTAAAGCAAAGTAACTTTCCACCGTCTTGATCCTGGAGCGGGGTGTCAGGACTGACGTTTTTTGAAGCTCATTGACCAGAGACAAACGTTTTTGACAGATAGCTAAATAATGTAAGTTTACCACCCCACCTCCTCTTCCCCCCCTCCCTTTCTCTTTTCCCCCAGCCTGTACAACAGTGTCTCACACTGAATGTAACTGGTCAGTAGAAACGATTCTATGACCTGAAAAGAGACAATGCGTGTACTTTTGTAAACCAAGAAAATCCTTAATAAAAAAATATTTTAAAAGCAGGCTACAGTGACAGGGCAGGTACATAGCGAATAAGACTGTCACTCAAATAGGCTGTTTCTAAGTTGTTTGGGATTTTATATACCATCAGGAAGACCTTAAACCTGGCCTGGTAGCATACTGGCAGCCAGTGCAACAGTACAGTTGGTTTTTAAAGTATCGTTTCCTCTCTTCACAGTACAAGATGGCTGCCCAATGGAAGCACAGCTGTTCCACAAGCATTCTCCCAACTCTTGGACTAAATGGTAAAGCTTATTATATGTGTTGGTATGAATGAGCGCCTTTTCTAAAATCCACTTAGCTGGGAAACAATTTAGGTGAATGCCAAAGGGTTTTATTTTTTGTAAGTATTTATGTGACAAGCATGAGTTTGAAAACACATACAATCATATATGGACACTCAATGGAGAGTTGAGAGTGGCTTTGGCCCCTGTTTGGTACACAATTGGTGGCAACCTTTGTGTGAAATGCCCCAAATGCATAATGACCTAAATCTCAGAGATGATTAGGCAGTAACTCTAACTCCACTAAGATGGAAGTAAGCCCCCATGAATACAATAGGCCTTCCTTCTGTGTCTAGGATTGCAGCACTAAAAACTCATTGAAATTAATGGATATACATTAGGCACAACAAACTCGTCCTGTTGATTTCATTGGGGCTTTAGCATGACCAAGTACGTCTTGATTTTGGCCCAAGTGACTTACCGTAATTCCTGTATACTTCAGTTTCAGGGCAAGTTTATACATTGGCATGTCTCCATGGAAGATTGCTTTCCTATCACCAGAGCCAGACTTACCATTAGGCAAAGTGGGGCAGCAACCTCCAGTGGGGCTGGGGAGTAGGCAGCAAAGTACTGAAGGAATGGTGGTGAGATATTGGATGGCAGAGCTGTGTGTGCGCCACATAGCCTGTGCTCCCTCACTCCCATCTCTGAGCTACCCTGCTGCCCTTGGTTACAGTGGAGGACGATGTCTGGTCATTCTTGTGGAAGCTAGATTTGACTGCCACTCCAGTTGGCTTCCATCCATGTCATGGGAAACACCATCTTGTCCTTTGCCTCAAGCAGCAAAATGTCTTAGAGTGGCTCTGCCTGTCACAACTTTATACTCTGGTTGTAGCATTGCACAACCCAGCCTAAAATGGTTGATCTTTGTACAGGAGTGGTTCCCACTTCTTATGTTTGGAATAAATGATGCAAAGTCACCAGCACTCTTAAATTTTAGATGGCCAGAATCCCCTATCTCTCCTTGAGATGTATAGGTCTTGCATGTGCTTTCCTTCTCCTCCTTCAGCCAGTCTAGGAAGGCAGGGAGAATGAAGAGACAATGGCAAATTGGTAGATTCCATACTTTGCATTTTTCTATTGTGAACTGCTCTGGGATCTTTGGATGAAGGGTGGTGTACATTTTTTAATAATAATAATAATAATAATAATAATAATAATAATAATAATGCCACCACCAGGTTCAATTCCTGGCATCTCCGGTTTAAAAACCTATTGCAAAAGACCAGTCTGAAGCCCTGGAGAGCCATTGCCAGTTACAGTAGACAATTCTAGGCTAGATGGACAAATAGTCAAACCTGGGTAGGTATAAGGCAGCTTGCTAAGGCCCTACAGGTGTGGGTGGCAGCAAGGCAAATGTAGTCTGGTGACTGTCGCAGAGGGGGCAGCAAGAAGGACGACAGGAGAAATGTGGATTTCATCATGTGTCCAGTTGCTGGATAGCAGCAGCAGTAATGGGTAAGTGGGGGAGCAGGAATATGGGACAACACAGAAGCTTGGAAATACAGTGGTACCTCGGATTACATACGCTTCAGGTTACATACGCTTCAGGTTACAGACTCCGCTAACCCAGAAATAGTGCTTCAGGTTAAGAACTTTGCTTCAGGATAAGAACAGAAATCGTGCTTTGGCGGCGCGGCGGCAGCAGGAGGCCCCATTAGCTAAAGTGGTGCTTCAGGTTAAGAACAGTTTCAGGTTAAGTACAGACCTCCGGAACGAATTAAGTACTTAACCCGAGATGCCACTGTACTGGGGTTGTCTCCTTTTCACATGCGAGTGGGTGGCTGGCTGGCTTCAGGAAGTCACAGCACAGTTGGCTTAGGTTGTTTGCAAAGGGGACTTTGGTAACCTCTGAAAAGTGGGAATCCTTGCTTCACTCAAAATGAAAAGAAAAGGGGAGATGAGACACGACCTGGCTTTGTACAGAACCACCCACTCCTATTTGTCTTTGGAAAAGAAAATAAATCTGTAGCTGCTCCAGCTTCTATTCCTCAAAGCGTGAGCTAGCCAGGAAATCAGTCTCAGCCAGGGGATGCACTAGCTGCTCCTCCTCATCCTTCCTGAGGCAAGGCAGGCTTTTCCCATTGGTGCACAAAGCCCCGAGTCCATTAGCAGTAGCCAAGTCTGCCTTGTCAGTTTAGTCGCCTGATATGTAACAAATCTGCCTGTGTGACAGGAGACGTTGCTGTGCTGCATAGTGGCAGCCTGCTGTCCGCCTGGCAACTCCAAGGATTCCTCCCCCTCCCCCCTCCCCCCACCTCCTCCGACTTCTCTCTTTCAGGTCTATCGGAACTCGATTTTAAGGTAGAGGCAGAAGATAACAAGATTGGGGCTCCCCAGGCTGAGCTGTCACTCAGCCGTGCCTCCGTGAAGTCACGCCCTGCCTCCACAAAGGATGCTGAAGCTGGGAGCAGGCTGCTTCCTTGCACAGAGCCTGCATCCGCACAATCCCTTATGGACCTGCCGACTGCAGGAGAGAAATTGGAGCATTATACTCGAGACAGGCCCAGGCCCAACCGCAGGAACAGGCAGCCCCCCAGCAAGCCAAATGTAAGACTCCTCTTGCTTTTTTAAATCTCCAATTGCTTTTGCAGATGCACAAGGGGTGTGTGTGTGTGTGTGTGTGTGTGTGTGTGTGTGTGGAGAGAGAGAGGAAGAGAGAGAGAGAGAGAGATGGGCAAATGCCTTACGGGTGTTTATTGCAGCCCTGGAAGATGAAATGAGTAGAACAGCAGCTGTTTGATTATGCGCTTGTCAGCTGGGCACTGGCCACTGCTGCGTAGAGGACAAGGTTGTTTATATATGAATATATGCAGCATTTGGGGGTCTGGAAGCAGATCTTGGCTGCTTGTGTTTATTTCTTGGGTTTTGCAAGGTAGGGGAAATTGTAGCACTGCCCACTCTAGGAAAAACTGCAATCTGGATTCTGTGGCAACCATCTGCATGCACTCACTCACTTTTGAGTGCTATGTTTATTCAAACATTTATGGAAGAACAAACTTATACTGCTGCATGGACAATCTACTGTCTCTTTCTGGAAAAATGTGGATTATTTTTGGAACTGTTAGCATGGATTATGCCACTAGATCCTTAGAATATATAAACAGCTAAGTAAGGCCTTTGCTCTTTGAACATTTTGGGCATTGACCTGGTATGTTTTCCCAGGTGAAGGAGAATAAGGGAAGGGAAGGCTTGTACCACGAGATGTCTTTTTAGCAGAAAATGGTCCATTTATAGAATTATAAATTAACCCTTTGACTACAGCTGAGAGTAAAAACAAAAAACAAAAACTTTGTGGTGCAGCCCAAGCTATATATATTAGAGAACTAGAAATCTGTGTTTAACAGAGGGGGGTGTGAGAGAGAAAGAGAAATACATTCTTTGAGTGATATGTGAATCCAGATTATGAATATAGCAATGCAAGTGATGCCTCGGAAGATGTAAGATGGAGAGTGGAGTTTGGCGTCCCTGCAAAGGTAACACATGTTTCTTCATCGCTTGTTGCCTTGAGGCACTGGGGCTGAGGGCTGTTTCCCACCACTACTTTTTTTTTTTAGGGTGAAGCATACCCAAAGTGTGTTTGTGTATGGTTACCACATACTTGGAAAAGTTCAAAATGTGGGTTGAACCAAGCGGTGATGAATAGTGAATTGTGAACTCGCTGTCTGATAATTAGTATTTATTCAATTGGACACCCACAAGAAATTGCAGGAGGAGGGTGAAGGCAGTAGTGCAGTCATTTAATTAAACCCTGGACTTAAATGTGGGCCTTCCTTTTTAGATTAAAATTTGTATTACTTCACTTGCTTCAAAATGTGGTAAGTTAGCCCTGCTGCATTTACAGGTCCCTCTGTTCACTTTGGCAAGTGAGACCCTGCATGATATTATTACATTTATAACTTACCTTTCCTCCAAGGAGCCCAGGGAAGTGCATGTAGTTCTCCTCCATGATTTATACTCACAACAACCCTGTGAGGTAGGTTAGACTGAGAGTTGGTGATTGGCCCAGTGTCATGCTTTATGGCTAAGTGGGGATTTAAACCCTGGTCTCTCGGGTCTTGGTCTGACATGCTAACTAATACACAATACTTTCTTGTTTCATTGCAATGAATTGACTCCCATGATCATTTCAGTGCCTCAAGGCCACAGGTTTCTTCCATCCCAGAAGTGATGGGAGAAATGGGTTCAGTAAAAGCACACCAAAGAGCCTCTGCTATTTTAACTACTCTCATAACAGTACTTTCTGCAAGAATAGAGAAGGGACCCTTTCCTGCCTGCCTCCTGCTCCCTGATTTAGCCACCCTGGATATTCTCATTGAATACTAAAACTGCTTCTCATACATTAACCTAGACATGCTTGCAATAGTCCTGTAAGGCAGACCCATGGTATTAATATTAATCCCCACATTGTTTGAAGATGGCATTGGGTTGCATGAAGCTGAGAACTTGTGACTTGTCTAAGTCAATCCAATGGATTTGCATGGCTAAGATTGGAACCAAAGATGTTTTGGCATATAGCTTTTGCTACTCTATAATGCTACTGTTATATAACAAAGATGTGTTTGTACATTCACACAAATGTATGAGATGCCTGACCACTTATCTTGGTGCTGCGGACAACATTTCCTACATCTGACTAGAAACTTCTTTTAAATCAGGCTCTCACCCCCAGACTATGCTGAAGGAGTGGGGGGAGTTTAGCTATTTATTGCCTATGGTCTCTTACTCCCAATACTGGAAGCAACAACTGAGACTTGAACCCAGGACCATTCAGTTAAGTTGAGATGGCACCATAATTTCAGGACTGATCAAAGAAAGTACACTTCATAAAACACAAGCTTAATGTATGGAATTTGTGACCCCAGGAGATGCTGAATGGCATCTAGCACAGATGTCTTTAAAAAAGTTTGGTCAAATTAATGGAGGATAGATCTATGAAAAATTATTCATCCTAGCAGCTCAATGGGACCTCCATATTTTAGAGGCATCATATCCAGTGTTAACAACAGATTTGGGGTGGGCAAGAAGTCCTCAGGGCTTCTTCCATTGCCATTATCACTGTTTCAGATTCACTTGGTGTTCTCCCTCTGGCCTAAATTCATACCACTCCCCCACCCCCAAAAAGGGCAAGACAAATGGAGGCTGCCGCTGTTTCTCATGTTGGAATCTCTGATGTTGGAATCAGAGAGGTGGAAGGGACCTTAAAAGTAATCTGGTCCAACCCCTTGCCATTGCAGTCTGTCCTCTACTTCAATGTCTTGTTACTGCTTGCATGCTTGGAGGGGGTTAGGTAAACAGACAACAGCAACAAGGAGAAGGAGTGAGAGCAGAGTGCTCTGGAAGTTAGCACTGGTCTTCCTGCTGGGTTGTGGGCTTTGGCTGTTGCTCAGTGATGCCAGCCCTGGGTATACCTAATGACTCTGAGATGCTGGGAGCAAGCAACAGGGGATGACTTAATTCTATAGGGCTTCTCAAGGGCACTGGAAATGCTAGACTACATGGACCCTTTATTTGAGCCATCATAGGCATTCCTGATGTTCTTTGTCTTGATGCCTTTTGAAACAGGACCATGTACCTCTAAGTATGAATGGGCGAAGCTGAATATTTTGAGTTTCCTCCATTTCTTAATCTTTTCAGTTCTTCACATTTGTACATCAGTTCATAATATCTATTTTTTAGAGTTCTCATGAAAATTCATTTTAGTATAAATTTACTTTAATATAAACAATTGTATGCAGGTTTCCCTAATATACATATTTTTCCAAATCAAAATACCGTACACAATTAAACTATGGAACTCGCTCCCATAGGAGGCAGTGATGGCCACCAACTTGGATGGCTTGAAAAAAGGATTGGACAAAGTCATGGAGGATGAGGCTATCAATGGCTGCTAGCCAGAATGGCGAGGCTCTGCCTCCGTGGTTGGAGGCAGCAATGCTTCTGAATACCAGTTGCTGAAAACTGCAGGTGGGGAGAGTGCTCTCGCACTTAGATGCTGCTTGCAGGTTTCCCACTGGAATTTGGTTAGCCACTCTAAGAACAGGATGCTGGTTTAGATGGACCTGTGGCCTGATCCTGCAGGGCTGTTTTATGTTTTTAATTTTCTGTAATACAGTACATTTTGTATGTTATTTTCACTAAGATGTGCATTTTAATGCAGGCTGTATTCTAGTATACGTATTTTTACACACATTACTTGGCTGGAGAACTGCACTGCAAAGTTCAAAGAAGTGTAAATTTTGAAGGATGGTTGTGTTTTGGGTCAAATGTTGTTTAAGAAAGTGCAGATTAGGTAGATTCATCTTTGAATGCAAAGTGAATCAAATTTCTCCTCCATCCCTACTTCTGAGAAACCAAAAACTCTCAGGCATGTTTGCATCATTACATGTTTATATTTCCATGTGTGCCCATATAACCCAAATCATTCCAGATATGTAGATATATGCATATTAATTAGTGAGAGTGCAGGCAGGAGAGTGAATGACACCTATAGGTTGCCCCAATTGCTTACATCTCACCTATGGGTTGTGCGGGGCAAATTTGTCCCATAAAAATGTATTGGGCAGCCACTGCTGGAAACGACTATTTCCTATGAGTGGAAGCACTGTGAGATGTGTGGTGGAAATGTGACCTACTGGATTTAGGCCTTTGAGATCATTGGACAGGAGTGGGGAACCACTTTTGCACAGAGGGACAGATTCAAAAGTGGCCAACCTTTTTAGGCTACATTGACAGGTGGGTGGCGGCTCTGCTCACCTGTCAGTTACCGGTACCTTTGATAATGCCCTCAAAGGCTCCTGACTGTTTCTTTTCAGCTGCAGCTTTACCTGTGTGATGCATGATGTCATATGACATCAGATGAGTGGTAGGTGAGCCTAGCCCAGCAAATAAGTTGTGGTGGCCAAATTTGGCCTGGTGGACCTAATTAGGCCCAGAGACTGCAGAATTCCCGCCACTACAGTACTGTTTTTTTTACTAGTTTGAATCCGTTGAATCCCTGCCATTTAAAAGACATGGGGAACAGCATAACTCAGGCATAGGCAAACTCGGCCCTCCAGATGTTTTTAGACTACAATTCCCATCATCCCTGACCACTGGTCCTGTTAGCTAAGGATGATGGGAGTTGTAGTCTAAAAACATCTGGAGGGCCGAGTTTGCCTATGCCTGGCATAACTATTTGGTATAGAAGTCACTGACATTGCTTCAGGAAGGCCTGAAATAATCAGATATTCTTCCCTGGCTGCCCTTCGCTTGATTTCCCCCTTCTTTTGTTGAAGGGTTATACAGAGATCCCAAGACTGCTGTATTATTTTTTTGTTAAGCCCAGCAAATGTACTGCAATTAAGGTTTCCAAGGTTCTTTGTGGAGACATTTCCTCCAAACCAGGTTGTTTACATTTTGGATATGCCTTCTATATGCAATAATCAGTAGAAACACTCATATCATTTGGACCACTAGAAACAAAAGGGCTAGGTTGTGCTCAAGTGAGAGGAGCAAGTGTCAGAAAGGATGTGGTGATGAGAGACCACCCACCAAAACATCACTACACATGTGACGAACTAAAGCACAAAAATGTACTAACAAGCTTCCACAGCAGCAGCAGTGGCTGCTGATGTGAAACAGGTTGTTTTTACTTATCAGCAGTAAGGATTAAATGTGTAAAAAGGAAAAGTACAGACTAGTATTTTATAATGATGTTGTGTGCATGCTGTGTAAATTTGGGTGCATGAGTAGCACCGATTCCACAATAAATTCCCATCTGGAAACATCCAAGCATAATAGTTAACAGGAGTCCTGCAATTTCAGATAGTTCTTAAGCTTGTTAAATCTGCCACAAAAACTCACCAGTGCAGACAGTGTTCACTTGCATATGTTAATTTCCTAAAATGTGTGCCAGATTAAAACAGCCCAGCATTAAAATGGAATTTTAAAATGAACTATCTTGGAATCCAAGAAGCCCTTTTAGGCTAGCCAGTCAGAAGACAACCTCAATGTAGACCAGAGTGTGTTGTGTGATTTCAGGGAGGCTCAAATTGGCTTTAAATTTTGGAAAACAGCCAAAGCCTGTGTTTGCTTTCCTCCCTTAAAAAAACCATAAAAATATGTGTTCCCAGGGCCACAAAAAAATTCCCCAGCCTCCTCTGCAGATACATGTTGGGGTGCCAAATGATTTGGAGTTCTGCACCCTGGTGTTTCTGCCAGTACTGATGCAAAGGTAGGCCCACACAGTTGCATTTATACATGTGTGTGTACACACACACACACACACACACACACACACACGAGCATTCTTTAGCTGTGATTCCTGCATTGCAGGGGTTGGAGTAGATGACCCTTGGAGTCCCTTCCAGCTCTACAATTCTATTATCCACTGAAGTACAGCTCTTACTTTCTAACAGGAGTGTTTGTCTATTTTCATGTTCTCTCTTGATGTATTCTGAAGTAGTCAGTATTGAAGTCCTTGTGCTTTTCAGTTTACAATGGATCAGATGTGCCTAATCAGGGAACATGACCACTATTCTCTTTTTGTATAATGAGAGAACAACCTCTGTACAGAGAATTTTAAAGGGTTCTATTTCAAAGAAGGAAGATGGATGCAATCTCCATGCTGAAGATATAGATATATTTATCTTCAGTTTTATTGCACCCATTCCCATAAATAACAACAACACAGGAGGGACTCTCTGCTTTGCTAGGACCCTCCTTATTCTTTAGTTTAATTACTGTAATGCTTAACCCAACCTTATGTCTTGTGTTGTGTGCCAAGCTGTGGGTTGCTTAGCTAGCACTGTAACTATCTTTCCAGGAGTAGACACAGGGAAGCATAGGATGGCTTCAGCTACTGTGTAGTGGTGGTATCATGTGATCTACTTGTGTCTTTCACTCCCCACTTTCCTTGGCTTATTATCTGCATGTCCCCCCCCCCCCAAACACTGGTTAGGCCACTGTCCATGAAAAGCTGGTGCTAATTGCAAGTCTTTGTACTTCCCTGTTTAGGGAAGTTTTTAATGTTTGATATTTTATCGCTTTTTATTCTGTTGGTTACAATTGTTCAAATTATTATTATTATTATTATTATTATTATTATTACTACTACTACTACTATTAATGCACATATACAGGCCTCCTCATTTATCACTTGCTACGTAGCTTCCATTACTTGCCCTGATGTTACAGTACTTAGAAATAATTACCGTAACTTCCTTTATTGTGAACACTTCAAAATCTGTCCCACACTCCAGGGTTGCTTCTCTTGAAGGGGGTGTGGCTTGCAGACTTGTGAATATAAGAGGGAGGCAAATGTTCTAGGATAACTTGAGACTCCTGTACTGCCACCAGGGGAGACCTCCTGCTAGGTGCATTCCCAAAACCAAGTGTAGGATCAACAGTTACTGTCATTAACTGGATCCATCATTGTGTGTGGAGTCTTGGAGAGAGTGCTTTCCTCACATGAACGTATCCTGCTTGGATTCTACTCTATATCCTAAAGGTGTGTAAGGAAGAAGATTTTCTGATTTTTTGAGCATACACCATGTTCTAAATCAGAGCCTTCTTAGCTAAAGGGTTCATGCAGCAAGGAAGCTAAAGCAGAATTTGGGAGTAGATTGTATTTTCATGTCCAATAGGAGTTGCTTCCTTTGGCCTGATTCTAGATGATTAAATAAGAACACTAAATGCTTAAATAAAAGCATGGGCTGGAGAATTAACCAAGTTTCTAAAATGCCTTCATACTTCTCAGATTTCAGTTTATACCGTTTCAATAGCATATTCTGCAACCCTACTGTGGCACATATAATCTGCAGTTTTAAAGTGTGAGGATTGGATTACATTTAGGGTATGTTGTATTATTTCTTTTGTAGCTCCATAATCCAATCTGTAAGAGAGAGGTTGCTTCCAGGGTTGCTGAAAGGTTGAGAACACTGGTCAAATTTACAGAAAGCTGATTTGATGTTTGGAAATAGTAATGGCAAGATAATAAAAAAGTGGTGGTGCCTGCACTGTTCTGGGCAAAACTAAAAATGTATATGGATTTCTATGTCATACACTATGGTCACTTTTAGAGACCTGTCTTCTTTATGTCTATTTCCATCTTCTACAGGAAAGTCCCTCTAATAATAATGAAGCATAAATTCAGTTGCAACTAATTTGTTTTATTGATTTCAGTGGGACTTGAGTGGGACTAACATTCTCTAAATTTGGGCTCATGTATTTAGTCCTGGGGATTAGTTATGTGTTTCCATATAGATGTACATGGAGTCCATTTTGCCACAAGTGGCTTTTTAATGAGTTGTTTTGTTTTTGTAATGGTTTATGGTTGAAACAAACTTTTATTTATTTACTGTAGAGACCCACCACCTTTTGTTCAGTAACTATCTGCTGGTCCCACGCCTTGACCAAACACATGAGCTTTACATTGTGCTTCCAAAACTGTTCCCAGCACTACCAACAAATTGGAAAAGTACCTGGAAAGCTTCCACAGTCCAGCCCCCTCATTTCGAAACCATTCCATCTGCTGTGAATATGGGTTGTGTGAATCTCTATGTAGCTTAATGAGGCTGATTGTTAAAGTCTGTGCACAGTACATAACTCAACCCTTACATTGTTAACTGTGCTGCTGCTGCAGTCATTTCCAGGAGTTTTGCAATGCTATAATAAATGTGTCTAGAGCAGGGGTCAGCAACCTTTTTCAGCCATGGGCTCGTCCACCATCCCTCAGACCATGTGGTGGGCTGGACTATATTTTTTTCGGGGGGGGGGGTGAACAAATTCCTATGCCCCACAAATAACCCAGAGATGCATTTTAAATAAAAGCACACATTCTACTCATGTAAAAACACACTGATTCCCGGACCATCCGTGGGCCGGATTGAGAAGGCGATTGGGCCGCATCCAGCCCCTGGGCCTTAGGTTGCCTAAGAAAGTTGGGACCTGTCATGCTAAGGCAGCATTAAAATATCCTTCTTATATAGTTTTTCTATATTTTACTAATGTCTAAAAACAAGATTTACTGGTATAGCTGGAACAAAATTATATTGAAGGCTGTTAATCAGAACTGGATGAAGAGGTGGTGAGGTTCAATATTATTGGTTAAGAAAAAGAATGCCATCTTGCCTAATAAAGGTCATGTGAGGCATGCCTCCTACTGGCACACCAGCCCTTATCATCCTTTCTGTTTTTTTCTGTTTCTTCTGAAAGAAAACTGGATTCTCCTCTGATTAGAATCCTGCGCTTGGTGCTTGCCATCATTTTTTTCTCCAAATGTAAAGTATACAATAAGCTGTTCTTCTATTAAACGTGTTTTGAAAACAATTCTGTTTTCCTTTTTTACATTCAGTCTAGAAATTCATTCTGACAACATGCATTAAGTTTGGCCCTTACTGCTGGTGTACACAACAATCATGGTCTAGAAAGTTAGAGCAGTGTTGGACCTAAGATGCAAGGACCCTGCTCTAGCACAGAAAGCGAGGCAGTTTAGTGGCTTCCCACCATGCTCACACCCATTTGGCTTTCTAGGCCTCTTGGTAACCTGTGATGATGGAAAGAGGGGCAGTTTAGGGGTTACCAAGAATTATGATCTGTCTCTACTTTGTCCACTGTGTTGCAAGATTTCCATGTTTGGAAGGTGAATCATGATCAAGACTGCAAATTGGCCTTTCTTAGAAGGTCAGCCAGACAGCACGGTGCCCAAAGCAGGGAGCAAAATTTTTGTTTTCTGATGAGTTTGCCATGGCTGAGTCATGCCTGCTTATGAGCTGAAAGTGACTGTAAATCCAAGTGTTAAATACCTGAGCAACAGGCTTTTCTGTAGAGAAGCCAAATCCTAAAGAAAGATATCAGAGAATATCCAGGAGGCAAGAACCTCACAAGCAAGAAAGAGTGCATCCTCACTGCATGTATTTGTTGTGTAACATAGTACAAGTACTAACAACAGTGCTAGGATTTGTGTGCCCTCATCATATTTGTGTAATGTGATATGATGTGAAGTTTCAGTTAAGAGTTTTCTAGACCCAAACAGTATTTGCTGCTTGAATAGCTGGCCAGACAAAATAGCTGATTTCTACCCTCTGAGTCTGCAGTGTAAACAAGGAGAACAGAGAAAAGAGCCTGTATGGTGGTGGATTATTTTTCAATTCCATACTCCCATTTCTTATTTCTCCTGCCTGTCACTCTGACTGTGGCACTTTCTCCTAGGTGCAGCCTCCTGTGCGTGAGAATGATGAAGACAGAAGCATCGCTAGGCTGGATGAAGGGCTAGATGAGTTTTTCACAAAGAAGGTGATTCATGAGCATTTACAGTAAGTGAAGAGTTTTCCTCAGCCCAGTCGTTACCAGTGAACAATAACTAGGTGGTGGGGCATTTCTGCACCATGGGGTAGAAATCAGGGAGCCAGCCCATGATATAGGCAAATATTATGACAATGATAAAAGTTTAATGAGATTTGTTAACAATTTTCACAGCAGGCAGAACTATTGGACAAATTTTGCATGAAGAATTGGATTGTTTCGCATGATGAATACATTCAGTGCTGAAATGGAGCACAAGTGCTGTTTCCTAACATGGAGTGGCAATGCTATCTAATGCTATTTAAGGAGCCAATGCTTTCCCAAGCAGAGTAGCTTCCACTGGCACTATTGTATTGGCAGTTAACTTCCTGTGGTTCTCTGTTTTGATGTTGGGGAGCATTCAAAACTGCTATCTTCAACCTGTGCAGACAAGGCATTTGTCATTTTCTGTCACAGAGTGGGTAATTCTGCTGGCACCTGACTGGTTCTTCCTTCATTTAATACACTGAGTTCATTGTGGGCATATCTGTACCAAAGGTGCCCTATTCACAAAAATTCACTAGGATTCCAAGATGTCAATATGACTGCAACTCCTCAAGTAATTCTATTATTATTTCTTGTCTGGTTGCAGGCCTGCCTCATTGGAATCCTGCCTGGCAGCAGCCACGCCAACAACACCATCTGGTTCTCGGACCTTGAAAAAGAAAATTGGACACTTCTTTGCCTTCAAGAAGCCGAAGTCAAGCCGGGGTTCCAGGCCAGAGAAAGAGCCCGAGGGTAGTCCCTCAGCAACCAGGGGCAGGAAGCTGATGCTTAGTGACATTTTAAGGGCCCCCAGCAAAGCCAGCGAGCCAACTAAAGCACTAAGCAAGTCTGAGGAAGGAGGGCTGGCTTTGGAGAGCAGAGGTTACCTGGAGCAAAGCCAAACTCCAGACAGTGCTCGAAGGGCCAGGCCAAAATACTCCAGGGAGGGGAAGTCCCAGTCCCTGATTCTTCTGTCAGGCGAAGATGAAGAGGGTCTTGGTGTGAGACATGAGAAGGTAAGTCTTTTCTGTCTCATGTGTGGCTCAGTATTTGTTTGTTTGTTTGTTTTATCTTATTTCCACCATGGAACTCAAGGTGGCATACATGGAATTCCCAGTCTCTTATACACTGACCAGACCCAGACCTCCTTAGTTTCAGCAAGACTGTTCCATTACGTGTCTATGGGACATTTCATGTGATGAATCTGGTCTTTTAAAGTCAAGAACATGAACATTCAGTTTAGCCCTAAGATGGAAGATGGCGAGTCCTATGATAGAGATGACTGGTCGTGCCGCTAGGGAGAAGAAAAAACAGGTTTATCCCTAACAAAGCTAGGCATAAGCTGCAGTTTTCTGTGGTGGTTTTCACAGACCAACTGTCAAGATATCTTCAGAGAACACATGCTTCCAGTTGTGTTCATGTGTCAAGAAAGGGAAGCATCCTGTAGTTGTTGACTACTTCGTAGTGAGGGGGATGTTATACAGGGGGATGTTGTCTATTTTATCTCACCTGCCTGCTCAAACCCAGTGAGACAGATGACTGTCAAGAAGCAGCTGTACAAGTTCTTTGTCATCATAGCAGTGATTGCTGTAGGGTGGAAAGATGGATCTTACTGAAATTTCAGCTGTGGGAAAGGGACTGGATACTCTGTTACTAACTATTGGACTGTTTGGGTGAGTGTGAAGAGCAGGTGGTGGCTTGTGCAAGGCAACTGGTATAAAGTTAGCTTGCCTGACTGTCCTGGCAGTATCCAGATAAATGACCTCAGAAAGGACTCCCACCCCTGGTTCACACAAAATGTAAGGTTTAGCAACACAGCCAAGCTAGGATGCACAGCCTAGCTAGCTAGGTAAAGCTGCCAGTCTGTTTTGCTGATGTAGTAAGTGGCATTGCAGCCCAGGTTTGTCATGTGTTTTGTCCTATAGAAGAGGCCTTTTGAGAAGAGTGATGGTGAACTGCCCAGCTCCTTTGAACAACGTGTCCATGTCATGCTGCATCGGATTGGTGTCACCAAGGTGTTATCCACTGAAGGTAAAAAGAAACAGGTGAGGAAAATGCTGCTTTTGGTGGTGGGTCTTTTAGCAGTAATAGTGGTTTTTGGATTGCTTGGAACAGGCAGCCTCCTTTGGGAGAAGCTAAAAGTGTAATGAGAGCTAGGGAATGAAATGTGTTCTGAGCAGATTATTTTCTTTGCCTGCTTTGATTAGTTTAATTTTAAATAAAACACCGTATTTAATTGCAGCCCATTTTTGCCTTAAACAGAAAAATAACTAAGGCTGCAATTCTGTACACACATACCTGGGGGTAAGCCCTACTGAACACAGTGGAATGTACTTGTAAACCTGCATAGGATGCATAATTAGCGTGAGTCTGTAATGCCAACAAAAGTAGTCTCTATGGAAAGAAATGCACATCCCAAATGATCTACTGTTTGTTGCTTAACGGGCTTGCTCATGCACATCAGAGTCTCTTCAGTAGTGGGAGTTACTGGATAGATGTTCCTCTCTTTTGGCAAAAATCCAGATTGTGTTGCCTTTTAATCCATTCCATCTCCAAGATACGGTTCAATCCCTGGTATCTGATGGACACTTAAGTGATTGTAGTGGGATATTCCATTGCCCATGAGAACAATAGTATTACAAAATTGCATGTAAAGTGACCATTACTGGCACCCTCCCTCTCATATCCACTGGGGCCTATCCCAACAGCATCCTAATTCTTACTTCAGTCAAACTGAGATCCTCTCCATTTCCTGCCAAGTTGTAGGATTTCCTTTTCCTTGCCTTTCTCATGTAGGCTACTCTAGAGACAGTGTTTTCCAGAAAGGATTTTCCCCTGAGAGTTTTTCTTTGCATTCTTTTGCAGAGCAAAGATGGGGAGATTAAGAAAGCTGGTTCTGATGGTGAGTAGCAGCTGACTCTACTTCTCCCCTGCTCCTACTATTCACTATGTTACATTACTTGAGCAGTCCATACCTTGTCCTTCCTGTAGGACAAGAAAAGTGTTTCAAATTTCTAGATGCCTCAACCCTGGTATCCAAAATACTGTACTCTGCTCCCAAGAACCAGTACCCACTTAGTGCTCCTATCACTACACCACATCAAAAACCTGCTCTTGAAACTCCCCTAGCTTCATAAATGGGTTGCTGTGTGAAAATCACAGGTGCAAAGCCCCCTTGGGCATGTGGAATTAAGGAGCACACAAAAGAGACCCCTGGAAATCTATCCAGTTTTAACAGCAGGCATTTCAATGCGTCCATTTAGAAAGAGAAGCACAGAGAAAACTGCAAACACTTGCCTTCTGACTGTGCACTGAGCATTGATGACATCTACTGGACTTGAAAGGGAAATAATACGTGAAATATTCCTGAGAACTCATGCCCATGGTGTCTTTCCACCCACTCATTGCTTGTTGTTTTCTTTGTTAAAGGAAAACCAACAATACCACTGCTTTGTTTGTTACAACTTCTTCATTGAAGTGTTTTCTGTAAACCTTAGAAAATCTGAGGAACGCTAGCTACAGCCAACAATGCTATTTTCACTGATTCAGGAAGGTCATGTTGGGAACCAAGATGTTTCAATTCCTTTTTTAATAAATGTTTTTATTAAAAGATTTTCCATAAGTAACAAGAATACATTCAGTGTCTCTATTTTCATATAGTAGAGTCTTTCACACAGATCAATTGCAGTTAATTTGAGACATTTTTGTTATAAGCAATGTGGGGTTGAGGGGGAAAGAGAAGTGGGGAGATAGTAGAGAAGAAGGTGGTGGGAAGAGACAGTAAAGTTTCATTCTTTACAGAGTATATGAGTGGTGCTTTTATGTCTATGGTGTGTGGATAGGTGTCTTATTTTTGCTAATGGAGTGAGAGCAAGAGATCATGCTACCCATAATGAGAAATGATTTATTTTAGCATCAACTCGCTGTTTCAAATTCTATTTTATAATGTAATGGTTCCGATCTTCTCAAATATGAGCTATGGGGTATTTTTCTGCAAGCAAGAGCAAGGTATTTTCATGCTAAGTGCGTAACTAGAGCAAACCTGCCACAATGATGTGAAGATTTGTGAGATATACAGCATGACTCCCAAATTTCAAGCTGGGCCAGCAGGATATACTGCTGGCAGAGGTGCCAACAGCCTGACTGCTGGGGTGGTGAACCTCTGGCCTGCAGGCCAAACTTGGTCCCATTTACCCCACAAGGCTATTTTCCCCAAACCACACCCACCTGCCCATCTGCTGATGGGCAGGAGTGGGTTTAATCCTGCATTGGCGGTGCACTGTTCCCAGCAGGAAACACGATCATGTAGCCAAGGCAGTAAGATTTAATTCCCACTCAACAGCTAATGAACGGAGGGTAAATCTGCTTAGTTCAATCATGCCATCATTCCTGTTTAAGCCCCCAAAATTGGAGTTTAAAAGTGTGGGGTATGTCTGAAAGGGAGTGCTTCTCTAAATATCCAAGAGAGCAGACAGCGATGGAGGACGTGAAAGAAGCATGCATTGTACAAGCTCATTTCTCCTCGCCCTCACCCTCCACTGCCTGCTCCTATTTTTAAAGGCTTGCGTCTTCTCTCCCACCCACCCCTTTAAACATCTGAGAGGGTGGTGGTGGGTAGGAGAAAGGAGCAGGTTTAATGCAGGTTTCTTTCTCCTCCCTGTGGCACCCACTTGCTCAAATGTTTAAAGGACTTTGCCAGTTGCCCCAAACTCTAAATCTCCAAGATTGGGAACTAAAGATGGGCAAGGGATTTTGACATGTGACTAACCCCACTCGTATATGAAATTTGGCCTGTGATAAGGAATCTGGCACATGGAGCTAAAAAGGTTGCAACTCTTGTCATACAGAGAACTAATTCTCTTGAGATAATATGCAACATATAATGAGCTTGCAATGGTGTTCGATATCTAGTTCTCAATGAAGTGGTTAACCTGTGCATGAGATTTATCACTTCACACTGGTGGAATTTATGCCATTCATATGTTGCTTTTTCCATTATAAAAATTTAGTAATACATACATGAGGTTCCCAGGCTATATCTCACCCTGGCACTGGCACTGACCTGACCTAAACCTGCTTAGCTTCATTACTGCCTTCAGACTATCCTCCATACAAAAAAATCCCATACATGTAGAAAACAAGCAGAAGAGTTCTAGTTAGTTTTCTACATGCAGGGAAGGATTATATCATGTAAGCCTCCAGCTGCATTCAGCAGGATCTAGGTTTTTACAAGTTTAGCTGCACTTTGGATAAATAACCCTTTGACCTTCAGCAGTAATCCATGCCCCCCAAACACATTCTACACCTTGTTTTTGGCCTGCTTCTTGAATGTGGTTGTTTGGTTTCTAGGGGATATTGTGGACAGTTCAGCGGAATCTCCTCCTTGCCCCTTGAAATCACGCACACACTCCATGTCCACAGGTAGGTGTGCTTTGAGATTGGTGAGTTTCTTTTCCATGGTGCTTTATAATACTGTAGTTTTCACTCTTTAGCTATAGCAGATCAGTCTCTTCAACTGTTCACACACTTGCCATGGCAATCTGCATATAGAGCTCAGGGTCAAAGCTAGGCATGGGACAATGGGGGATTTCCTCCCAATGCAAACAACAGCTTCAGAATAACAGTGTTTGTCAGGACCACATAGGGGCAAGAAAGGGTTAAACTCCCCCATCCCTGTTCCCAATAATGATAAACCCTTTCAGTGGCTGCTATCTGCATTAAAAACAACAACCATGCACAATAAGTACAAAGACACATTTAATGTCATGTCTAGTTTGGCCCTTAGTCTCAAAGAACACAGATCAGAGGTCATGGGACAAACTCTTGACCCAGCCCCACAGTGGGCTGGGGAATAACAGATCGTTAGTTTATAGCCTTTCTGTATTAGGCTCAAGTTACCTTTGTCCTATGCAAACTAAGCAAAAGCACAGCTGCTTCATGCAATGATTTCTCAGAGATGAACTGAAACAGTTTCTACAGAATGCATTTATGTACTGATAGGGTAGGCCACATCACAATATCTTTTTAAAAAAAAAATAGTCTTCCGAATGAAACTGCTTTACCTTCCTCCAGGTTTTGCATGAAGATATGGCCCTTGGGGTATCTTTGGGGGTTTATGTCAGGAATTCATTTGCCCATAGAGTTCCAGTGTGGTGTAGTGACATTTAATGTATTAGGATTAGGGAGAATGTCGTCCAAATTTCCACACGGTCATCAAGCTTACTCAATATACCTCACCATAACCGACCTCAAAGGCTTGTTGTGAGAATAAAATCAGAGGGTGAGCCATGTATGCTGCCCTGAGCAATGTGAAGGAAGAACAGGATGAAAATGTAAAAAAGTAATAATGGTAGAAAGAGGGAATAAATAAATGATTTGGAGATGCAGAATCATCCCAGAAGAACTGATCAAGCATGTAAGAGTGGGAGGGGGTGGGGGTGTGAATGCCTGTCTACTTGATAGCATGTGGTGCTGTATTGCAGATCCCTCCGTGCGGCTAGGTCCTGCTGATGCTGCTGGCAGAACAGGTACAGAACCCAGTGGAGGATCCAGTGAGGGGAGACTATCCTGGAAAGCCCTTGGGAAGCAACTCAATGTAGAGCTCAAGGGCAAGTGTTCAGAACTCAGCTCTTCGCCAAGAAGAGCTTTTGCCGTACAAGAGCCAGCCAGCCCAAGAGAGCAGAAAGCAAAAGAGAGCTGGAGCAGCAGTTTGCCCAGGATTGGGAGAAGCACAGCAGGCCCTCTTCCTATGCGGAGGACTAGCAATGCTGGAGAAGGACGAGCATTTGCCGAGCTACAGAATTCATATGCTGATGTAAACGTGATTGCTGGAGGTATGTTCAGTAGATTCCGGTACTAGTGCACCAAAATCTTGCTGCTTGCTTCTCTGCCAACATCCCAGAGGCCAGAGCACAGTGAAGCAAGTTTTCTCTATGTTTCAATTTGCTATAATGTTCATTTGGAACAAGGGAGAAGGAAAGTGTGATCTGGCTGTCTCAGCAAACTTGTATTTCTTGGAACATTGCATGGGATGTAGCTAATTAATCCAAAGCTTGTAGCTTGCCAGTGATAGGCTGGCCAAATCTGGAGGAGATATGGCTTAACGGCAAAACCTACTTTCTGTGTGGCTGCTCCCAGAATACGCCTGAAATTTGTCAAGCCCTGATTGAATAGCATATAACCCCTACCCTCTATCTTTCAGACAATCAACTCAAACCCAAATCTCGTCTGAAGCCTGTGGCAAACCGGAGGGCCATGTCTGTTCACGAAGAACAGCTCAGGGACCAGGCCTGTGCAGCAGAGCTGCACCGTAAGTAAACATGCAGAGCACAGCATTCTTTCAGAGCGCAAATCATGATCTAAAGAATGAATTTACTGTCTAGGTGGCTCTTGCAAGAAGCAAAAACACTGCTTCCATGCACCCTGGGGTGCTTTTCAGATAATCCCCTTCTCCCAGTCTCATTTCATTTTGGATTTGTTAACAAGAAACAACTGTCAACGTTTTAGACTTATATTGCTTTTTATTCCACTAAGCACTGATTCAGTGAGATTGGCCTTCATCCCTGCCACCTATTTAGAAGTAAAAGTAAGTCAGGTGAATTAATATACAAGGTACCAGTGTTAGGTTTTGTGGTGGTTTGGCAACTGTGTAGAACAGTGTCTTCAACACTTCAAAGTGTGGGGAACTGGTTAGATAGTAGTCTCAAAATGCTGTCAGCAGAAGGCAAGGGTTAGTTTTTTCTAAAATAGGCACTGGGCCTCAGGTATGTATCAAATTACCAGGGACCTGGAGTGTTCCTTAAGTGAGACAGGCTGTTGCTGGTCAGCAGATGGGGAGAATGTAAGTTGTACACACACACACACACACACAGAGAGAGAGAGAGAGAGAGAGAGAGAGAAATCATATATGATGTTGCTTCATAAAATGTTTGTGAAGAGGGTATGGACCAAGATGGGAGACTATGATGTTAAATGTGCATGGCTGAAAGAGAAAGAGTCGAGCTATGGAGCTAAGAGTAACATTACCTTTTAAGATAATTCCCCCCGCCCCCCAAAAAAATCTGGACCACCAGCCTTGCTTAAATTTGCCATCCTTCTTATTGGTTATCACCAGCTTGTGTCTCATCATATATTACAAGTTCAATGAAATAGAGAGGGGTTAAAAATATGGATAGGGGAGAAGAAAGTGTAAGGCATGTAGGCAACAGATAAACTGACGGGTGTGTGAGTAATCTGCAACAGTCTGAATGTTGATTAAAAGGGTCAACAATAAGATAGTGCAGACATAAAGTCCCAAATGGCCCTATATTAAAAAGGGAGAAAATAAATAAGGCAATCAGAAAGGTCAGTGAAACATTCATTAGTATAAAAGACCATTGGACAAGAGGTTATGCATGTCAGAACTGTGATACAAAGAAACCACCAAGCCTCTGTGTGAGATCTGAATATAAGCAGGTATTGGAAGAAATAACAGGCAAGTCACTGCTTACATGTCCATTGGAATTGCCACTAGCCACATATCCTGAAAATGCCAAACTGGGGGTTCATGGATTCTCTTGAATAAAGATTGTGACAGAAGTGTATTACTACAACATAAACTGACAAGCAATAAGAATGCCAATAAAAATCTACGGTGGTACCTCTGGTTACAAATGCTTTTGGTTACAAACACTTCGGGTTATGAACTCCACTAACCCAGAAGTAGCTGCTCCTGGTTGCGAACTTTGTCTCAGGATGCGAATGGAAATTGTGCACCGTAGGATAAGAACGGTTTCACCTCAAGAACAGACCTATGGAACGCCTTAAGTTCGTAACCAGAGGTACCACTGTACTTGGAGCCAAGGAATTGAACTCCGAAGGCCATTGTCCATTAGCTGTGCTCATCTGCCAGTTTGTAACTACTGCTATGTACATATGACTTTAGCCCATCTGCCATGAGGCTAGAAGTGGGATATCACTGCCAAGAACTCTAGAACAGAACAGCATCTGCTGGAGCACTGTGTACAGTGATCCTTAAATATTACACACAGAATGTACTTAGTGACATTTTACAGAACTGCCAGCCTCATTATCTATCTCAACTGCAGCAGGCCTCTTTCTCAATCTGGTTAACATGTTCACCTGACTTTTATTCCCTACAGATGCAAAGCTTCCTCTTTGTCTGCAGCGCTCCCCAATTGTGAAATGGAAGATTAAGCCCAAGTCCTTGTTGGAGCCCGGGACATCAACACCATCTGACTCACCAAGTAAGGACAGCCCCCCCCCCCCAAAAAAAAGTATACAGTGTTATCCTCCCATAGACAGATTTAATACTTTTCTATAAAAACTTCCCAAGTTGGTTCCAAACTTTATTACTCAACTTCTGTTGATTGCGGCACAAGTGGTGTAATTACCTAGCACTTACCACAGAGGAGCCAATAATCCAACCCCACCCCATGAACACCTGTTTTTTGGACAGCAGTATCTAAGAGATGGTTGATGCTACATTAAGTATAAAATGTTCTGCATTCACATTTTCCAAATCTGACTTATTTTTCAGTGTTGTGTTCTAATGGGTACTAATCACAATACTTTCCATAGTAGAGGCAGTTCCTGAGGAACATCAGAGAGTATTACTGCTTTCATGTTCCATTTGTGGGCTTCCCATAAGCATCAGTTTGGCCACTGTGGGAAAAGAACACTAAACTAGATGAGCCTTTAATCTGATCCAGCTGGACTCTTAGGTTTATTGGTTGGTTGGTTGGTTGGTTGGTTGGTTGGTTGGTTGAATTAATTTATATCCCTTCCTTCCTTCCAAAGGAGCCCAGGTTCTCCTTGCAGGCAGTAAAGAAGGCCACTGGTATTATGCTGATAGGATGGTTGTGGATTTTCTTGCAGGCACTCCACGCCAAGGAAGGAACAAGGAACCCACAGAGGCAAAGCCAAAAGCAGAAATTGAAGAAGAGTTGCAACAAGCTCTGGAACAAACTCTAGAGAACGCACAAAATACAGCCCTAGACCAAAGAACTGCTGTGCCACTCTCCAAGTCACCAACACAAGAGCACTGAGTTAGTGGCTGGTGATTCTGCATGATGGCAGCTCACACAAATGAGCACAGAAGACAGGCTTATAACTTGAAGCAGCAGAACAGCCATCTGAGGAGGTGCAAGCAATTCAGCACAGGGCCAAGCAAGCCCCATCATGGCTCCTTGGTCGGTAGAGCTGGTGTTTCCAGTGAGATAAAGTGACGTCAAAACTCTTGCACGTTTGGGTTGTCCCCTTTTCACCTTTCACCCTTGTATACTCTCATGTAAGTGCCCAGTGTTCTAATGGTTCACATAGGAAAAGCCAAATGCTGAGTATGCAGGAAACCAGCTATTTCCAGCAACAGTTATATAGCTGGCAGCTGGTGCAGATGCAAAAATGTGTAGTGCCAGAAACTGAGAACCACCAGCAGGAGGGTTGGGTGGGGGGCTATTTTATATACACTAAACTTGCCTGCCTTGCATTGTACTTTTCAGGAGTGTGAAATTTGGACAGCTTGGATTTTGCAGAAAAGGTTAAAAGCGCCACAAAGCCAGGTTGGTCTGTCTCACATTGACAATCTTGCTCCATCCTTTAGCCTGCATCATTTCTGTTCCTAGGATTCCACTTCTGCCATATCTTTCTATAGCCTTCGTATTGCCTAGGGGAAAAAACTCTATTCTAGGCAAATAACCATTGGCATCAGTTAGGTGTTTGGCATGAATGAGGCATAAGGGGAGGGTGTGATTTGGCAGCTTTCAGCAAGTTATAACTAATAAAGAAGTTTCAGCTCCTCTGTTCCACAATTAAATGATGATGATAACTCAAATCAGCAGAATTTGTTCTTGTCTCATTTATTGTGGTATTAGGACTGTTGCCTTTATTTCCCTCCAATTTACAGACTCCATCTGTGTCTTGCTGGTACAAGAAAGGTGGGAGAAAGAGAAGATGCTTAAGTACCATGAAAAGGATAAGCGAGAGGTGTCTTGCAAAAACTCAGTGTTTCTGTTTAGAGCTACTGCAAGATGACTAATCACCGCCTCTGAGAAAAATAGGCAGGTTCCCCCCGCCCCAATGCCATCTTAAAGGAAACAACTTACCATAACCAATATGCTTTAAAGCACAGATGGAGAAGTTGTAGGTACTAAAGCTCCAACCATCCTTAATTATTGGCCAGGCTGGCTGGAGCTGATGGGAGGTTTGAGTTCAGCAACACTGGAGAGGCACTCCTCATTCCCTGCTTTAAGGACCCTGCAGCTGCTCATGGAGGTCACTACAAGTGTTAAATTTTCACACAGAAAGCACTTTTTTTGTACAAGAGCTGGTGAAGACAGTTTTTGCAGTGCTGAGAAACTCACTAAACGCAACACTGAAAGATTCAGTCATTCTCCACAATCATTTATGAGTTTAACTACATCCAAGTGCTTTGGGTGTAGAAAATCTGTAATAATAAGATTCTCACCGAGCCTCAGTCATTCAGAGAACTCATGCCCCCCCCCCCAGCCCCAAATAATATTGAAAGAGATATACACAGCTACAGCCATGGAATCCTGCTTCTGTAGTTTGAGAACAATCTGGTTTAACAATTAAACTGCAAGACTCCTAGACTTTGACACACACTAAAATGCAGGGGGGAATCTAGCTCTATATATTGTTCTTCAGTATTTATCATCAATTACCAAGCAAATATTGCATGTATACTTAAGATATATTCTAGCACAAATAGCTGGTTTTCTTTACATTTAAGGTAAAGATTTGTTTTATTTAAACTTTCAAACAGTATTTGAGTTATTGTGCTCAGTTTTGGAAAAAAGGCACGCACATATTTTCTATGAGAGCTGTTTTTTCTAAATTTGTTTTCATTTTATCAAGCATGTAAGCTATATAAAACATTTTGTAATTAAATGAAATGGGGAAATGTTCAAAATAATTACAGACCCATGCTATAATTCAATTCAAAACTGACGTTGACACAAGAAGGTATTATTCACAGTAAATATTCCTATCTCCTCTCCTCTTTACCTGGCTAAAAATACCCAGTTCCCTCAACTGTTCCTCATAAGGCTTGCTTTCCTTTATCATATTGGTAGCCCTCTGCACACATTTCAGCTTGTTAATATCCCATTGACACTTAGGCAATCAATATTCTTTATTCTCATTTCATTTTTTTAAAGAAACTGAACAGGAAATATGAATACAAAACTTAAATGGAGTAGGTTCCATATAATGTTTCTTTACTTTTTATTGGTTATTTATTTATTATAAATAAATAAATAGAGTTAGCAAGCTCAGCTCCAATGTATAATGCTTATAAGGAAAAGTACCACCAAGGGCAGGAATGTGCCTACATAGTTAACCTACTGAGCTATTGGAGGAAATAAGGCTTCTTTCAGAAAAGTTTTATCCTCATTAAAACAACGAAAGAATACAAGCAGGCAAGAAGGAATTCAAAAAGCAGAGCATATTGCTTAAAACTTAAGACTAGCAATAATAAGAAATACACTGGAGCAGGAAACCTGCTAGGGAGGCAATTTGACCTATTGATGGCAAGGGAATCAAAGGTGTACTACAGGAGAAAAAGGAGATTCCAGAGAAGCTGAATGAATGTTGTGCATCTGTCTTCATTGTGAAAGGTAATGGCCAGATCCATGTGCGTGAACCTTGTCAGGAAGGAGTTTGAGGCAAATAGTGGTGAGAAGAGATAAAATTCCAGCCCTTACTCAGAAATTAAAGATGAAAAAAATAACAGGTCCACATGTCATCCACTCAAGTTCTTAATTTGCCCCTAAGATCAGCCTCTATATCTAAACACTGGAAAGTTAACTCCAATTTTAAAGAAAGGATCCAAGTAGAATCAAGGAAATTACAGCCCGGTCAGCTTACTATCTGTTCCAGGAAAACTGGTAGAAAGCATTAAAATCCCAACCTCACTCTTATGGCATCCAAACTGGAGTCGTAGTGGATAACTTCTTGAAGATGTTGGCCCAGGGTGCGACAGCTGTGAAAAAGGCAAATTCCATTTTAGGGAGCCTTTGGGAAATGATTAAAACAGCACTACCAATGTCATAATGCTCTTATTAAAAACTGTGGTGTGACCGCAGTTTGAATAGTGTGTTCTGTTCTAGTCTCACTGCATCTCAAAAAGGATATTGTAGAATTGGAAAAAGTTCAGCAAAGGACAAGCAAAATAAGAATGGGGCTGGAACAACTCCCCCATGAGGAAAGGTTGCAACATATGTGGCTTCTTAGTTTAAAGCAAAGATGAATGGGGGACAATGATGACATAATAGAGGTGTCTAAATTAAGCATGGAGAAAGTTTTTCTCCCTCTCTAACACTAAAACCCAGGGCCATTCAGTGAAACTGAATGTTGAAAGAATCAGGACAGATAAAAGGAAGTATTTCTAACACAGTGCATAGTGAAAATGATGAAATTTGCTACTGTAAGATGAAGTAATGGCCACCAACTTGAATGGCATTAAAGGGGTTTAGACTACGTCATAGAGAATAAGGCTATTGGTGGCTACTAGCAATGGTGATAGTATTGGAATTGGTATGCCTCTGAATAGTTGAGGAGCACAAGTGGGGAGAATGCTGTTGCACTCGTGTCCAGCCTGCGTGCTTCCCATAGGCACCTGGTTAACCACAGTGAGAACAGGATGCTGGACTAAATGGGTCTTACGCTCTTAGAGAACAAAAATTTAGTATGGTCAGCTTACTTTCTGATCACTGGTTCTAGGAACAGCATGCGCTACAAGATTGTACTGTGGTATTGTTATTTGGCCATCCCCTGTGGAAGCAGCTAACATATCCCCTTGTGACAAAAGCAGAATAGCCTCTGCTTTACAACTGCTGGCACACATGTGAAGTCAGTTCCTTTCTTTTGAGCCATTATATATACTAATAATAATAAAATTTTTTATTTATATCCTGCCCTCCCCAGCCGAAGCCGGGCTCAGGGCGGCTAACAACAATAAAATAGTGCAACATTCTAAAAACATTATAAAATTAAAATCAAATTGATGGCAACCGTAGGCTAAAGTCCTGTAAAGACTGCCAAAGGAGGGAGTCAGGCTTCGCCCTGACCAAAGGCCTGGTGGAACAGCTCTGTCTTGCAGGCCCTGCGGAAAGATGTCAAGTCCTGCAGGGCCCTAGTCTCTTGTGACAGAGCGTTCCACCAGATTGGAGCCGCAGCCGATAAAGCCCTGGCTCTAGTTGAGGCCAGCCTAACCTCTCTGTGGCCTGGGACCTTCAGGATGTTTTTATTTGAAGACCGTAAGTTCCTCTGTGGGACATACCAGGAGAGGCGGTCCTGTAGGTACGAGGGTCCTAGGCCGTATAGGGCTTTAAAGGTTAAAACCTTTAAAGGTTAAAATACTAAACACTTGTTTTCAAAAATTTATTTTAATATGTAAGGTACTAATCATTATAATATGGCAAAGGTGACTACATAAATCCAACCTGAGAAGAACAAGAAACTTCAGCAAAGACTATCATTTCTGTGTGCTGTTGAAAACCCAGCATGCCCATGCCAGCAATGCTCTTGAGATCCTGCAAAACAAAAACAAAAACAGGAAACAATGTGAAAATAGGATCATAGGATGGTGGATAAGCAGATCATTCTTGCCTGCTGTGTCATATTCCTCAAAATAAAAATACCGGTATATCATTAGCAAGATCTTATGGAAGGCAGCAGTCATTGAACAATTACTTTTACCTTCTCCCAGTTATTTCTCTCCTGTTCCTGCAGTAGGCACAGTTCCTTTGGACTCTATGCAGAGCAATCCCTCTGTCTCCCATATCACTTCAAGTATTACTAGCTTGGAAATACACTAACCTTGTAGAGTGCACTTGGGAGCAGAGTTCAGATGTTGGTGGCATGTACGTAAAATGAAAAGGGGCTCCTCTCACACACTCCTGCAGGAAGGAACAGAAGCAGATTTGTGAATTTGAAGTCAGGTTTGCTACCTTGCTCTGTATTTTGAGATTTACAGGCTACTTCTTTCCCAAACCACTCTCTGCAGGGAGGATGGGAAGAAGGGAAGAGACAGGGATTTCAAGCCATGAGGCCACACAACTGGTGAGGAAAAGTCATTCACGTTGCACAAGTGACTATAAAACTCTACATTCTGCCTATTGGTAGAATCAAACATAAATACAATATTTGGAGTGGGGGCAAAGAAGAGACCAGGCTTTCTCAAACAGTTGTCAGGGAGCCCCTACTCACACTATGAGAATCCTGGCTATCAACCAGTGTTTCAAAGGGTTTTTACCATCATTGTTCACCCAGATCAGATTTACCAGCTGTTGAACTCCAAGCTGTTCTTCTGGCCTAGTGATGACTTTTGAGGCTCCTGGCTCCCTTCCCTTTCCCAGGACTCCCTCTGTGCATCTAAATTGGGCTGATACCTGATGCTGTTGAACTTGCATCTCCTTTATCCGGCTCTTTTTGGACATGTTCATAGCTACCAATTCCATATTACTGGATTCTGGAAAGGCCGTGGTAGTATGCTGCCCTAGGGCTTTCAGACTGGTACATGTGGGACCAGAGAAAGTCTCAGTAGGCTCCTCATCTAGAGTCATTTGTTTCCTTTTAGCTGCCACACATGTCCTGCTTATGTCCAGGAATTTCTCCCCAGATCTTCTCACCGAAGTCTGATCCCTCTGCAAATGGGCCATATGATCTTCCTCTTTATTTTCAGACAAGGACCCAAGAGAGATATTTCTCTGAATTGGGGAGTGGACAGAAGAGCGAAGGCACATATTAGTGTGAGAATGTGAATTCCTCAGTGATGGGCCACAGGGAATGGTTTCATCAGTATTTGCAGTTTTGCTGACACTACGTGCAGTGATCAATGCAACAGAGCTGGATTTTTGACTGGCAGATTCCTTGAGAGATGTACTGCTGTGAAAAGGAAGTAGTGATGGGGACACAGTCTCTTTTGGCGCATCCTGGCCAGAGCTACAGTGGGACACATGAACACGAGGTTCCAGCAAATCTGGGGTGCAGCTGTTGGAGCGTGGAGTCTCTTCTTCCCCGGCAGTATTAGCCATGAGCACTTGCTGCGCGCAGGGGAGACTGTGTGATATACCAGATGTGTCTGCCAAAGCAAAAATGGAAACACACAACTACTTTTAAGTCATATAAGAAAACAAGCAGGCTACTGTGAACCTGGTACAAATGATCTCAAAAAGAATGGCTGTGAAAGTCAAGTCAACATAAAATATACACAGCTACTTGCAAATATAACCAAGAATTACACGATATTCTGAAGGCTATTTGCATGTGGGTAATTCTGCCATTTCAAGGGGACAGGAACAGGGACGTGAACCTGATTTGTAAGAGATTTTGACTGGCTAGATGACAATGTAGGCTCCAGATAGGCCATGACAGGAGGACAACTATAATATAAATAATTTGAGATTAGTGCCACAGTAGAGCATGTCATCTTAGTGGGTAAAATTTAATTTTTGCAAATTTCTTCATTTGGGGGGAATCTTAAAAATATGCTTTTGGATGTGAGAAATTCAAATCTGCTATTTTTGTGATTAGACATTTAGCTTACCAAGTCTACATTTGATTAAGAAGCAAATAAACTCTTGGAAAACACAAAAAAAGATGTTTAACCTTCTGAAAGTGTCAGGTAATATAAAATATGTATTAAATATATTGTATAACTGCAAATACTTGGCAATCATTTCTAATGATTTCTATGCACTTTCCCACACATTTTAATTACCAAGCAAAACAAAATTATATTTATTTAACCAAAGTATTTTTTTGAATTCCCAAATCATGTTAACAACTTTTTAGCACCCCTCATTTTTGGAATTTGAAAGTTGAAAAATTCAACATGCCCTAGCCCACAGGTAGGTTTTACACATCTGGTCAGCAACCAATTTTCCATTTTCCCCTGTAACACTTTACCCACAGACTTGTCTAATTCAAAGTATGAGCCAAATGGGGTGTAATGCAAGAGATCAGTGAGTGATATCTCTCTTTTGTGTGTGTGTTTCCTTTAAAGCAGCACAAAGAGTTCACATTTTGATTCAAGTAACAACAGGCGGCACGGGGGGGGGGGGGTTGGTTGACTCTTTCCTGCCTATCCCATTATCTCAACCTAGCTTCCAACTCCCTAGTTGCTGTTTGTCTCACTGGAGAAAAAAACACTCAAATGAGGCTTACAGCAGCTTCAAAGAAGAATGTGGTGGTTTCCTTTTCCAGCTCAATCAAAACTTAAGCCCGACATAGGCACTTTAATAACAAAATTTAGATTGGATCATAACCTCCTTCATTATTTTAGATTTGGGCCCAAGACACAGACAAATACCCATTTAACTCTCTCACCCTCAATATGAAAAGAGTCAGAGGCTTTGGCAATGCCCACTATCTTATAATGCAGCCCTGTTGCTCATATCCCTGCAAGAGCAATGGCATAAGCGAATGGCATGAACAGCAGAGGTGCATAGTAAAGGAAAGCTTCTGCAAATTGCTATTCACACTGTAGGAGAAGGGTAAAAAGCCCTTTGTGTCTCATCTTACAAAGCAGAAAGATGGTGAAGTGAACTATGGTGTTGGCAGGGCTTTTTTTCAGAGGGAATTCACAGGAACTCAGTTCCAGCACCTCTCAGGTGGGCACCATTGCTACTCTAAGAGAACAAGGGATGTGTTCATGGTAGAGTTGCCATATTTTGAAGAGGAAAAAAGAGGACATATTTGCTGACTTCTAGGTCATTATTGTCTACACTTACTGGCAGCAGCTCTCTAGGGTTTCTAGAAAAATAGCACTGGGAAGGAGAAAGTGTTGAAGCATGGAAGAGACCGGCCCAATTTAGCCACTGTTTCCAACCAGAATGTAAAAAACAAGCAAAACCAACCACCAGTTAACACCTATGATATTTAAAGACAGCAAGTGTGGCTGCAACAAAATCAGATTATTCCGGCTGCCAGTTTCTAGTAGAAACTCAAGATGGACATACTTGCACTACTAAGGATGCCTGGTAATGTTTTTGCTTCACTGTGAATTAAGTATGCATGTCATTTCCCAAGTATCTCTTCAAAAAAAATTGAGAATATAATTTTCAGACATCACAATCCACCCAAAGTTTAGAATATCTAGGTTCCATTGATTTCTAAAACAAATGACTTGCATCACTTAACTTTAGCTGGATAGTGCCCAAACCTCATTATTTTGAAAGCAAGAAAGGAGCAAAATAAATAAAAGTTTAATTTTTGAAACCTTGAGAACACTGAATCACAGAAACGTTTAGCAGCCTAAACTACAATTTTTTTAATAAATCAAAATATCAATTAAAAACATCAACACTTAACTTCTTGTGTCATTTGTATTTGATTTCTTCAATAAAACAGTCTGACTTTCTTTCATGCTGAAAATTCCAATTATACTTCATCTTTACTATCAAGGCCAAAAGAAATATCCACTGATGCAAATACCTGGTACAAAGAGAAACAGAACAACTTTCTTCACAGGCAGTAGGACAACAACATAAATACTCACCACTGGAGGTGGACAGAGTCATTCCTGGAATTTCATCCCAAGGGTTTTCTAAGGAACCATCTGGGCTTTCAGATTCAGCTGCCAAAAAAAAAAAAGAGTGCAATCAACTGTTTCCCTGCAAATAGGCCTCTTAAAGGTGCAGGCGACCCTGAGGTCAGGTTAAAGTAATGGGAAAGAGCTCTGGACATTCAAACATTCTAGAAATTCTCTCTTTCAAGAAGGCAGCCGGTATAACCAAAGTAGGACAGAACTACCCTCTCCCCTCCCAAGCTGTGTTAAGGTGGAGCATGGTCTGCCCTCAAAGTAAGTTCAAGATCATTAAAAATATCATCTGCAGAGCAGGTTTTCAGAAATTAGTTTAGTGGAAAAATAAGAGCAGAGGTTCTGAAGTTACATCTACTAATGCTTATGGAATAGCTTTGAACCACATGCACAGCATTGTAGCTTGGGGGGTGGCATTTGATATCTTATCTCCACATCCTTTCAAGGCTCCCTGGCCGCATATGAGACTACTTTCAGCCATCCACGGTCACAAATGTTTTTTCCCTGTCAAATAACACCTATTAAAAAATTCATGCTATACTGGAGAATTACAGGGCAAAATATTAAAAACGAACTGGCTAGCAGCAGTGCGCACCTGGCTGATCAACTGAATCAATTTTTTAGTCGCTTTGAGGTGGGAACTGGAACTACCGTCACTACAGCATTGGCTACCAGCACATCATCAGAAACTACTACTGATAGACAACCATTTTTATTACAGACCTGTGACGTACAACGTGCCTTTCGGAGCATTAACATTAGGAAGGCAGCTGGACCGGATGGAATTATGGGACGGGCTATTAGGGACTGCGCTGCAGAATTAGCTGGTGTGTTTACGGACATTTTTAATCTATCCCTGTTGCAGGGTTCTGTCCCTACCTGCCTGAAGACATCGATTATAGTGCCAGTCCCCAAGCAGTCAGTGGTGGTATCTCTCAATGACTATAGACCAATAGCCTTAACATCTGTTGTTATGAAATGTTTTGAGAGATTGGTGCTAGATCATATTAAGGCTGGTCTTCCATCCACTCTAGACCCGTTCCAGTTTGCATACAGAAGAAATAGATCTACTGATGATGCTATTTCCATCGCTGTCCATACTGTACTGAGTCATCTAGAACGACAGGGAACCTACGCAAGGCTGTTGTTTGTGGACTACAGTTCTGCCTTCAATACAATTCTGCCAGACAGGTTATTTCTTAAAATGACCAATTTGGGTATACATCAGAAGATCTGTCTGTGGGTAAGGAATTTCCTGACTGATAGGCCGCAGACAGTGAGAATGGGCCCTTACTATTCTTCTACTCTAGTATTAAGCACAGGAGCCCCTCAGGGATGTGTGCTAAGTCCCTTTCTCTATTCCCTGTACACATTTGATTGCACCCCACTGTATAAGTCCAACACAATCATCAAATTTGCGGATGATACAACAGTGGTGGGGCTCATTAGTGAGAACGATGAGACTGCTTATAGGAAAGAAGTACAGGGGTTAATTCAATGGTGTAAAGAAAACAATCTTATGCTTAACACCAAAAAACCAAAGAACTCATAATTGACTTTAGGAGAAAGAAAAGCGTATTTTTACCATTGCACATAAATGGCGAGGAGGTGGAGAGGGTTGGTAGTTTTAAATACCTGGGCACTTACATCTCTGAGGACCTCTCATGGACTGCAAATATTAATATGGCTGTGAGGAAGGTGCAGGGGAGGTTGTATTTCCTGAGAATGCTCAGGGGACTGAATCTATCTCAGCACCTACTTCTGTCCTATTATCACAGTACCATCGAGAGTGTCTTAACATATAGTATATTATCGTGGTATGGGAGCAGCTCTGAAACGGATAAAAAGCTCTACAGAGAATAATTAAAATTGCCCAGAATGTTATTGGGCTCCAACTACCAACCCTGGATGAGATCTTCACGTCTCGCACTTTGAAGAAGTCACACAATATCCTGAGAGATCCCACCCATCCTGCTCACAACTTCTTTGAACTGTTGCCTTCGGGCAGAAGATATAGGACAATGAAAACACGAACCACACGCCTTCTGAATAGTTTCTATCCAAGAGCTCTGATTGCACTAAATAATGATCTCAGGGCCAGTTGCAAGAAATAGCAAGCAGGGAGTAGGAAGGAATGAGACAGGTTTTTAGGTTATGTTATGCTTTTAATAGGTTATGTTACATTCTGGAGTATGATATGTTTTTAGAGATTATGTCTGAATAGGATGAGAGTGTTGGAGATACGTGTAAATGTGTATGTGAACCCGGTCTTCGGGTGGGTGTTTGATTTTCGTTGTTGTGTATACTGTGTATATACGGACAATGACAATAAATTTATCAATCAATCAATCAATCAATCAGAACTGCACATCTGTAGTTATCAATGTGCTCCTTAGTCCTTATAAGGTTTCATCCCAAAATCTAATAGCAAAGCAAGCCACCAGATGTATCTGAGCCTACAGTAAATGGATATGAAGCATGAATATTGTCAGGTTTTGAAGAGATTACAGAGCACATGGCTCTCAACCACCACTATCCAGAACTCATTAGATAGATTAAGAAGCATAAGCAAGTGAACTTCACATTTGTCAGCTTTCCTTGTAACTGAGTCAAGGGCACTTGCTGCAGCATTTCAAGGTCTCAGCAGATTTATTAGTTTGGTGAATAATAATAATAATAATAATAATAATAATAATATACCACCCTTCATCCAAGGATCACAGGATGGTTTACAGTATAAAAACACAAAAAACACCATAGTAACAAACAATAACTCTCTACACCCATTGCCCTGCCAACCACTGGCATGTGGCACCCAGAAGACTGCCCACTAGGGAATGCGATACTCAGGCAGAAAGAGGTTTCCACTCTTGGCTTACAAAGTTGGGCACCAAATGAAATTCAACTTCCTATGACTATTATTGAGATGCTGCTCAGTAGGAGCTTTGGATACAGACAAGCAACCATTATCTGTAAAACTACTGATTTCATAATACAGTGGTACCTCAGGTTACATACACTTCAGGTTACATACGCTTCAGGTTACAGACTCCGTTAACCCAGAAATAGTGCTTCAGGTTAAGAACTTTGCTTCAGGATGAGAACAGAAATCGTGCTCCGGCAGCGCAGCAGCAGCGGAAGGCCCCATTAGCTAAAGTGGTGCTTCAGGTTAAGAACAGTTTCAGGTTACGTACGGACCTCCGGAACGAATTAAGTACTTAACCTGAGGTACCACTGTAGTCTTCTAGACTTTGAGAGCTCAGTTGTGGACCAAGGTGTCTTTTAGATAATGTGATATCCCCTTAAGTAGAAAGCTGCACTTGTGTCAACAGAAAAGCCATACATTGCTTTTGTGGCCTTGCAGGCAGAGAGACAACTACTGCTACTCACCACTGAAAAAAGATACAGTACTTTGCTCATCATCTTGAGTACTCTCAAGAATAGCTTGAGAGGGCTCTGTAAGATAAAGGACAATCTGATTTTTAGCACGGACTCCCCCAAAGAGACATGTATTAGAACCAGCCATTAAAAAATTAACACCATCAGTAAAAAATTGGAATGAAAATCACCATAAATATCACAACAACCAAACCAAGAGGCAGAAGCAGCAAGCAAAAGCACTTTTCCATCCCCATTACACTTTACCCCTCCCCAAAGGGCTGGACGAAGAGGTGTCTTCACCTACCAAGGAAACAAGACTGTGAAAGACTAGGCAGCATTTCTCTTATCTCCGATCTTAACACTTTGACTAGTCTTTAAAATGAAGCATGGGGGGAAAAGGCACCAGACACCAAAAACTCTTACTTGCTCTTTAAAAGGCAGCAGGCAGAGGCTTATATGTGATCTTAGTACTGTGAAACTTGAACTTTGAATCACCTGACATCATAAGATGCCAGGGGATTGGTAGCCTGTCCACCTGGCCTGTGGAGGGTGGGCCAGATTCAGTTCCTCTTATCTGACAAATGCACCACCTCAGCTCACAGCAGCCCTCACCCTTAATTCATAATGATCATTTTAATGGTAGCAAGATTATAAGATCTATGAGATTCTGCACAAAAAAACAGCAGTGGTGGACAATAAAAACAGCCAGACCTTGCACTCTCCCTTCTACAGTAGCTTGGATATTAAAATGTAGCTCCTGGTTGTGGTCACAGAATTCTCTGTCCACAAAACGTCAACCTTGGTCTCTCAAACATACTTAGGCTTTGTTAGTCCTTATGGATTACCATTAAAATGATGGCATTTAGTTATGAAGTTCTAGGGACACTTGATATTCTGAAATAAACAGAACTGCTTCGTAATAAAGTAATGTGGCAAATTCATAGGCTAGAGGAAGAATGGGGAGCACTCTGAATACTCAGTTACAGTTCTCACAACCCCTAGCTATTGACCATGCTGCCTGGGGCTGATGGGCCCAACAGCATAAGGAAGGCCCCATCCTTAACTAAGGTAATCTTTCACCCAGCACTCTGGCACTCACTTGGTAGGTAGGACTTGTGAAGTAATGCTTCATTTTCTGCACTGATCGTCAACAGCTTGGCTGGGATGGCAAAGACATTCTTGTGAACCTGAAATCAGAATTGTTACTCCACTTCTGCTTCCCTGCATAGCACAACAGATCCACGCAGACCCAGCCAATGCTTAACAGGCCAATAAATCTTACCAATTACATAATTGTCCAATAAAATAGAAAATAAGGGACCCTGGTGAGCAAATCTCAGCCATTTACAGCCAGTATGGAAATTCTACCAGATCCACTGATTTGAGAAATAAAAAAACCTGACATCTGCTTTACTTTCAGGGATGAAGGTTTTATCAGTTTTGATCTGTATTTTTTATTCTTTATTCTTCCATCATCTATCTACCCATTCAACCATCACACCCACACACCCCATCCCTGTGATTTTCAGTTGAGATGTCACAGGCAGAACAGAGAACAGACCTTATCTTGCTTGCGTTCCACCTGCCATTTGGTGTCAGGATATACAGCCAACTGCTCAGAATCCAACAGCTTGCTGGGGTTCAATAAACTGAGACAATCCTTGGCATTTTCTTTTAAAGTACTGAGTCGATCCTGCTTTATCTCCTGCAGTACTTCAGAAACAGATGATGGCTCTTTACAGGAAAAGGAAATGTGCACAGTAAAATAGGGTGTTAGCTTTGGAACAAGAGTCCCATAACATTTCGTATTAGAGCTAAATGAAAATGAAACAGATGCCTACAACACTAGGCCAATTTTAAAAGTTAGTCAGAAATATGCTTGCATCAGTCTTTTTGTAATTTGATCCAAGGTAAACATATTCTGGCAATAACAAGGTGAAAATTTCTACTGTCAGCAAAACACATAAATCAGGATGTAATCTTGCTATCTAAAAGCAGATTACAAAATGTTTGTCCTCTGCTGTAAGTGGCCCAGATGCACCGTTGTCCACTGATAAGGGATTTTGTTTAGTGGAATCCACCTCTTTTGTTGAATGTATACTAATCTGGCTAAAACAGTTTTACCCATTCTTAGAACTGTAATGTTTTTATTTGTTTTACAATTGTGTATTATATTGTTGTAACCTGCCCTGGGATCTGGTAAAGGGCAAGAAAGAAATCTTAGGAATAAATAAATCAAAGTGACACAGAGCTATGCAATGCAAACACCCATCAATTCTCTGTTAAGGCAATAAGGGACAGAAAAACCACTTACAGTAAGCCTGAAACTTACACTCACTTTACTTATGCAATCACAACCTTATGCGGGTGACCAAAAAATAAACAAATAAATCCGAAAACCACAGGAAAAATAGGGTTAAATCAAAATGTGGTAGAGAAACAACAGTTGCCAATCCCATCTGCCATTGCTGTCACCTGGGAGAGTGTCTGGGCACCTTCAGAGAATCAGAGTGAGAAAGGGTCTAGCAATTGCATGGAGAGCAAGGGGAAAGTGACCTGAAAGTGAGCAAAAGTCATCTGGAATGTGTGGGGAAGGCTGACTGAGCAAGTGGGGGTGGTCTGAGAGTGATGGGAGTTGATCTGAAAAGTGGTCCGGAAGCAAGGGGAAGAGGTTTTTTAAACTTGGTTTTTTTATGGCTTCTTACAGGTCTTCCTGGCTTTATGTGTTTTGTCATTTATGTGCAGTTCCACATAGGTTGCGGGCTTGCAGTACTGCATGATGCAAGTATGATATGGAGACTTAATTAATCTTATACCAACCAGCCCCTTCTATTATGTTACACTAGGATTTCCCTTTAGAAACGTCCAATGCTCACTATACAATACCTGAGCTGGACCAGGGCTGGAGAGCAAGGCTTTTCCTGAAAGACACAAACAAAACAGAACCTAGAGTTAAGAATGGCAATGGGTTTGCAAAACCTTCAAACAACCTCCTTTTTATGTCTGAAACAAATTTGGCTGTTAATTGATTTTATCTGACCCAGTTTGATCCACTCTAAGGATGACATTTTAGCACATCCCTATCCCAAAATACTTGTTATGACATCTTAGAAATGGCTAGTATAGTAAATCCCTCCTTCTTTCTGAACAGCTCATTCTTTCTCTACTTCTGGATTGATTACAAGAAAGTAAATATCTCAGTTAAGGGACTATTAGCTTCCTAATAATTTTCCTTACAAACATGTTCTACTGTAAAATTTGGCATTTGAAACAAGAGAAAGAAAAACTGATGTGTGGACTATGGACGATTCCTATATAGTAGAGTCTATATCATCATCTAGTGAAAAGTTATTGTCTGTACATACAGAACTATCGATCAATTCCAGTAATATATCTTGCTGTTCATTGCACTATCCTTCCTCCAAGGAGTTCAGAGTGGTGTCCATGAAGGTTATTCCATGTTATCTTCACAATAGCCCTTTCTGTACTGAGAACCTGAAGTTTTGAGCTCTGACTGTTCTAAAACAAAAACCTTACTAATATGTGCAAAACAGAACCTGAAACGTGTTTTGGTAAGCCACATAGAATATTTCCTTTTTTTTTTTTTTATAATTGATATTTATTAGCTTTTCAAAGAATAACAACAAAAATTTCCAAAAAAAGAAAAAGTAAAAAAAATTGAAGATACAAAAAACAAAAATAGTACATAGACAAAAAAAAAGAAAAGAAAACCCAGCCGCAAAGAAAGAAAAAGAAAAACAGAAAAACAAAATTATAAAGTCCTTTACAATCTCTATTGACTTCCTTTCTAGACTTCCTCCCCCTCCCCTCTTTTGTTTCTTAATTTTTAATCTTTACAGCAAATCCTTTCTGTTTTTTCATAACGCTCTGTCCTTACATTTCCTTATTCTATTTTCCCTCTTGTCATATAAAAACTTTAAATCTTTTTACAAGTCATTTACCAATCCTTACTAAAGCCATGTAATTTCATTCAACATCCTTCAAACATTTATAAGCATTCCCAATATTAAAAAAGAAAAAAGAAAAAGTATTAAGTCAAATTCAGTCCAGTCAGCTTCCACCCTCCCCTCCCCTGGACCCGGGATTGTCAGTCCTTTTAGCCTCTTAACCTGGTTGTCTCGTATCCGAGGCCCTCAAGTCTCTTTCTTGCCCCTTTCGCCACTCTTGTTGATGATTCCTTTCCAGTCGTGGATGCTCCAGCAAGAAAATGCTTTTGACCCTTTGCAGCAAGTCCATCCCAAACCCATTGCCCAAGCCAGACAGCAAGTATTCTTCAGATTTCCACAAAGCTTGGAGACTTCAGCTACTCCAATCCTCTGATAGCCCATCACCAGACTCGGAAGGTCCAAATAACTATATGGAGGGGGGTCGATCCATCCCCCCATTTCCAAATCTGACCACATTTCATCTTTCCGAGTCTGGTTTGTCCCAAGTTCATTTGTCAAGTTCAAAGGTTGATCTTGCCCGTCCAAAGGTCCCTCCATCTCTGAAGCCTCCGTCGCTACAGCAGGTTCATATACTTGTATAGCCTTTAACTGAATTTCATTTGTTTGCTGCTGTGCTCTGGTGACTTCCATCATCAAGGTCGTCTCCTGACGCATCTGGTCCAGCTGGGCACTTAGTTTTGAGAAACCTTCCATAAACAATTGTTCAAGCCTTTGTACTAGCATTGTTCTTCAAGGTCAAGAAAAAAATTCTTTCCCACGACAATAGTCCAATAGTCCTTCTCTTTTAATCTCTCTGCATTACAATTGCAACAATCTTTCTTTTTCCAGAAACACTTTATCCAAAATTCCCCCTTCCAAATTCAAGAGGCAACAGTAGAATCAAAATGTTACCCTTCTTTTAACTAACTATCAAGCTAGATAAACTTCAGAACGTCAATTCTGACAGCCCGCTCCTGGTTCAGGGCGGTGGAAAATTACTTTATTTTAGACTCACTTCCGCAGGATTGGAGAGTCCAAATACAACCCCCTTCTTCTCCTGCAGTCGAAGGGGGGGTTCAGAAATCTTAGATGTTGAATTCTAGTTCTCTTAGAATTTAATTTTCAAGCTTTGATATATTTTGTCTTTGCTTTCTTCACATAACAAAAGAACGGAAGGCGACTTCCTGTTTAGACCTTTCCATTCCGAGTCCCAATTAAGTTCAATTTCAAGTCCAATATTATTTGTTTTTCCACCAATCTTAAAAGTGGTTCAGCTCTTCCAAGATCAGGTACTCACGGATAGATATTTTAGATGCCAAATTGTCCAGGAAAAAGGCAGCGCTCTCCGATAACGGCAGTGCGGCTTTGCTGCACGGAGGAAGCAGACGACTCACAGCACCACGCACCTCCCACTCCGGAGCCCGTTACCGAGCTCCTGTACAAGGGGAGAGAGCGCTCTCGGTGCCCGCCGAGTCCCACGTCCACAGGCTTCTTCCGCCTGTGGTTTTTGCGGGTCCCCGCTGCGCCGTAGCGGCAGGACCCAAGCCTCCGTGCAGCGGGTTCCCTTCAGTCCGAAGGGAATTCCGCCATTTTCCGGAGGCGCCACCCCGGAAGTCCCCACATAGAATATTTCCACAGCTATCTTAAGCTAACTCACATATTAAGCATGAAGAAACAACTGTTGGACCATGTACTTACTGCCACAGTTCCTTTATCTTCTCCAGTACTGAGGGCTCCCGGTTGCTATAAAAAGATGACATCTTAGCATTCCCAGCTTTTCACCATAGTCCAAAGTTACCACTTAAGCTTCTCAGAGCAGAAGAACAAATGGATTAAAGAATGGCTTTCGAAACCTGATCGATCATACAAAAAATTACAGAATACTCTTAGTTTCTGAATATGGTAGATCCCAAGCCCATCAAAAGTTACCAAAGCCACTTGGAGAATTATTATTATTTTGATTTTTAAAAACAACCAATTTGCAGCTTCAATTTCCAGTAACAAAAACATCACTAAGTAGCAATTCTCTCAAAAATGAATGGCTGCCTCCAGGGGACACTGCCTGTCATCTTTCCAAATCCCCTTCTTTGACAATTTGAGAAAGCTACAGCACTGAACTAAAAGAGGTAAGGGCCTAACTACACAGGACGCTAATGAAAACATTTTCCCCAAATATAAATTGGTATGCAGCAGAGGCTATTTTCATTTAAATTGTGGCTGGGAGTAGAAGATTTGAACCTTCCCACACCATACACCTCACCATACCTGGAGTTTCTGAGATAAAACCATACATGCACCTCTGGGTTGGCACTTAAATTTTTAAAAGCCACAATATGATTGCTAACCACCTCATTCACATCACAGGTAGTAAGGCTCTAACAAAATAAGACTGTTGGGAAGGACACATACCAATTCATTCTGCCCAGTTTAATTTACCAAGCTTAAGTAAAATGTGATGCAGATTCAAGCAGACTCATATAAAGACTCATCTAAGTGTTTTCTAGCCAACCTTCGTCCATGCAAATTCACACATCAAGCCCATAACAAAGCTCAGAGAAAGTCTCACCAGTCTTGCTGCCTTCGTTCCCTCCGCTTCATGGGCATCACTCGGAAACAATCAAGTACCAGGTAAAATCGGCAATCCTCCTGAAAGTGAAGGAAAGGCAGAATTAGGTATGTTGTGCCTGGATGAGTATTCAGTCCAACATAAGGCAACACATGTTCCCAAATTTGATTTAATTATTACTTGAATGCAGAGGTGCCAAGTTGCCCCCAAGACTGAGGGGGCCCAGTGTGCATCATGTGTGACGTTGCACCATCTAGAGGAGGTCGAGCGCTTTGGCCACTGAAGCTGCGACACATGATGCACAGTGCATGTGACGTGCATGCATGATGCACGCTGGGGCCCCTCAACATCAAGGGGAACCAGCCCCTTTCCAACAAAGACTAAGGGGGCCGAAGACACATAAACCCCTAGAGTTAGCACACCTGTTTGAATGATATGCAGGGAGTGGTGGGAGGTGGAGAGACCAGATAGCAGGGCCTTTAACAAAATCCAGAAGCCCCCTTCTTGGCTTTCCCTAAATTTAATCATATTATGCTCCCACAGCATAATACAGAAGGAGAGATGAGAGGAAAAGAAGACAACCTTCAGTCCATTAATATTACTTAGCATAAGATTTGTAGGGAAGGGGGGGGATTACAAAATGCAAATGTGTCCTTGCTCTCTCCAGCCAACATAGGCTTGCTTCGGGACAATGTAACTGTCCATGTCAGCTGCTCAAGACCAACCTGTGTCCCATATAAGCTGTGCCAACAAAATACCACTTGGGACAATAAAAGATCCTGCACATGTTAGCTTTGCCCCTCAGGTTCATGGGATAAATGTGGCCTTTTCACAAGAAACTTAGGCTAGAAAAAATTATCTACCCTCAAAATGATAATGATAAGTAAATAAATAATGAGTTCCCTGTTATTAAGATAAAGACTTGCCTTTCCAATAATAATAATAATAATAATAATAATAATAATAAATTTTATTTATATCCCGCCCTCCCGCCCACAGGGAAAAAAACAAAAAAACACCATTGCAGTCACAGGAAAAAAAACAAAAAAACACCATTTTCAGGGCCAGAGGGAAATTGGAAACTTATGCTTCACCACAACCGCCCCCATTTTCAGGACGTAACTACTCACAAACTCACCTTAAGAGAGTGTGCTTTCACAAGACTATAATGCTGTATCAATTTTAAAAAAGGAGGTGGGAGAAGTCACCTCACAATGATACTTCTTCTGCCTTAAAGATGGCAGACACTCAGAATGCTCACAAACTCAAATCAGACAAAGGTTTGTGCCAGACAGCCTTCTGCGTCAGGAGAAAAGTCAACCGACTCAAGAGTCCCACCCTGACTATTATCCTAGCAGAACTTCTGAGGAGCAGATGAACCCTAATACCACAGATAAACTACAAGCCAACCTGTGGAGGCTGGCTGAGGCCTTCACATGTTTTCCCGCCAATTTATGTGAGGCAATACAGCTGCACCTGATTCTAAGTACCGTATTTACTGGAATGTAATGTGCACATTTTTTTGCAAAATTAAGGTGCACATTTGATTTGATGGCACATTTTCAATTGCCAGCAAATACTTTTTTGGTTTCAAGGTTTTGAAAATTGAGGTGCACATTAGATTCAATGGTGTATTAGATTCGTAATATGGTGTATTAGACTCATAACAGAGTCTGAGGTGATGTCAACGACATTTTTTTTCATCATAGGCCTGGTCAGAGGAAACAAAGGCAATTTTGGTAAAGAAAACTGAGGGTGCAATCCAATTACTGTACATAGATTTTAACTGATTAATGGTAGGTGTTTCATTTTATTTATTATTTTATTACACAACATACAAATGCACTATAAAAACACAAAATACATAATAAAAGTAACAACCAAACCCTGCCCCCCCACAAACCAATATCCCCCATCCCCCCACCAGCTCCCACAAACACATTTAAAAGAGAGTATAAGATGTTAATCAGCCCAAGGTCTGGTTGAAGACGAATGTTTTCACCTGGTGCCTAAAGGGGTTTAATGAAGGCGCCAGCCGAAACCTCCCTAGGCAGAGCATCCCACAAATGGGGAGCCACTGCAAAAAAGACCCCGTTCTTGTGTTGCCACCCTCCAGACCTCTGGTTGGGGAGGCACACAAATAAAGATGAGGATCACAGAATCCAGGTTGGTTTATATGGGGAGAGGCAGTCCTTAAGCTACTGTGGTCCTGAGCCATTTAAGGCTTTATAGGTCAAAACCACCACTTCGAATTGGGAAGGAAACTAATTGGCAGCCAGTGCAGTTGGGCCAGAATCAGGGTAATATGCTCAAACCGTCTTGGTCCGGTGAGCAAGCTGGCTGCCAAATTCTGCAAATTTTACGGATAGCCAGTAAAGAAAATAAAGTGAATTAATTCAAACAAAGATGGCAAAAGATGCTAGAAATGAACATCACTGAAGAAATATGGGGAAATGCCATATTTTTCCATGTATAAGACGCCCCCATGTATAAGATGACCCCTATTCTTTTAACCCAAAATTAAGAAATTAAGTTGTTTAGCTTTTTGGTGGGGTGGGGGAGGTCACTTCCACCAATTGTTCACCCACCTGCCACCACTGCCGATCACTTGCCACAGCCACTGCCAATAGCACAGCTCACTACAGTCGCCAATTCTCTGCCCGCTCGCCACCACCAACAGCCCACCCGCCCACTTGCTGCAGCCACCAATCGCCTGCCCAATTGCCACAGTCACAGCCAATCACATCAAGTCTTGCCACAGCCACCAATCGCCCGCCGAATCACCACTGCCAATCTCCTGCTTGCTGCTGCCATTAATCGCACACCCGCCTCTGCATTCACTATCCATGTATAAGACGACACCCAATTTTAGCCTTTTTAAAAAAGCGAAAAAGCATAGTCTTATACACAGAAAAATACGGTAAATTCTCTAATAATTTGGTATCCTGCAGGCCCAGCTTCCTATTACCTCAGTGGCATAATCCCATGGTAGGCAGCAGACTTTCCTAAAACCAACAGTCCTTTAGAGGCATCTGGGTGAATGCATGTGAGCTAAAAGTGTGGTGTGAGAATACACACAAGCCGTAAGGCTTCAGTGTCTCTGCTCACTGGTTGCACTCCTGACCTTTGTGCACTGAGTGCAAAGATTCTAGTCACGTTCAGTTTTAAATGGTTAGACTCCTTCCCACAGTAAGAAACTCAGTATAATCGTGATCTCGACTGCCCAGGTTCAGCTGAGCATGGTTAGGACCAACCTGCAGATAACTGGGAGAAGCAATGCAGTTTTTTACGGATTGGTTTTTTTATGTTTTTAGATATGTTGTAAGCTGCGCAGAGTGGTTGGGGAAACCCAGCCAGCGTGGGGTATAAACAATAATAACTTAAATAATAAATAATAAATATTCATGTGCCTTACCACTTTAGCTTCTTCTTTAAAACAAACCCTAAAATTCTGCAGGACGATGAATTGGCCAACAATACTGGAAAATCCAGACTGGGGTAGAGCACTAAAAAAGAAAGAAAGAAAGAAACATGTATTGATAGCCATGCCCAATAGTTTGCCACATTGTCGAAAAGGCTGCAATTCCAAGCAAAATTTGGAAGAATCCATTCATTTCCTCAGAATACTGAAACTTTCAGCTTCCGTTGTTAAAATAGGGAAATCCAAAAACAAAGACTGTAGATAACAACAAAGATATGTTTCGAGAATATATTTATTTTTAAATACTTGTACATCATCATTCAAAGGCTGCAGGTAGTTTACATCAAAATACAGTAAAATAATATAATCATGAAAGTAGTGTGCTCTGTGTGACCGAGATTATGTAGTCCTTACTTTCCTTTAGCTAGGAACACATATTGCTCATCACTCACCCATATGTCGCTCCCTCCTCACACTACATTGCTCAGGGGGCGGGGTGGGGAGATCTTTCAAGTTCTACAAAAGCCCATGTGGAAAGTGCAGAATGAAGTTTGCCAACAGTGTGCAAATGCAAATGTGCACATATTGGTTTGCAAAAATTATTCTAAGAACAGAACTTACACTGTCTCAGAGTGAATAGAGTAATTATGTATGCAGGACCTAAAATATTATGGAATTTACTCTTCCATGCTACATGCTCTGCAAATAGAAATTAACAACTGGTTGTCTACCATAGGCTCTCTTGTGTGTCTTAAAAAGTGAAGAATGCATGAAAGGTCTAAAGTTAATTTTTAAAATGGCATTCTTGCGTTATGAGACTTCTGGTAGATTTTCTAACACAGAATTTTAGATTGCTTGGCACAGAATGTTATGCAGATTGCTAATGTGCTAGCTTTTGTACATGCATGGTGAGTATTTCATAAAATTTATACATCACATAATTCTAAGAAAAATCCTAAAAGTGGTTTAAAACCCCAAAGCAGTAATAAAAATGAAAAACACAAGGAACCATAACAAGGTTCTCTAACCAAAGCAAGGTGCTCTGTAGATAAAACCAAGTCACCACTACCTAAGCCTCTCAGAAATCTATTGTGGCAGGGCCCATGACAGTGTTAATTTAAAAGCTAGCTAAACTAAGGATTGCACAATTTAGTGAAAGAATACAGTCACTTGGGCCACCAAAGAGAGTTGCTTTAACACTGGACGATGAAGTCACTGACCTCCATAAAACAACTGATTAGTGATTTGAACTGGCAATGTATCCACATCAGCACAACTAAGAGAAGTATGAAACCATTTTAATTAGTTTTTCTTAAGAATTATGCATTGTAGTGGGCTGCTTAGTATAAAATAATTATCTTCAAAATTCATATCATTAAAACACTGTAATCCATCTCCCCAAAGTCTCCCTTGCTTATTTTAATACTTTTTATTTTTTGTTTGAATATTATTTTAATTTTAGACTAGTGAGTTTGTTTGCTTTTAAAGGCTGTGTGACAGGCCCTCAAAACATTTCCATTTTTCTTAAGTGCTTGCCACAAGCTCAGCAAGATAGAAACAAGGGTGGAGAGCAGTTTGGAACCACCAATATTTATTGGTACTCTATAAGGTTCCCTATAGTAGGCTGTTTACCCAAACACCAATTTCACCCCGGCAAATTTGGTGATTAGGACCTGGGAGACCTGGGTAAAAATCCCCTCTCACCCAGGAAGCTCACTGGACAACTTTGGGCCACTCACTGTCTCTCAGACTAAGGTACCTCACAGGGTTGTTCAGAGGATGAAATGTAGAGTGAGGAGAACTATTTACACCACCTTAAGCCTATTGACAGAAAGCTGAGATATAAATGTAGTTCATACATAGTGTAAAAATTACCATTTTGTCATCTGAACAGCTTTGGCTGTAACATCCACTTGGATATAATGATGCCCATCTGCGACGCACAGAATAGCTGCTGGAAGCTGCTCATCACGATCTAGAGCCTTTGTTTCATTTAGAACCTAGCAATAAATTGGGAGATAAGGCAGGAAAAGAAGTCAGGTATTTCCCACACATATTAAAAATAGGGACCAAGCCACTCTAGAGTCTTTCATTCATTTTTGTGGGGAGCGGGGGCAGGATGAGGAAGATATGGAGACCCACAAAGTTTTGAAAGCCACAGTACGGCAATTTAGATAAGCATATGAGAAAAAAGCAATAGTTGTGGGAGCAGGGGACTTCCCATTTTTCAGAGGATGAATACTCCTGTTGCAACAGGAATCATCTTAAAAAGATCAGTCTCCTAACAAGAAGAAAAACTCTCTTCTAAGCTGGTATGTGCTGACTTCCAATTTTTACAAGTACTTGTATTAAAAGACAAAATGGTAGGAATGGGGGGGGGGACTTCAATCTGCTTCCCAACTAAACAGGGGCACCATTTTAGTGAATCAAAATATTGTAATTAATCTAACTGATCAACCAACTTAAACATTGCAGCTCCGGCTATAAGGCACATAGGCTGCAATCCTATTCTCATTTCCTGGGGGTAAGCTCCATTAAACACAGAGGGACTTACTTCTGAGCAAGCATGCATGAGATTGCTCTAATATAAAGCAACTCTTATGCTCAAGCAAAAGGTCTCCTCTGGATTCAGAAGGCAGAACATAGCCACTTCCTCAGGAGCAGCAGGAGCAGCAATTATGTCCACATTACTGTGGTGTAAGAGTGTTGAACCAGGACATGGGACATGCAGGTTCAAATCCCTACTCTGCTATGAAGCTTTCTGCCAGTCTTGCTCTCTCGCTCACTCTGCATAATGAACCTCAGAGCAGAACCACTCAAAGTGGTGGTACATAGACTGGGGCAGGTCTGTGAGCCATCAGCTACTGATCTGTGGTAACTTCACCACAGCCCAGGTTGGGTTGGATACTTCAAGATAGCTTGAGAAGCACCGCCTCACAGGGTTGTTGTAAAGAGTAAAGTGAGGGTGGAGACATTGTTCTAAGCTCCTTGGAGGAAGGGGAGTATGGAATTTTATTTTATTTTAAAAATTAAGAGTTCCCCATTCATCACTGCTTAAAAAGTCACATGAATATACCCTCAGGACATGCCCAAGTTGACCCTCTTCTCTGGCTTCACAATCCTTGTACTCCAGAAGAAGATTCACGATCCAAGGTTCCAAGTAGCAGGGCCTGTTTGTCTGGCTATCTTCATTGTCTAAACTGGGAAAAAATAAGTAATTAAAATTACTAAGGCATGGAAAAATGTGCAAAAGTGGCATGGCAAAAAATGTTGCTTGATGGTATCACACTAAATATCTTCCAGATTGCTATACCATTAAAACCCATTGTGCATTTATCCATCATTAAGAAAACAGAAAAACACAGAGAATGTTTGAGATAACATGAGCCATGTTGCTCCAGAGAATGCTTCATATGCCCTTCCATATGTATGTAGGTACACAGCCAATCCATGTTCAGCCATCTTAATGGGACTACTAGGACCTTAACACTTTCATATTCAATGACCTCACCTTCTCATGTAACCATCAGTAGAGTAAACAATTTGCAAGTTGGTATACAGAAAGTTTATCCAAAAAGCTCTTCATTTTAACTAAAAAACCATTCTTATTTGATAAGAAACAGAAACATGTACAGTGGAACCTCTTGTTACGTACCGTCCTCCTTGCAAGCGCTGCAGGTTACAAGCTCAACTAACCCAAAAGTAAGTGGCCCTTGTTGTGAACTTTGCCCTGGGATGCGAGTGGAAGTCACGCAGCGGCAGCAGGAGGCACCATTAGTGAAAGCGCGCCTCATGTTACGAGCAGTTTTGGGTTGCAAATGGACTTCCAGAACGGATTAAGTTTGTAACCTGAGGTACCACTGTATTCTAAGCCAGGTGCAGTGTGGTACAAAATTAGGTGTTTTGAGGAATAAGTTATGAGCATCATATAATTTTTATTTTAAAAAACACCCTTGATTGCAAAATTTACTCCTGCCTGTTGCACACCACTCTATTTTCAGATACTTCTGCCAGAAATCAGGAGGGCTAGAAACTTGCAATATAAATATAAGTTTTGCAGAATTCTGTATTAGAGTCCAGATTTAGAGCAAAACTGGGGAGCAGGCAAGCAGTTCCTGAGAACAGAAGATCTTCCTTCCTGATACAGTTTCACCCATTAGTATCACTCCTTTCTCTTTTCTATTGAGATTCCCAGATTGCACTATGGGATTAGGAAGGGGTTTGCATTCACCCAATACCAACATAAAAAGCTTGCACAGACATGCCCACAAGGTCACTCACAGGGTACTCAAAGTGGTCTTTATCATGCTGGTGAATAGCATAAGGTTACCAGATTGTTTTCAATGAATCTGGGGACACTTCACTCTGAAATGAGTCAGAATGATAGGATTTTGTCAGGGGACTGATTTGTAAATCTGGGGACTGTCCCCGGGAAACGGGGGTGTCTGGTAACCTTAGAATAGCAGCCTAATGCAGATATGAAAGGAATATACAGGGCTGGTCGTTGCTGGTCCAAGAAGAACTTACAATTTTGGACACCCACTGCAGAGCTACTATAAATGTGGACTGATGCAAAAACAGCAGGCTCTCATTAAATCTAAATGTAAAACCTGTGTTGACAGAACACTTTCTCAGACATAAGACAAAATTCAGACTAAACTGAGTGGCAGAATCATTCTACATTTTATTCCCTGGTAAGAGGAAAAATATAGAGATAGGTGAACTATTACTATCTATCTATCTATCTATCTATTTATTTATATTTATATACCATAGCTTTAGGTATGGGTTTTACGCACGTATTTTATGCCTGGCAGATAGGACTGGTTATATTACTTGGAAGGAAGCCCCAGCCCATCGAGATGCACATGAAACTTCCATAGAGTAAAACCCTGCCCACACTTACATAGAAGCTAAGCCTCACTGCAATCGTTCGGGACTCGCAGCGCAATAAGCCTATGTAGTACGGAGGATGGATTGCATTTGCGCTGGAAGTGTATCCAAGTGGTCCAAAGCAAAAGATGCCGTGCGCGTGTCTGTACAGCAACGGGAAAGTAATGTCCCGAGGTGGGAGGGCTGCTTCGGAAAATCAATATCCTACAGCGGGTAAAAGTCCGATTAAAAGGGAATTACGAAGCACTCAAGAGCTTCGCCACCCGCCAGCTTATTCGACGGCCTCTGCCTGCCAGCGACGCCAACGACACCCGGAATCTGCAAACTTACCCCGTGGGCTTTGAGTCCCGCAGCGACCTCCGCTCCCGATTCATAGGGGCAGCTGCCGAAGACCCGTGTCAAAGCGACCTGCCCCTTTCTCTGGAGAGGAGCGAGGCCTCATTCCCGCTCCGGCAGCTGGACTCCTCCTCCCAGCGACTTCCCAACGCGACCCGAGCTAGGTAGGCTGGCCGGAGGACGGGAGGGGCAGGCACGGGCAGCCCCTTCGCGTCTCGCCCTCCCCTCTGGAGCTTCCCTTGCAGCGCCTGCAAAGCAGGAAGAGGAAGCGACGTTGGCGCGAGCTTTCCGTTGTGCAAAGTAAACAGCTCGGCCAGCTCAAGATGTCGGACGCCGAGGCGGGCAGATCCGCGCGCAGAGACATCCTTTCCCCCCCAGTTTCCTGAGCCTTGCCAACTGGCTCAAACTGTGCTGGCTTGAAGCAAGCTCTGCAGTGCACTCAACTGCTCTGCGAGCATTTTCATCTGAAGGCAGGATAAAAATGTTTACAATGAATAATAATAAATAATACCTTACTATATTTTCCGCACTTCCCTTTTCATTTCCCCAGGCCTTTAAAATTATATTACTGCTTTATGCTGTTGTAGCTCTGTGGATTTAACTTTTTCCTCAGTTTAAATTGTTTTGCACAGACACTTTTCCTCTGTTGTATAGTGATTGGTGATTTTATGATTGTACTGTATAGCACTTTGTTATTTTTTGAAATTTTGATTGATTTAATTCTGAAGAATGTTGATTATACCACAACCTGTAAAGTGTATGTATGTAATGCACATTTCCTTCACATTTCCCTAGTTGTAATCATTACAAGGTCTTTGTAAGGTTGGTCAGTATTATACCCTACCTACAACTGTAAGTGGGGACTGAGGCTCAGAGAGTGCAGCTACTGAATTCTGGCTAATGCATTGGAGCGATGGTTTCATTCAAACCAGGAACTATTGTGGATGATTATAACAATTCCAAAATTAGTGGGTGTTTAATTACATGTAGGAGCATTAGTAGATGGAGAAGTATTCTTTATGCAATATCACCATCTGTTGGATCCTGCAGGAAACGCAGAGGCCCATTAACAGTGAAATCCTATTCCCATCTTTTCAGAAGTAAATTGTATTACCGGTAAGTGGGATTTTGCTCCTGGTGGCCTTGTTAGGTGTGAGCTTAAGCACCAGGTGGCAGGATGGCAGTCCAAGGGCCTCGACTCCCACAAATCCAATGACACAATCATGTTGCTTAAACCATAGAGGTAGAACGGATCTCTGAGGTCATTTAGCCCAACCAACTACTCTCTAGGCAGGCTCTTCAGTCATGTCTTGACTTATAGCCATATAATATAGCCTCTATTTAAATACCTCCAGTGAATGACAGTTTGTTTCACTGTCAGCCAGTTCTTACCATCGGAGAGTTTCTGCAATGCAGGGATGGGGAACCTGTGGCCCTCGACTCCCACTAGCCCCAGACATCATGGCCAATGGACAGGAATGATGGGTGTTGTAATCCAGCAATACCCGATTGATTTGTTGTCATGCTATGCCAATTTTAATTCAAATGAATCCCAAAGCCGCTTACAAACAATAAATAACATAATAAACTCAGCATAAATAATACTGAATACTGTATTTTTCTGTGTATAAGACTAGGTTTCCCCCCTAAAAAATAATGTCAAAAAATTAGGGGGACGTCTTATACACGGATATGTCTCCCCTCATTTTCTTAAATCTGAGTCCCCCAAAATAGGGGGCGTTTTATACATGGGGTTGTCTTATAGACGAAAAAATACGGTAATTAACAAATCATGAATAAAACAATTATAATAGCAATATAGCCTTGCCTAGAGCAGCCTTTCCAAATGTGGTGCCCTCAAAGTATTTTGGGCCACTACTCCCTGCGTCTGTTATTGGCTATGCTGGTTGGGGCTGATGGGACAGCTTAGAGAAAGGTGTTATTGAGCTACAGAGAACATCTGCCCAATTCCTGCATAAGCATCGTTAAGATATTTGAAGACTGCTATCATGTCTCCCAGCCATTTCAGCCATAAAGTTCCTCAGAGGACTTGGTTTCCTGACCCTTCACCTTCCTGACCTTTCTCCTCTGGACACGTTCCAGTTTGACAGTGTCCTCCTTAAAAGTGTGCCTCCCAGTACTGAACACAGAGTTTGAGATGCCACCGGAGCAGTGCAGAATTAGGTTTGTTGCACCTCTCTGGGATTATCTAAATTAAGAGTGGTAAACAAACCTTCAAGTAGTCTGAAGGTTATTTGAAAGCTTGTCTTTGTGCTAGTCTGAATATGCACTGAACTCTTGCCTGCGACATAAAAAGGTAAAGGTAAAGACCTCTGACAGTTAAGTCCAGTTGCGAACTACTCTGGGGATGCGGCGCTCATCTCGCTTTACTGGCTGAGGTAGCCAATGTTGGTCTGCAGACAGTTTTTCCAGGTCATGTGGCCAACATGACTAAGCTGCTTCTGCTGAAACCAGAGCAGCGCATGGAAACGCTGTTAACCTTCCACTGGAGCAGTACCTATTTATCTACTTGCACTTTGACATGCTTTCGAACAGCTAGGTTGGCAGCAACATGTTGCCTGCAACATAGTAAACAGTAAAATAAAGAACCTCAGGTCATGCTGTTAGGTAATAGATCTGTGGAACAGAATGGAAAGATTTCAACTCTTATTGGTCTCAGAAAGTTTTAAGAAAGTTTTCAGAAGTTTTCAGAAGTTGTGGGGGTGCCACTCAGAAAATGGTTGCCATGGAGGGAATGTGGCATAACACAAAATGTCTGCCATGGGAAGTGTGTCTTAACACAGTATTAGAGACAACCACCCCCTGACCACTTTATGCTTACCCATAGGAAATCAGCTATGTCCTGCTGGTGCTGATTATGGAGTTAATACGCACGCTGCTACTGTCAAATAAGAACAGGTAATACCAGAAAATATATGTACAGTGGTACCTCAGGTTACATACGCTTCAGGTTACATACGCTTCAGGTTACAGACTCCACTAACCCAGAAATATTACCTCGGGTTAAGAACTTTGCTTCAGGATGAGAACAGAAATCGTGCTCCAGCGGCGCGGCAGCAGGAGGAGGCCCCATTAGCTAAAGTAGTGCTTCAGGTTAAGAACAGTTTCAGGTTAAGTACGGACCTCCGGAACGAATTAAGTACTTAACCTGAGGTACCACTGTATAAGAGAGCAACACCACTCTCATTTCACAGAAATTGATTAGAAGATACCTGCACATTTTCCTCCATAACTTACTTTCTAGGAGAGCTGGAGCCTTTTAAAAATGAAAATTCCAGAGTTTGGGGCACCTGTCCAGGGGCTATTGGAAGCCCTCATGGTTGCCACAGCACCTGTGAGCATCAAAATGACGACCCATGCATTATCTACCTCCTACAAACTGAGTTTGGAAAAGGGTCTCATCTTAATGAATAGGGAAGTTGGTAGGTGAGGCATTCCATCAGATTTGAGGGCCCTAAGCCACTTCAAATTTCAGAGCATGGTTCAGATGATACCTGCATTCTTCCATACCAAACCATTCCCCACTCTCTACACACAGAAAATGAGTATGTCAGAGAAAAAGGCTAGGATCCTTTCCCTTTGTGTGCTAATTTTTTGTGGCAAGGATTTTTTTAGCATGGGGGAGCATTCAATTAAGTGAGCACTTATTTAGAGAAAAAAATATGGTAGGTGATGACATGACAGAGGTTTATAAAATTTTGCACATTGGGAGCAAATGGATAGAGAACACTCTTGTCTTCCCCCATAATGATAAAATATCTCAGGGCCACCCTTTGAAACTGATAGGCAGTAGATTCAGGAAACAAAAGTAATTACTTTTTCCCACAGCACTTAATTAACTTGTGAAATTCAGTGTTACAAGATGAGGCGATGGCCACTTGCTCAGAGAGCTTTAAAAGATAATTAGACCAATTAATGGAAAGCTAGGTCTATCAAGGAACATTAGTCATGATAGCTCTGTGGGACCAGGTAAGCAACAGGGGAAGGTGATTTCCCTGCTTCTGAGCTGCTGGGGGCAAACAGGATGCTGGACTTCACGAGCCTGCACTCAATAATTGGAAGTGGAATTGTCCAAAAATCAGCACTTGGCATTCTTGGGCAACAGCTAGGACCCCAAAGGCCCAAGGGAAACTCAAATACATAAAGGCACTGTAGATGCCCAGGGAACACTCAGAGCTGGCAGGGTAAGAATGCTGAAACGAATACAAACAGCATGGCTGGCATGTCTGAAAACCTGACTCCACAGCCTTAGACTCATTGTGTTGGAAGATACCATTGAGGTCTTCTAGTCAAATCCTGGCTGCTCAACGCAGGATTCAGCCATAGCATCCTCAAAAGAAAACCATGCAGACTCCGCCAAAATGCCTCCAGCACAGGAGAGCCCACCACCTCCCAAGTCACTTTTGTTTTTGCTCCATCTCCTCTGCTAATGCATTTGCATCTCTTGTACACAACACATGCTGTGTCACACCCAATTGCACAGACTGGTTCACTGTATCTTTCACCCTGTAGTGTAAACCACTAATATAATTCTGGCAGCTGACAAATGAGTGGCGACTACAGCATTTGCATCTCCTTTTGGCAGCTCAGCATGACTGCTGCTCCGGTAATGGACTGAGCCCTGGATGATTGATTACAGTTCTGTGCCACTTTATCCAGAATGGCCCAAGGAGGTCAACCAGTTAAAAACTCATAAGACATCTCCATAAAACTCTACAGTACACCGCTATTTTTCTCATAATAAAAATAATTATCACATTTTTTGAAGAAAAACTTTATATAATATAGACTATTTTGTCAATTAGAATGCCTCTTGTTGCTGTACACTTAAATGCAGGCAGATCCAGAAGACTTTAGCTCTGGAACAAACAGAAAAAACATGAATTGTCGTTCATGTAGTGCAGGAAAGATAGAGGGAAGCACAGCACCACAACTTTCAGAACATCATCTGCTAGAGCACCAGGATAATTGACAGACCCTCTTTGTTATGGTAAGTGAATGAGGTGATAGTGAGACTATCAAGTGAGTTTGTGACTGATTAGCATGGAGAAAGTTAAGAGAATGAAGAAAAGGAGAGGTTGGATACTTTTTTTCCTTTTCTTTGTTGGGGTTCCTACTTCACACTAGCAGTTTAAATGGTACAGGTTCTTGCAAGATTGCTTTCATTTCTAATTAAAAGCTAAAAAGGTGAATTTTCAGCTTGTTGAATACCTTTTGCTAAAGCTTGAAGTGTTTTAAAAGCTGAATCTATGCAATCAAAACTAAGCACCATTGAGTTCAATGGAGCTTAATTTCAGGGAAGTA